TTTTTCTCACATGATTAAAATTAAACAATTCACGACGCTTTTCTGGAGCACCGAGGATGGCCAAAGGTTTTACATAGTAGTCAGTATATATGTTCGAAACTGCTGTATTATAGATCAAATTCAGAAATGATTTTTCATGTTGATTTCCCTGTTTTTCTTCCCTCTTACTTATATACTTAGATAAATTTTTTAACCTTTCTTTCAAAAAAGTTTCCATATTTTTCATGTTAACAAACCCAATATCTTCATTAAGGAGACTTCCCAACGATTTTCCTTCTTTATCAAATAATTTATCAAATTCAGTACCCAAAAAGAAACGTAATTGTGACATCCATTTTCGATCAAAAAAGACAACTCGATTTCGTGTGTACTCTTCGGAACGGTCATTTACCAGGGTTACATTCACTCCTTCTAAATAGTTTTTAATAGACATTAAATTGAACTTTCTCGCAGACTAATTGCATTTTATGCTTACCTAGAAACGAGATAGGTAAATAAAAAAGTAACATAATATCTAAAGTTCGGTCACAACACCTAATTTCATTTCGGACACATGAAATTTCTATTAAATTCTAAATTAAAACTTTTGTTTTCCTCTTCTTTCGTTTTAATTTTTAAAATGATCAAATTACCCATAAAAAGTTTGTAGGTAGCATATAAACCGACTGGACCAGCACCCTGAACAACTGAATGCATATTTTTGAGTTTTTCTCTGTGTCCCTCATAAATTCTTTCATTTATAGCTTGATCCAATTTTTTGGTTTGTATTTTTGATAATTCAAAAATCTTTTTTAAATCCTTCATGTTAGGATCACTTTCCATAAAAGAGAATATATCAATCAAAGAGCCTTCTCCCCCTTCAGAATACAAGTCTCTAATAAACACTTTACAGCGTATAACTAATTCGATTATTTCCTCGCAACGGTTTTTTGAGTGTGGAGGGGAAGTTTCATGATAAAAGTGGTGAGGGGAAGAGTGATGAGAAGATGTTGAAGGGGTAAAACATTGACAAATTTCCGTAAGCCAAATTTTTCTTCTCGAAAGTATTTCCTTCCTTTTTTCAGGAGCTTCCTGCAATGCTTTTTTTGTTTCCTTTTGGATACTATCATATTTTTCCAAATCATTTTTAACATTATTATGATCACAGAAGTTGATGTTGTCATTATTTGAAGTAAATAATCTAACTTTATGTAAAAGATTTGCCACCGCATTATAAAACACGCCATTAAATGCTCCAGAATTTCCTGTATTTTGAAGGTAAATCCATTCATCATGCATAAGCACATCATTCGATTGTGTACTTCCTCTAGGTATTCCAGTGTTATCTATCTCGGCAATGTTAACTAACTGTCCGATACGCCAATCTTCGAAGCCAATGGCTATAAAAATTTTTTTAATTTGTGGACTCAATTTTTGAGTCTCCCACCATGCTTACTTCTTTGCCATTGTGGAGACCTCTATTATCTAAAATCCACCCCTCCCATCAAAAATAACACATTTGACCAAGTTTCTCATCCTATCGAAAACTTATGAAAAATCCTTTTGTGAAAAAATAAGAAATAAGAATAGACTTACATTCATCGAATTTGTATCGAGTCTGAGGGAATTCATCGCCTGGAAACAATGCATAAATAAGATTTTGTTGTATTGTTGCCATCAACCTATCTTCATTATAAGCAACATTTTTATCAAAAAATGAAGCCAGAATCAAAGCAAGACAAACAAGATTGGAAGGCAAAAGAAGCATTTTTGCTTTGCCTTTTTTTGGATACTTTCTGATGAAGAAGGATTTTTATAATTTTTACAGACTTTAAAGGATTTGAAATTTCTTTTCAATAACTGATTGAGTTTGGCTAGAATAAATTTGTTTATATGGACATTAATAAAGTCGAGAGCTAAGAGAGTAAAAGGGAGGAGTTTGAAGAGAGTTAAGGCAATCTTACCCAATCCTATCCAAATTTACGTCAATCAGTAAGGAAAATTTAAATTTACTCGGAGAAGGCAAAAAGAAGGAAGATAAAAAAATTTCTGAAAATTGCTCTATCCTTTCCGGAAAGATACAAGAATTGCTTTGCCCATGTAAGAAAGGCAATGAGAAGGGGAGGTCTTCATTGGAAATATAAATTTTTAAAGATTTTGCTAGTCTGAGCAAAAAATAGTAAAATTTATTATACAACTTGGTTGCAAATAAACTTGAAAATAAAATTTCAAAAACAATAAAATTTTATCGTTAAATATTATAAAGAATTTTGCTCTTATTGGCCAGATTTGATGATTCTATGTATGTATTTCTACTGTTTCTTGACATTAGCAATCAAATAATTCATAAAAGACAAATATTAATTCAATAGGTTCGCAGCGATAAAAAGGGAAATATGATATCTAAATAATAGAAAAACATTTTCATTAACACCAAATCGTTTTCATCAAAATAGAGAATGACAAAAATGCGACACCATTCAATTGTTTTAACTTAGAGGCGCGGATATTTTTTCCATCAATTTTCTAAAATTTAATCACCTACCCGAAAAATTAATTTTCTATCTGATGAATACCAACTCAAAAAAAATGAAGAAAATAAAATAGTTTCAATTTATCCAACTCCAAAAAGAATACAATTCAAAAAAGATAAATAATGTGGATCTCAACGGTCAACAATGTTGAGTCCTTGTGGTGAATTTTTGGATAATAAAAAAAAATTAAAAATAGATGATATACATAGTATATATGGGCATTTCAAAGGTTAAAAATAATTTTGACTCCCTGTATACCTTCATATTTGATTGAGGACTACAATTGAGGTTCGGTACCTTTCATATTTTATACCGTCTCCTCAGTTATGTATAATATTGTTTTACCATCTACAATTGAGGATTCGGTATAGCGGGGATCAAATATATTTCTTAATCGAGGATAACGCTAGACTATAAGCAGTGCTGAGTATTTACTCTTTTACAGGTCTGAAGCACCTTTTTAAAAAAAAAGTTCCAGCCCAAAAGCTAAGATATTTTTGAATTAAAGAAAGGTATTTTTCAAATTACAGCCAGGTCCCCGAGTTTAGACCAAAACTGTTTGAATCATACCCAGCACTAGTTTAAAATGTTTAGATTCAAAAAAGATAAATAATGTGGATCTCAACGGTCAACAATGTTGAGTCCTTGTGGTGATTATAACTAGGGTTATAGGTTCTAAACGAGGATTCATAGTTTGTTCTTGAGTTCAGTTCCTCATTTCCAAAAATGTGCTTCGGTTCAAAAATCAAAATTTAGACAAGACTTATCCCATAACAAAGCAAGTCTTGCCCCTTAAGATCAAGAATTATCAACAAAACTGCTGGAGAATGTAAAGAATTTTTTACTTTTTCTGTAGAACGCATAAGTCTTGCATTTTTTAGTCAGAAACAAAATGTAAATAGGGCACGGTAAACTGAGATGGGGAACCCTGTTGCGGATATCTTGAGATTTCCACGAACAAACAACCGTAGTTACAACGATACATTTTTTCTAAACTATAAAGACGTGAAAACCCTCAACTTCTTCTTCAATTTTCAAGGTCCATTGTTACTCCGTGATTTATCTTTACATATTCCTGTGCTTTCTCGAGTACTCGTCTTCGAACTTTTTTCAAAGCGGCATTTAACCCTTCATCATTAACTCCATTCTCAACTCCCCATCGACCTTAAATTTTTCTATAAAATATGTAAATTAAGTTTGGATAAGAATAAGATAAGAATAAATAATTTCGCCGGGCAGAACCGACTTGTAACTTTCTGGGAATTATTATTAGGAGCTTACCCATATAACTAAAAAGAGCCCTGGCCCATTTCTTTTGTAACTCTTCGTGAAAATCGTCATATTGTTTTAATATTTGTTCATTTTTGTCTTTCATTTCAATTAATTCATGCCAACGCTCTAAATCTCCCATGGAAATAAGTTGCAAAAACAAATTATTTTCATCTTGATGCAATTCATTAGCACGGCTTCTTCTCTCTTTATTAAATGCATCAATAAATTTTACAAGTGCTCTAGGTGTTATTGAAGCAATATGCAATGTTGGATTTGACTCAAAAAGACGAACAACAATATAATCATCTTTTAAAATCATTTTAGTTAAGTTAGCATACATTGATTTAAGTTCATCAGAAAGAAAATCAGCTTGCCAAATTAATTCATTAATATTCTGTTTTATCAGATGTTTCCTCATATCAGCCATAGGATCACGGTAGAAAGCAGCAGAATCTTCAAAGACTTTAATGCTGCGATCCTTTTTATTGAAGATAACAACACCATAATTTTTTGATTCTGTCAATTGTTGTGCTGGCTCTGAAAATATGGAAATAATACAGCTTTTTAGCAAGATAAAGTGATTGGATAAACGACGGAAATCTAAGAATAGAGTCACGGTCAACAGCCCCTAAGGCTAATAGAGACACGGTAAAAATGTTTTTTTACCCAAAAATTGATTGCGGATTTGATCATTTGCACCACCAGCACAGAAAAACAAATCAAAAGGAATTCCTACATCATTCCTCCCAAAAGAAGTCTCAATTGGTATCCCTCCAATTTCCCTCAATTCTTCTCCTAAATTTCTAATTCCAAAAGCTTTTCCTTCAACTTGAAGTTGGGCAAGGGTTTCAGCGTTTATATACTCCACATCATTATCTCCTTTATAACGAGTATAAGCAATGTAAGGATTTTCATGCCTAACGATTTTTCTCCATTTTGTTTGTCATAAAATAATTTATCAAATTCGGTACCCAAAAAGAAACGTAATTGTGACATCCATTTTCGGTCAAAAAAGACAACTCGATTTCGTATGTACTTTTCGGAGCGATCATTTACAAGTGTTACATTCACTCCGTCTGAAAATATTTTCAAATATTTGTAATTTGGGTACAGCCCACAACACAAAGCCATAACTAGCTGGAAAATGTCTGGACCTTATCAATTTTGATTCCATCTCTTTAGCTCGATGAGAGGAATCGTTTAATACTAAATTTGTTAAGATTCGTAAAATAATTTGAGCAAGTTATGCCTTTGCGTTATTATCCTCAATATCTTTAGACCAGAACTTTTCAAAAACAGAAAATTACCCATAAAAAGTTTGTAGGTAGCATATAAACCGACTGGACCAGCCCCCTGCACAACTGCGTGTTTATTTTTGATTCCTTCCTTGTGTTCCTCATAAATTCTTTTATAAATAGCTTGGTCCAATTTTTCAGTTTGTATTTTTGACAATTCAAAAATGTTTTTTAAATCATTCATGTTAGGATCACTATCCATAAAAGAGAATATATCAATCAAAGAGCCTTCTGCACCCTCAGAATGTAAATCTCTAATAAACACTTTACATTCAATCACTAAATTAATTAAATCTTCGGGTGTTTTTGGATGCTTTGGAGGAGGTGAATGTCCACCAGATGAATGTTCATCATAAGAAGTAGAAGGTCCCAAACACCCACAGAATTTCTGAAAATATCTAGCTCTTTTTCCCTTTTTGACATCTTTGTTTTTCTCCATCATCTCTTCACATTGAGCAATCTCTTCTAATACAATTCGAGTCATTTCATCATTACTATCATAATTTTTCAACCAATTTTTAACTTTTTCATGTGTACATAATTTATTGTCAATTAACTTGTTTCTACTCTTAAAATTCTCAATTTTATTTATAATACCATCCACAGCATTTTTAAACACTCCAACACTCTCTTTAAGCTTCTCTAAATTCTCCAAATAAATTTCCCTTTTTTCCGCTTCTTCGATTTGCCGGAAATATTTACCCGGCTCTATGTTTTCATTATTTTCAATATAAATCCATTCATCTTACATAAGCACATCATTCGATTGCGTACTCCCTCGAGGCATTCTAGTGTTGTCTATCTCAGCAATATTAACTAACTGTTCGAGTCGCCAATCTTTGAAGCCATTCACTTAAAAAAATTTTTAATCCATGAACGAAGCCATAAATAAGGATGTTACGATACATAATTATTTACGTTAAGGGTTATTAATAGGGTTGGACACAACATCAACATTAAAGAAAGTTATTTGCTGCACCCTCTATAAGGAAAAATATAAAAAATATTCTGTGAAAGCAACCAATAACAACAATCCACTTTATCTTTCAAATCCGTCGATATAGTGGATTAGGAAGGATAGTTTGAAATATATCGGTTGATATAACTGGTCTGGGTATTGGGCATTTGTTGGCTAAGACCCGACCTTCAAACATTGGATTTGGCTTTATTAAGAGGGGGTCGTCGGATTAACAAGATATTTGGGATTTATTATTTTCTCCTCGGATTTTTTATAGTTTAATAGTGTGAACAAATAAGGTATGAAAACAAATTGGAAATTTTATTGATCATATTTCTGATTAATAAATTATTCCACCTGCATTAAATTTGTATCGAGTTCGAGGGAATTCATCGCCTGGAAACAATGCATAAATAAGATTTTGTTGTATTGTTGCCATCAACCTAGGTTCATTATAAGCAACATTTTTATCAAAAAATGAAGCCAGGATCAAAGCAAGCCAAACAAGATTGGAAGGCAAAAGAAGCATTTTTGCTTTGCCTCTCATTTCTTTTTTTACTCCTTTCAAATGGAGAAGGAATTAATTTTTAAAGAATTTTGGGGGAGAGGTTGTTTTTGAAGTTTTTTAAATGAATGATTGAGTTTGGCTTGAATAAATTTGCTTATATTGGCATTAAAGGGAATGGAGAGCTGAGGGCATGCGTTAGTATAGAGGAGAGGAGTTTGTAGAGTGGCATGAAATGTTACCCTGCCCCATCCCGATTTCATCAATCAGGCTGGCAAAATTTTCTCGAGGGAAAGAAAGGCAGGGGAAGGAGAGGCAATAAGGAAGAAGTCAATAAAATTTTTTTAATTGCCAAATTCAATAATTATTTTTGCCCATGGAAAAGGGCAATGAGAAGGAAGGAGAGGAGACTGACTTGACTGCCTATCATTGGTGTGTGAATGACTTAAAAAATGTTTTATAGAATTTTAAATAAGTTCATTTAAACTTTTGTTTCACTCTGTTACAAAAACAATAGCTGGGTAAACCATTTCTTAACCCTATGTATTTGTCACAGGGAAATTTTAATTTTAGTGAAATTTAGAATTTTCTGAAAAGTTAGGAAAATTTTAATTATTAAACTTTTAGGAAGAAAAAAAAATAAAAAAAACATACTGAAAAAGATGAAAAATAATCAAAAAACGTAGGGCATTAAGTATTTTAATAATAGAATTTTCTTAACTTTTATGAATATTTAAAATTTTCTAAATCAACGTACGGTGAATTCGAGGCTAGAGTAGGTCGAGGCGAGGTTTTTTTGAAAAAAACGATACCAGGGATCAGGGTTGCGTCGTAATTACGAATTACGATTACGAAAAAAATTTTCGATTACGACGCAACTCTTCCAGGGTTCACCGAGGCCGGAAAAGCCGAGGTCGAACGGCAAATTTTTAAAAACCGGGGTTTTAAAAAAAAATTTTTTTAACTTCAACCAAATTTAAAATTTACCAAATTTTATCAAAAATACACCAAATCATTATTGAATTCATTTTTTAAACTTATCAGATTCAGTATGTAGCCCAAGCGTCAGTTTAGATGCGGGTTTTGGGTTTCATTTTAAGAGAAACCCCAATTTTTTAAAAATTCAGCTCCATAACCAAAAATTTTGGATTGATAAGAGCCGGAAACTTCCAAAAAAACTAAACTGAATCATAAAGCACAAGGATTAAGAGGATATAAATTAGAGACCGAGAGACCCACTTTTTTCTATATCCAAAAAATGTAATTGTACATGTTTGTTTTTTGTTAATAAATTTTAGTTGTTTAAAATAGAAGGTTAAGAAATCGCAAAGTCAAAGAGGGCAAAATTTTAAAAACTCAACACGTGAAAGCGAGAGCCATTAATACAAGTCATAAGCTTCGATGTCATGTGTATTTGCTAATGAATTATTTGCTTTGTCTCTCTCTCTATCTTGCCTATTTGGCATTTTCCTTTGATAAATAAATATTTATCTAACTTACTATCGATGTTTTTCAAAATATAAAATTTTGTTTTAAAGAAAAATTTTTTTAAATTTGTTTTTAAATTTTAGGTTGGACAATAGAAGAAAAATTTTAAGCGGCTGCACATTGGCTCTCGTAAGAAGTTGTAAGGAACTACTTAACTAATATCAAATAAAAATTTTAAAAATAATTTCAATTTATCCAACTCCAAAAAGAATACAATTCAAAAAAGATAAATAATGTGGATCTCAACGGTCAACAATGTTGAGTCCTTGTGGTGATGTTTGGATAATAAAAAATTTAAAAATAAAGCAAATATCAAAAGAAAATTCTCATAGAGGAAAGGAGACTTTTGCCGGTTATTTAAATGCATATTTGTTACTATTCCAGATCTTACTTGATAGCGTAAGATTCTTAACAAATAGTTTAAAAAATCTGATTAACCGACAATTGTCAAAAAAAAGTTGTTAATCCTCTTAGAGGAAATAATTTGGAAAAAAAATAATTTAAAATTTCTACAAAGTCGAATCTCAACATAAAATAATTTGCATGCTCTTATGGGGGTATCCTGAGTTAATAGTGGTTAGGGTCGGCGTTAGCTTAGTATAATAGGTCTTTTCCAGTCTTAGTTGTTTGCAACGCTGTTTAGAACGAAATAAAACCTTCGAAAATCTGAAACTGAATAAGGTAAAAAATATCGAAAATTATGAGAGATTTGAATTTCATTCAGTTTTAAGCTGTTAGTGTTATTTTGTCAGTCGCAGTTAGTATTCTATCCAGCAATTAACTAGAAGTCAGCTCCCTTGGTGATGATTAAATGAACCAGCGTAATGAAAATATTCCTATATGTAGAAACTAAGTTCGTTTCTAAGTCCCGATTCGTCCCCCTCAGTTTCAAAGTCCCAGTTCTAAGTCCCCCTTTCTATGTCTCAGAAACTAAGTTTTTATTTACACAACATGATCAAAAGAGTCAAGAATGAGGTTATCTTTCAACTTATCCTATAGTGAGATTCGACTGTAATTCTAAAGCAATGTGCATAACGAATTTCTTTACGACCCATAGGGTCAATTGTGTTTTTTGTACAAACTTTCAGGTGTGAGACTTAAAAGAAGTCAGATACATGAAAAATCACAATTAAAAACGTTTAAAATAGACTTGTTGATAAAAAACTCAAAAAATCTCTCCTTTTCCCAATCTCTCCTCTTCCCAATCCTCCTCTTTGTTAAACTACATAGTCATCCAAAAGATCTCTCTTAACATCATCAAGTATTTTTACAACTTCCTCTGCTTTTTCGAGTACTCGCCTTCTTACTTTCTTCAATGCAATCTTTAACAATTCCATTAAGTTCTCCGTTCCGTTGCTTTTTTTATACTTCTTAATCATCGAAACTGCATTATCAACTCCAAATCGACCTTAAATTTATTTAGACTGATTGATCTCATTGTCAAATTGAAATGTATGCATAAATATTGTAGGGGAATAATCGGCTGATTTTTTCTGGATGATAAAAAGTCCGGACATCCTAAAGTTTCGGGTATTCGGATTCAATAACTGCTGAAATTTTTCCGAATTCCTTGCTAAAAATTTGTTTAACATCCTCTTACTTTGTTGGATAAATTCTTAATCCTTTGGAACAGATTTCCGGCTTATTATTAAATACAGTGAGCTGCCTCACCGAAAATTATTTGCGAGACCCTCTTCGTCTCAGGACGATCTTACTGTTTTTTAAAATTTCGGATATCCGGATCCGGAATTTTTTCCAGTATCCGTCATTCCTAAATACTATCATGTAAAGAGTATCCTTGAATTAAAACTTGCCTGTGCTCATACCACTCACTGTCTTAGGATTAGCACTTGTATTTGCATCCCCTATAGCTGCAATAATTGCCGAATCTTTTTTTCCAAAAATTGCTTTTACAGGATTTTCAATTCCGTAAATTGCCAACCAGACTGTGTTTGTATTTATACTGTAAGGGTTAAATTTAAGAATTTGTGGTTCTCGATCATTTTCCTTGGCGTTATGTTTTTTCCATAATTTTGTCTTCTCTTTTATACCTTCCTCAATAACTACTTGCTTAACAACTCTTTCTTTATCCAAACCTGTCAACCCTCTTCTTTCCAACTCTTTATGATATGAATAATCAAAAACAGCTTTAGCCCATCTTTTCTGCAATTTATCATAAAAAACATCATATTTTTTCAAAACTTTCTTAATTTTTTTCTTCTTCAAACTCCAACCTTTGATCTCGCAAAACTCTTTAGCCAACTTATTTCTCTCATTTTTAAATTCTTCAATAAACTCTACCAATGCCAAAGGTGTTTTTGATGTAATAAATAGCGTCGAGTTTGACTCGAAAATAGTAGTAACTATTTTTTCTTTCGATGTTTGATGAGGTCCCTCCTCCATTTTATTTTTTCCCTCCTCCTCCCCTTCCACAATTTCTTCTTCTATTCCCTTAATAATCCTGTCTTTCAAATTGGCATATTCTTCCTTAAGTTTTTCTGAAAGAAAATCAGTTTTCAATTCATTTATATTTTGCTTAGATAGATGTGTTTCCATTTCTCCCATTGGGTCATTAAATAAGAAGGCAATGTTTTCTTCAAAGACCTTCTTGTCCAAATCTTTCTTGTCGAAGACGACAACCCCATAATTTATATTTTCCGTCAGCTGCTGTGGTTTTTCTATAAATATTTTAAAAAATCTTTTAAAAAATAAGAAAACTTGCCCAAAAATTTTTCGCGTATTTTGTCATTTACTCCACCAGCGCAAAAAAATAAATCAAAAGGAACTCCAACTTTTTTACTCCCTATTAATTTTTTGTTTAAATCTTTCACTTTAGAGTCTGGAATAATATTTTCATCTAACAACTCTACTATATTTTCTGGCAATTCAATTTCTTTATTTTTGTAATAATTCGAGATTAGTTGTTTTTCTTTTTTGCCTAAAACAGCCAAAGGTTTGTCATGTTTTCTATTTATGTCCAAAACAGCTATATCATATATCAGAGTTAAAAATGAGACTTCTTTTTTATTTTTCTCTTTGCCCTTTACATATTTTGACAATTCTTTTAAACGTTCCTTTAACGCGTTTTCCATAATTCCAATGTTAACCATACCAATTTCATCTTCAAGCAATCTTCCCTTTGATTTTCCTTCTTTATCAAATAATTTATCAAATTTAGTGCCCAAAAAGAAACGCAATTGCAACATCCATTTGCGGTCAAAAAATACTAGTTGATTTCGAATATAATGCTCGGAACGATCATTTACAAGGGTTACATTCATTCCTTCTAAAAATAATATAAAATTAAACATTTTAGATTGAAGATGGATGTCCAAAACATATATATGGATACAACGTTTATTTGGCGACTTCTAGGACCTCCAGGAAAATATAGCTATCACCGGAAGAAAACATTGAGCGCAAATCGGCAATAAAGTGAAAAAATATCAACGAAAAAGATTGTTATCACCACTTAAATTATTCTTAATAAGCATTGCACTTCATATAAAAATTATTAATCCCTACTCTCAGATCTCTTTTTATATATGTATTTTTCCACTTTTTAAATGTAAATATAAAGGGTTTGCGACAACTTTTAACGCTTTGTTGTTCTTTAAACTATTAAAACAATAAAGATTTACCAATAAAAAGTTTGAAGGTAGCATACAAACCAACTGGGCCAGCACCTTCCACAATTGCATTTTTGCATTCTTTTCTTTCTTCATACTCCATAGCTTTATTTTCCAAATGTTCTCTATAAATCTTCTCATTTATAGCTTTATCCAATTTTTTACTTTGTATTTTAGACAACTCAAAAATCTTTTTCAAAGTCCCCTCCAACTTCTCATCTTTCTCCATAAAAGAGAATATATCAATCAAAGAGCCTTCTTCTCCATCATAATTTAAATCTCTAATAAACACTTTACAATTAATAATTAAATTGATAAGCCGATTTATGCAGTCTTCCTTGTTTGATGAAGAAGGTTCTTTTGGCTTCTTAGAAGGAAGGAAAGCTTCAAAATAATGAAGACCCCTTTTAAAGCACAAACACTTTGAAAGGGAACTATTTTCTTTACTCATCTCATACTCCATTAATACATCTTCAACATTTTTTGGCTCGCATTTTGTCTCATTATCAAAGTTTTCTGAAACAAATTTCTCAGTTTTATTTGTGATACTCTCTACAGCCTTCTCATAAATTTGAATAAATTCGGTCGCTCCAATTTTTACATTTTTTGTAAAATATTTTTCAATTTTATCCAAATTCTCTGATTTCAAAATATATTGAAATTCCTCAAATAAAATGACATCGTTTGATTGTGTACTGCCTCGAGGCTGCCCAGTCGAATTGTCTATCTCGGCGATGTTAATTAACTGTTGAATGCGCCAATCTTCAAAGCCTTTCACTGAAAAAATATTCGAAAGTTAAGACACCACTTCCGTAGGCTAGCGAGACTCAGGTTCGATGCCTCGCGGCAATTGGTGGCTGCTTTAGTTAGTCCCGTGTGGAAGTGTCCCGTTACCTAGCTTTGCTTGTAACTCTTATGGCAGCAGGGTATCGACTACTAGGTTGGCTGATCCGAATCCAAAAAAGACCGGATATCCGGAAATTTTCGGTTCACCGGATCCTTATATCCGAAGATTTCCAACTATTCGCCAACTTTATTGACTACTACTAACAAGTATATAAATCCTTAACGCTTTCCTTTCGGCTGTAAAATAGCTTTTGTGGTTGCTTGAATTATACCGAAAAAAAAATATATTCCCCTAGTTTTTAATATTCTTTCACCTTCATTAAATTTGTATCGTTTGCTTTCATTTGTTGAAGGAAAAGCGGCAAATGCCAGATTGTTTTGTATTGTTGTAGGTTTTTCTTTCTGATCAACAGCTCCATTTTTATCAAAAAATGAAGCAAAAATCAAAACAATCCAAAACACATCAAAAAGTGAAAACATTTTCGTTTTGCCTCTCATTTGGGCGTTTTTCGACCCCTTAATTAAAGAGAAGAATCTCTTTAAAAGAGATAGTTTTGTCAAAGTGTTAAAGTTTTTTGGTTGAATAAAAGTGAATTTTAGCTAAAATAATTTTATAGATACATCAACTCTCGATATAACGAATTCGAAGAGAAAAAAATGTTCGTTATATCGAGAGCAGAGGCGGATCGGAACTCCGATTTTTGGTTTCCGAAATTTGGGAAAAATCTTCAAATTCCAATAATTTTTGAGATAGTACATATATCAAATCAAATAAAATAAACGTAAACAAACGATTTCCTTAAATAATAATAAATAAATAATAATTTAAAAATTGTAAAAGTGTCTTTTAAGGTGATTTGGGAGTGCGTTAATAAATTGGGATAGGTATATCAAAAGTGACTAGGAGTCAACTAAAGTGATCGGAGGTTGAATTACGCATATGTTGGGGAATAAATTTATATAACCGAGCAATCCTAACAAAAAAGGAGTGGAATCTAGCTTTGTGTTACGTGCTATGGGTAAAATGTTTTGTAATCCCCTGGTATTAGCTTTATTATATTTCCGACTAGATTTATCTGAATTTCCAAAACGCCTACGGCGCTGAAAATGGACAGTTCCGATTTCCGGCCTCTCTCCTTAGTTATATGCCAAATAAAAATTTGAATGTAAAAAATAGAAGAGTTTTAACAAATTATGTAATTTAAATTAAATTTGTTTATTATAAAAAAGACTTCTTTAATAATAAATATTATACATATAATTCGCTTTTAAAAATTAAAAAAAATGTAAAATTGATTAGGGAGTTATTTAAATTGAATGCCCCCCTCTCTCGATGCTTTAAAAGGAATTATTGATTCTGACATTCGACAGGGCAAAAATAATTGGCATATGACTTAAACAAAATTAAAAACACAATCCGAAAACAAATTTTAATGTTGAGTTATTCAGTGGTCTAAACATGTTTACTGCTAGAAAGCTAATTTTTAAGTATTTTGTATATAAAAATCAAAAGTTGGTTAAGCAGCTGGGCTATAGCTATTTCTCTCCTTCAACTAGTGCAAAAGGTTATTCGGCGGCTGGGAGCAAACCATCATCTTTAATAGACCGGAATGATGTGTTAGACATTACACCACACCGCCTACTGCATAGCCTTGGGAATTAAATAGCTATATGTTTTACACTAGAATAGGCTAAATATTAAACACTAAGATCCAAGTTTAAATACAGTTGGACCTCAATATGAGATATCTAGATCCTTAAGGCTGAAAAAATTGTATATAATGAAGTGTATCTTAAATAGAGGGTATCTCGTATTTCTATCGTATAGGTAGTGGGATTTTCGGTTGTATTTGAAGGTGGCAATGAAATGATTTTAAACATCTAAGGGTCGTCGAGGTGCATAGAGCCATACGAGGATGTCCCGGATTCGACAAATCTGAACGAAGTTATAGCTCGGCGGTACCTTGGGCTTGCGGTACCTTGGGATGTATACGATAAAAATTACCCGATAACCCTTTGAAAAGCACATAAAATCGAGATTCGACTATACTTTAAAAATATTTTTTTTACTTTTTTGACCTTTTAGATAAGAAAAGTGTCCTTTCCTTTCCATCATTCAACTAATAAAGCGATAAAACATATTAGTTTGTTGTAATCGATTCCTCTCATTTTAAAAAAAAGTTTTTTGTTGTTAACCACCTTATAATTTGCAAATGTTTTAATAATTTTTACCTCTTCATTTTGACGTTTTTAAAAATAAAAAATTTATTTTTTATTTCTTTCAAAAATTACTTCTGTTAGAAATAATTTTAATATACTACTAATTTTAATATAGTAAGGTTCGAATCCAAACTTGGGAAAACAAATTTTGCCAATAAATCTTATGAGAAATTTCAAGGGTTATTCCATTAAATACCCTAAAATTTTACTGCGATAAAGTCAATTTTCAGGTTTTATTTTCGATTCAACTCTCATTTGTATGTAGAAAAAGGGATAATACAGTCGACTCTTGATAGCATATCTCTTCTCTTCGATCCTGAGAGATATGTTTATGTAAGGACACCTAGCTGCATATAAAACGCTTAGGCGGTGGTTAAACCAGGGCTCTCATTCGTGCTTTATTTGAAAGTATTATACTTTGAAACCGACCTCCATACTTAAGAAATTGAATTTATACTTTATTGAAAGTATATACTTTAAAATCAACATTTTGGATTGAAAATGAAATTGGGGAAGGGATTGGGCAAAAAAGTGAATTTTTTAGCCTTGGGCCTTCTAAAATTTCAAAAAATTTTCGCCTGCGGCGCTGAAAAAGAAAGAAATCTGGCTTCTTGGGCTCCAAATTTCAAAAAATTTTCGACTGCGGTGCTGAAAAAGTGAATTTTTTTGCCTACGGCCTTCTAAAATTTCAAAAAATTTTCGCCTGCGGCGCTGAAAATGGACGAAAGTAATTTGCTTGAGGTTAAGACTGTCAGGGCTTTATTTCTTGTATCAGCGAATTTCGACATGTCATGCGTTGAAATGCACAAAATGCTCAGTGGAAGCAAGAAATTATTAGAAAAGATTCATTTAAGAGAGAAATATAAAAGATTTGAGCACGAACAAATATTTTCCAATTTAATTTTGAGTATACTTTAAATTTGGAAATTTTCTCCCTATATACTTTTTTATCAAGATTTTGATACTTTTGAGTGGCATTTTGTCGATGAGAGCCCTGGGTTAAACGATCTAGAAGGAGAATAGAGAAGTAGCTCAGTGGTTCTAATCAAGGGCGGGCGTAAGAGACAATCTCCAAAAACGTAACGCAAGGCCAAAATTTAACGCAAATAACGCAATGCGCCCGCATCTGATTCGAATCCTGCCCGATGATTAAACCTTGCTAAACTCTTATTTTCTAACGAGATTTGATCTCCGATAGATCAATCCTAAGGGTGACTTTTTATCGAGATTCGATTTCATTTCCATTTTTCCCCAAACTTGTTCCTAATTAAGTTTATTTTATATTCGAGTTGATTACCTAAATATATTTTGCAATATTTTCACACTAATTTATTAAAACCAAAAAATATATGAAAAACGAAGCTGATGATAATGATAGTTCTGAGGTGTTTTTTATAATTCTTTGAGAACAATTAGCACTTTGAATTTTCCCTATAGGGACTCGAAGCTTTATTAAATCGTGCAAAATGGACAGATTCACAATTAGAGGAAGTTATGCGGTTAATTTATGGGAGACGTTGCCCGTAAGTGAATTAAAGTCAGAGTTCACTATAGCATACCTCCAATATTAGACCTCGATTTATTATCTTTTTTCAACACAAACCTCCTCTTATTGTAAGGAAGAAGGGAGGTCCCTCTGTTATTGTAAGGAAGAAGGGAGGTCCCTCTGGCTAACTTTTAAAACGCTTACTCAGGCGATGGTATAAGAACGACACAAACCTCCTCTTATTGTAAGGAAGAAGGGAGGTCCCTCTGGCTAACTTTTAAAACGCTTACTCAGGCGATGGTATAAGAACGACACAAACCTCCTCTTATTGTAAGGAAGAAGGGAGGTCCCTCTGGCTAACTTTTAAAACGCTTACTCAGGCGATGGTATAAGAACGACACAAACCTCCTCTTATTGTAAGGAAGAAGGGAGGTCCCTCTGGCTAACTTTTAAAACGCTTACTCAGGCGATGGTATAAGAACGACACAAACCTCCTCTTATTGTAAGGAAGAAGGGAGGTCCCTCTGGCTAACTTTTAAAACGCTTACTCAGGCGATGGTATAAGAACGACACAAACCTCCTCTTATTGTAAGGAAGAAGGGAGGTCCCTCTGGCTATCATTTAAAACGCTTACTTAGGCGATGGTATAAGAACGCTTACTTAGGCGATGGTATAAGATAGCTAAGTACATATTTAATTGGTGAGCGGAAGTTCTTAGCAATAACTGTTAGAGATTCTTAGGAGTGATGTCGGTCTGAGTTAAACTTTTAGGTATTACATATACCCCTTATCATAAGATGCGGTCTTTTACCCTCAGGGGCTATCTAATACTGAAGTTTGACCAATGGGAATCGTTGCAGCTCCCATTAAAGATTGTTGCTTGTCCAAGGTTAACTTTTAGGTATTACATATATCCCTCCTCATAATATGCGGTTTCTTAACCCTCAGGGGCTATCTAATAAGGAGGTTTGACTATTGAAATTTATAACATATCCCATTAAAATTTAGAAAAATTTTTGGAAGAATTTTATTTTTTAAGCCAACTTTCCTTGAGTAATGATTTATTGGAGGCATCTATGAGTAATGGATTTGAAATTAAAGGCTTTCAAATTAAAGCATTAGAAGAGCAATGCCGTCGCCCTAGAAGAGTGGGGTTTTATTTGATTTTAAGCAATTTTCGAAAAAAATTATTTAATAGGTTCGAGTTGCTGCTATACAAAACAAAATTGTTTTACCAACAACCGCTCCTATAATACAGCAAAGGGAGGCAATACATCAAAGGGTAAAATTAGAAAATTAGTGATGTACTCTGACCAGTGGTTCGAACCTCCTACCAAAATTCGTACTCATGCCTGTGTACGAAGTAAGGATACAAGCAAAAAAATGGACAGATACGAGTACGAGAAAAACATAAGCCAAGTACGAAGGTACGAGGCAAAAAAGGCCTGTAAGAAAGTTCAAAATTCCAACTACAGACTCCGACCGACCACTAACGAGTATATCGATATAAGGTGGCAATCAAAGACGGGACTAGAACCAGGAATCTCTTGTTGAAAACCCGTATACTATAGTTAAATACCAGGGATGTTCCCCGTTCCACGTCCACCCCACCTCCTTTCCGTGGCGCGCCTCCCCGAAAATTGTTTCCCGTGCCCACCCCCTCCCCACCATCGGGGAACAACCCAGATAAATACAGGTCTTCCCTTTGAGGATCTCGGGTTTGGTTAATTTTTACGTTCCTCAATGCAGATGTAATAGAGAAAGACTTATTTGTGAATAATAAATATCCTATTATTATTAGATCGGTGTAATGATTGATATGGCAGCCGAAGCAGGTGCACAAATTATTTGCCTGCAAGAAGCCTGGCGTTTGTGATTGAATTGTTTTTGTTTAAAATTTATTTTTAGCAATGCCTTTTGCTTTCTGCACGCGGGAAAGACTCCCTTGGTATTTTAGTAAATATTTTTTAATAAAAAATTTATGAAGGACTGAATTTGCTGAGTCCGCGGAGGATGGACCGTCAACTAAATTTTTAAGCAATGTAAATTATTATAATACATAAAAAGGAGGGGGTTTCGTGCATTACGGACTAAGACAAGCTTATGAATAGCAAAGCAGCTGGGCTATAGATATTTTTCTCCTATAGCTAGTGCAAAAGGTTATTCGGCGGCTGGAGCGAACCAGCATCTTCAATAGACCGGACTGATGTGTTTCCATTACACCACGCCGCCTACTGCATAGGTGTACGGAATTTTGGTCACCGGAATTTTGGTCACAACGATTTTTCGGAACTTTGGTCACCAATTTTTTTGGAATTTTGGTCACCAGCGGAATTTTGGTCACCAAGACAAAAAACGGAATATTGGACACTGAATTTTGGTCACCAAATGGAAAAAATAATCTTATCTAAAACTGATATCAAAGTGATATAAAATTGTTTTTCAACGTCCAGTTGATCAATTTCAATGTTGATCACTCTCACAGTTAATCAATCATCCATGAGAGTGATCGAGAGTGATCAACTGAGAGATTGATCAGCCGGGAAAATGACAAACATTGAAATTGATCAAAAGGGAGTTGAAAAATCATTTTTTATCACTTTGATATCACTTTTAGATAAAATTATTTTTTCCATTTGGTGACCAAAATTCCGCTGGTGACCAAAATTCCAAAAAATTGGTGACCAAAGTTCCGAAAAATCGTGGTGACCAAAATTCCGGTGACCAAAATTCCGGCACCCACTGCATAGCCTTAGGAATTAAATAGCTATATGCTTTGCAGAGGGTTGATTTCGAACTTCTCTAAAAGCAGCACCCTCGGGGTCGAATTTAGCTGATGCCTCCTTTAGAACCGGCATGAGTTGAGGTATGAATTGCAGAGTTTTGTGATTGGATGTCATATTAGAGAAATTCAACGGTAACACTTATACGGCTACCTACCTAATTATGTCTTAATATTTTAAATAAACTTTATAGCAGTTTATAATTTTATTTAAAGTTGGCTAAAAAGCATGGAATTGTTATTATTTCTCCTATTTTGGAAAGAGATAAGGATGGACTAATTTGGAATACTGCGTAAAACATTTTTCATTCAAAATTTAAAAAATTAGTTTTTAAGTGTAATAATTTCCCACACTGGCACAGTTATTGGCAAAACACGAAAAAATCATATTCCTCGAGTTGGTGATTTTAACGAGTCAACATATTATATGGAATCCTTATTGGGGCATCCAGTCTTTGGAACTGCTTTTGGCTAGTTTTATTAATTTAACTATATTATTTTTTAAATAAAGACTATCATTATGAAATACCCGTTTAAAGCCATAAAAATTTTATCTTATAGTCAGGAATACCGTATTTCCGAGGAATAGAGCCCACCCTGAAATAGATCTCCACTTTGGAGTCAGGGGATCCTGAATTTTAGCTGGGGCTCTTGAAATGGAGCTCTTGAAATGGAGCTCTTGAAATAGAGCCCCAGCTTGATTTTCGGAAATACGGTATCTTGAATTTGGGATATCGCTCTAGGCAGCTATTTCACTCGGAAACAAAGATAGGCCGGATTGCGAAATAAATCGAGAAGGGTCAGTTAAAAAGTGAATTCAGCCATGAGACTATGTATTTGGGAAAAATTCTAATTTCTTCGGATCGGGGTTCGACCAACCCGTGTGGAGGGAGAGCTCAGATCTGCCCAGGTTTCTCTACCAAGCAAATTTAGACTAAGTTTATTTCAAACAAAAAACACTTCAATCAATTAATAAAGTTTATTTCCAATTTAAAAAAGCACAGCGTCAAAACAGCAAAGAACAGTTCAAGAGAAGATCACCAAACCCCAGAATGGAAGCTAGAACAGAAGCAAGCGAAGCACAGAAAGAAGCTAATTGGGGTTTGGGGTGGGAGATTATATAGGCCAGAAAAATAGGCGGGTAGACTGAAAATATTTCGATCATTAAAGGCATAATAGGAACGATTAGATAAAATGCACATATGTGATTAATACAAAAGAATGGAAAATTAAGTTAAGTTTTAGAACAAAAGAGCTAGAAATGTAAATAGGTTTTGAATAGATGTTTACAGCAAAAATGGTTTTTTAGAAGGTAAAAGTCCGAAAAAGGAATTTGCAATAAGTGATGATTAATTTAGAAATATTATAAAAATATATTTATTTTATTTTCCTCATCTTTAGTCGCTTCGCGACATTCCCGCCCGCGTCGAAAGTTTCATCCTCGATTTCTTTTTTCCATCTTTCAAGTATTTTCTTTCTTTTCTTCATCTTCTGTACTTCATCCATCACAACTTTTCTGCTCTCTTTCAATGCATGTGCCCAGTCATCCATAACATTAACAAAGATGGCGAGAAAGGTCCAACTCGGGTTGATCGCAACAACAGTGGCGAAAAGCGTTAAAGAAAGCCAAGAGGGAGTTTGCAGCGTCAATTCCTTTTCCATCTTTTTATTCGTTTTACTTTTCCAAAGTTTATTGGGTGCGCGAATAAACATCCTCAAAGCATCTCTAGCGCTATTCAGAATCATAGCAAAAGCGGCAACGACACTCATGAACATTTTTACATCCATCCGCGAGCAGCAAAAGGCATAGAATTCTGGTGGTTCCAGTTTTTCCCGTTGGCATTTTTTGTGGTAGGCGTGCACTTCCCGTTTTAGCTTACCATTTCTGGCAATCAATTTTCGGTTAGCCTTCTGAAGGGCATTGACACGAGTCTCTTTCAGAATTCTTTTTCCATGATCATCCACAATCCTCTGATTAGATTCATCCAGCAGACGTTTTAATCGTTTAGCTTTTTTGGATTCATCCTCGGCCTTTTTGCGAGCCAACATAAGTTCGGACATCAATTTCACTATCGTTTTATCTTTTTCTTGGAGAGCTTTCGTCTTTTCATCTAACAATTTTTCAGTCTCAAACATTCTAGCCTGCTTTGAACAATAATTATTCCTCCTCCGCGTAGATTCCAACATTTGGAGTTTTGACACACTTGAATAGCAAACCATAAGGTGGTGCTTTCCTCGACATTTAATACATCGGCGATTATTCGTGCAATCAAAGGTTCGATGGCCATCACTCAGGCAGTTTAGGCAACGGTTCTGCTCTAGTAACTTGTATTTCCTCGCCTTTGGGCTGCCATACTTAGAACAATGGCTCGGAGGGTGGTTCCCTCTACATAATATGCACTTTAAGCAACGGTTCTGTTCCAGCAAACGATCCTTCTTGGCCTGAAGGTTGTTATTTTTCGGGCATTTGCTTGGTAGATGGTTTCCTCCGCACAATGAACAAAAAGGTTTCATCGGATGACATGTGACTGCAAATGAACTGGTCCGCTCAGGGTTTGGCAGTGGGCGTCTTTCCCTTTGTGAGTGCCAATCAGGTTTCTTATTAACGCTACATCTCTGGACCTCTTCTTTAGCTGAAATAAGCAGATCAAGCTCTTTCCTCCACTTTTCAACATTCCAAGTTTGTTCGGCTACTCGTTCCTTTTCGATCAGTTTGGCAAGTATTCCTCTGGGCAATTTTTCTTTTATAGTGAAAACTATCCAAGAGTCATCGCTAATTCCGTAATCAGTCAATTGTCGGCATACTCTTTCAATTATGTCCAAAAATTTGCGCAATCCCATCACAGAATCATTAGCATGGGGTAGATGGTACAGCTCTGACTGTAACGATTCCTTGAGCGCACGTTTATCTCCATATCTCGATTTTAACAGCTTTACAACGCGTGGGTAGTTTTCATTCGTAGGTAAGTATCCAGCCACCACATTCTGTACGGGCCTGTCTAACAGAGAGAGCAAATAACTCATTTTTACAACATTGTCATAGCTGGGCTCATTGTCCACAGTTGACTCGAAAAGCTGCCAAAAGGTAGGCCAGTCTCTGGTTTCTCCCGAAAAATGAGGTAAATGCAAGGGAGGGAGCTTCGCACGTGGTTGCGCCATAAAAGGCGGTTGCAACTGTACGGTAGGCGGCTGTGGCCTTTGATTTCCTTGCGACCTCCGATTTTGGTTTCCAAGGTCATTGGTTCGGTTATCTGACACTTCGCTCATTGCAGATTGGCGCGAACTGGTTCTAGATTGGCCAAGATCCTCCATGGTTTGCTCAATTAGCACAACAACTTGTCGGGCAAATTCGCATTGATCCACAAAATGACGTTGAGCTAACGGTACTTCCTGGCCTTCCTCTCTTTCCATACTAGCACCTCGGGGCGGAAAATCAAGGTATAGCGATTCCTCGGCCATTTTCTGCGGCTCTTCTAAGCTTGCCACATAATCACTCCATTGGGCATCCAATTCCTCAATCCTTCCAATAGTGGTCTCAATATGGGCTTTTTCCAGCTTCAGCTTTCTGCGAGTATCCTCATCATTTTCCTCAGCAATAATTCGATTGGCCTCGGCAGTATGCTCTTGAATGGTTTTCAAGGCAGCGTTCAGGTTTCGTCTAATTCTTCCGGACATTTGCCTAGCACTTCCCAACCAAATTTAGAACACAAGTAGCAAATTGTAGGCGGCCTGGTTCCCGGCCGTTGCACCAAAAAAATATGTGGAGGGAGAGCTCAGATCTGCCCAGGTTTCTCTACCAAGCAAATTTAGACTAAGTTTATTTCAAACAAAAAACACTTCAATCAATTAATAAAGTTTATTTCCAATTTAAAAAAGCACAGCGTCAAAACAGCAAAGAACAGTTCAAGAGAAGATCACCAAACCCCAGAATGGAAGCTAGAACAGAAGCAAGCGAAGCACAGAAAGAAGCTAATTGGGGTTTGGGGTGGGAGATTATATAGGCCAGAAAAATAGGCGGGTAGACTGAAAATATTTCGATCATTAAAGGCATAATAGGAACGATTAGATAAAATGCACATATGTGATTAATACAAAAGAATGGAAAATTAAGTTAAGTTTTAGAACAAAAGAGCTAGAAATGTAAATAGGTTTTGAATAGATGTTTACAGCAAAAATGGTTTTTTAGAAGGTAAAAGTCCGAAAAAGGAATTTGCAATAAGTGATGATTAATTTAGAAATATTATAAAAATATATTTATTTTATTTTCCTCATCTTTAGTCGCTTCGCGACAACCCGACCCATCCCTACTCAGTAATTAACAGAGGTGGGTCGGATTTCCGATTTCCGACGTTTTTTTGCTTCCGATTTCCGAAGAAATTTTTGATTTCCGAGTTCCGACATTTGAGACAGTTCCGATTTCCGGCTCTTCCGATTTCCGTCACCTCAAATTTTAGACCATTTATCTCATTAATTTTTCCACTATTTTAAAGGCAAGATTGCTGTAAATATTTGTTATGGCCGTCATCACCCTCAAAATTGGTTAATGTATGCCCTTAATGGTGCTGCATTTTTAACTTTTTTTCTTCTTAACCTTGTCAATTAAAGGGGCAGAAATAATTTTTAATCCGTCAGCAACAATTAGCGGACTTAGTGAAGCTCTATGGCCGATTGAAGCTAGAAATGCTGCTATAGCCAATCATGTTTTTACTGTTGCGATTAATAGGGTGGGGACAGAAGTTTTTCCAAATGAATTTACTTCTGGCAATGGAAAGCCTGGTAAATTGATAAAATAAAATTGGGGCTATTAGCTTTACCGTAAATTTACTGGTAGAAGCCAATCTCATTTTGAAGCCCCACCCGTTGAAAAAATACTACGGCTTCTGTTAAGGCTTCCATCTCGTAATGAAGCCCATGCCCTATTAGAGGAGCACTCATTGTGACACTTTTAAAAAATACCAGGGCTTCTGTTAGGGCATTTACCTTATATTCCAATTTTGCCTCTTCACATACATAATGCAATATTCTCGTTTAAGTAAACTCCGATTTACAATGACCCTTTCCAGTTTTGTCCTAGATTCGAGAGTTTTGATTCTTTCCTAGATAAACAATCCATACACAAACGACGTTACCCATAAATCTTGTTACATGACCTTAGTCCAGTATCGTTCTAGATTCGAGGGTTTGATTCTTTCCTGGATAAATCTAGCCATCCATACACAAACGAAGTTACCCATTAATTTCGTTATAAGACCTTATCTGGACTGTAACCTTAATCAAGTTATCGTTTTACTTTAACTCCTGGATTGCTTCCTTTCTTAAATTTTTAAACGAGAACCATGTCAAATTAACAAGATTCTAGGTAGATAAAAGGAGCAAATTTCTAACAGAGGTGGGTCGGACCGATTTCTTTCCTACCGATTTCTGATTTCCGACACCTCTGACTGTTCCGACCCACCTCTGATTTCTAACATTTCACAATTTCAAAGTGTTTGTTTATTCCATTATTGAATATACAATTTTCCTGGGCCAGATACTTAGCCTCTCAGTTACTAAATCTAATATTTTTCAATATAGCTGAACCTCTCACTAATCATTTTACTAAAAATTTCTAGCCCACAAGGATTTTGGACATTTTTATGGTAGTAGCTATGTAGCAGCACCTGACGGTTCTAGAACACCTGTATTTTTAATATTATTAAAATCAAATGATTTGAACATTTTTAGGGATTATCAAGAAATAAGGAAGGCGTTCTTGTAGTAGAAATTGATTTAAATTTGTGTAGGCAAACACAGGATAGCTGGGGATTTAAAGTAAACTTTTACATATTTATCAGTTTCACTCTTGACACTTTTGGGAGCAGAGGGACTTGGAGAGCTTAAGATAAAAAAATCGAGGAGATTGGGGTATTCTTGGAATAATCCTTAGTTTTTCCAGTCTTAGGCTAAAATCTAAACTTAAACTTCTAGCTCTTGTCCAGTCTAGAACCAGTCTTGTCCAAAAGCCACCTTTATAGGGCACCAGTCCAGACTTGCCAGTCTAGTTCTTTTCCAGTTTAGAACCAGCCTTTCTGCCTGACGGTCACACCCGTATTTATCAAGGTTCTATTGGCTAAAGAGCTAATCTGTCCTTTTTGAACAGAAAACTTTTTCCGTTCCGGAACCTTTCATATTTCTTATATGAAAAGTTGCTAGACTTAGCAATGGTTAGGAGCATAGTTGGTTCGGAAATGCTTAAGGTGTCGGAAATCGGATAGTGGATTTCCTGCCCACCTCTATATAAGGAGGTATTGAGAAAAGTTTTAAAAGACATTGGAGAAATTCTAAATAAATTTTAAATTTAGATGACTCAACGTTTAGAATTGTATGCCCAAAGTTTGGCAAATTATACTAAACCGAATTACAAACAGAATATTGTAAATGAAAAATGAATATTGAAAATAAAGATAAGACAAATTTAAAAATTTTCCCATTACTTTATTACAGACATAAAGTGTTTTAACTCAAATTTTTAACATTATTTTAAATATCCCTCAATATTTTTTATCTCTTTCTTTAATTTCTCAACATTTAAGAAGCTCTTTATTAGCATGTAATTTATCACAAGTTGTACAGCCAACTAAAATTTAAAATAATTTTTTGAAATTTCTTAACTAGATACTTACCCAGAAGCGCTTTCCCGTGTAAATAGCTAGTTGTGGTTGGGACTAATTGCATATCGGCTGTTGTTTTATGTTCAAATGATCTTTTTCCAACTGTTCTTTCAAGTTTCTGTCCGCCAGTGTTTGGGTTAATGTAAATATAGCCGTCTTAAATAAAAAATATTTTTTAGAGAAAATTTGCTGACAGTTGATACAAGGAGCTTTGCTAACACAGCGTTCGCATCCTGTGTTTACCAAGCTACTCTGCACAATGACTGTCTCTGTCTTTTAGTGACCGGCAAAATCGTATTTGTGGAATCCCGCATGCGTGAGTAACTTTTAAAAAAGTTTGCGGGATGGGATCCCGCGGGAATAATCCCGCAAAATCCCGCACTTGGGAAAAGTGCGGATTCGCGGGAGCGGTATCCCGCAAAATCCCGCACGGGATCCCGTCTCTTCCCCTGCTCACTACCAAGAGGCATGGACCCTCCATTACACAGGGGACTACAATAAACTCTCTACAATCAACTTTACTTTTAGAACAACTCACTGTAAGAATAAAACATATAGTCAAGAATATAACCACTAGTTTGATTTGCCTTGTAGCAATAATTGTCGTCATAATTACAAATACAAATATTTTTACTACAGACAACTTTTCCGATACTTTGCTTATTTGCCACGCTGTTATAGCAAACCTGAGATGGAAAATTTTACAAATTTCCAAAAAAATTCCTTTACCGTTTGTAAACTATTGTTTTTGCAAATACTGTTGGTTATAGCTCCATTAAAGCTGTCAGAAACGGCTTTTTCACTAGGAAATTTTATCGTGTTCGTCAGAAAAGTTAAACTGCCTTGATTGCTGGAGCAATTTTTACCTTCTGAAATTTATCAAAATTTTTATTTAGACTTTGAAAATTTTCTCAAACTCTTCTTTCCCCATAAAAGAAGGGTTTACACAGTCAGACTGGGTACACTCCGAAAGGGCGCGCGGTCATAAGGGCGCAAAGCCTTAACTAGCTGTAATCCTTCTGGCCCTTATCAATTCTGGTATCCGTCTTTTAGCTCGATGAGAGGAATCGTTTAATACTAGATTTGGTAGGATTCGGAAATTTTAGACATAACTATGCTTTGCGCCGTTATGGGCGTGTCCCAGTCGGATCTCATTATAAAATAACCTTAGGCCTGAAAAAATAGTATCTTATAATGAGGTTTTTGGGTTAATGTAAATATAGCCGTCTTAAATAAAAAATATTTTTGGACAAGATTTACTGATAGTTAATGCAAGGAGCTTTGCTAACATAGCGTTCTCATCCTGTATTTACTAAGCTACAATATTATTTAATAGGGTTGTATCTATTATTGGGGTTCAACTGTACATAAAATTTAAATAATTTACCATTAAATCCAACAGCCATTAATAAAACAGTTAATAAGTAAAAATACATTTTTGCTTCTTCAAATTAATTAATGATTTTTTACTCTTCCCCTCAATGACTATTTAAATGCCCCCTCAAAGACAACTAATTAAATAATTTTAAATTTTATTTTAAAAAACGAGACATAAATTTTATAAATTAAAATCTGAGTAAATAAGGGAAGGGAGAAGAAATAAAATTTAATTTTTGCCTTAAACATAGACTTGACGCTGTGAAGTTTTTAAAATAAATTTTATTAAAAATTTAATTTCCGCTTAGGGTCCGGATGTCATCTGATTTTCAACGTCCGTCAAATAGAGCGTGTAAAAATTTTTTATATTTTTTTGTTTTAGACTTTTGCTTAAACATTTTTATACTTTTAATAAAATTCCATAAAAATCAGCAAAAAAAAGTCCGCAAAAAAGTGTCCGCAAAGAAAATCCGCAAGGAAAATCCGCAAAGAAAATCTGCAAGGGAATTTTCCTTTTGCGGACATCTATTTGCTCCCGCTTTGGACCGAGAAATATCAGGTTATTGGTTTCCGATCTGTATCTCTTGGACAATTACTTCAATTCGCAAAGACTTAAAATCCGCAAAAAGTGTCCGCAAATTTCTTTCTACGCAAAGAGATACACGTTGGCAAATAAATTAATACTTAAAATTTTAAAAGTTAAATTCCAGACACAAACAAAAAATTTATAAAATAATTTAATTTTAGAAAGTTCATAATTTTTATACACTTTTTAAATAAAGTCCGCAAAAAGGAAAAAAAATTCACAAAGAATATCCACAAATTTGATTAAACTCGAGGAGCCTTTCGAGTGAAACAAACTTCATAAAAACATAATTTTCCTTTTTAAGTGATTTTGGAAAGTTAAGAGGGTAATATTTTTTATGAAAAAAATTCATGTTGTGTCGGAAACTATGAGACTTCCGCATGTTTTTGAATAACATTTATATATACAACAGGGGCCGAAGTGACAAGAATTTGATTGGAATTTTGATGATTGGAAAAGATGATTGAATGATTGAAAGATGGTTGAAAAACAAATGGTCAGCCATTTTATTGAGGAAATACGGTAAATCCCCTACAAATTCTTCGAAATTATAGGTGTGATATTTTATTTCCATGGATTTCTAGAAAATTCGGATCCGAATCAGGGGCGAGCGCAAGAGACAATCTAAAAAAACGCAAGACGCAAAACGTAACACAAACCCTACTTTTAGCAGAAGGAAAGCAGAAGCTAGATTTCTTCCAATTTTTGCCCTCAGATTAGAAGAATAACAGGGATTTGAGCATATAGTAGGTATCAGGGGTTGAAATGATATAGCAGGATATCCCTACAAACCCCCGATATCTTTTTAAATCAACCGACCGATAGTCTTCTGTCACCTCAGTTCCCCCGTTATTTTCCACATAGCCACTTTATCCTCTTCCAATTTTGAGAATTTTGGAAGGCCAATAAGCCAGGATATCCGAAGATTTCCAACTATCCGCCAACCTTATTCCATAATGCACTTTTCCATTAATGAATTTTCAACATAAATTTAATTATCTTATTTCTTATGACAACTTTGACAATTTAAGATGTCAAGAAAAAATATTTTTACTTTTGAAAAATTTAGTAAAGAATATTTTTAAGAAAATAATTTTTTAATAATTTTTTTCTTTCATAATTTACACTCTAAACAAAATTTATTTAAAGAAATCTTTAGAAATAAAAATTTTTTTATTCGATTTTCTACACTTTTATTCGATTTCTTCATTTTCGTTAACAGGAAAATTTTATGAGACAAGCTCCTCCCTCTAACAAATTTGACTTCTTTATGCTACGGTTACATAAAAAACGCAAGACGCCGGCGGAAGACGCTCGGCGTCAAGACGCCGGCGGAAGACGCTCGGCGTCAAGACGCCGGCGGAAGACGCTGTTTCGTGGTTACATAAAATCGGCGTCTTCCGCTAAGCGGGAAGACGCAAAGCGTCAAAACGCTAGTTTTATGTAACCACAAAACAGCGTCTTCCGCCGGCGTCTTGACGCCGAGCGTCTTCCGCAAAACGCGCGCGATTTTATGTAACCACTAAATCCGATTAAAATTTTTTTTAAATATTTATCATACTAAAATAAAATGTATAAAATCAAATCATTTTATTCTGCCATGGTACCAATCAGGGGTGGCGCTCCTCTCGTATCTCGTGAAATCTCGTGTTTTTTAGGGGTCTCATATCTCGTATTTTGCCACAAGACACGAGATATTTTTTCAATATATTTTAGAAAAAATGTCAAAAATTTGGGACTATTTTAGGATCCTAGAATTAGGAAAAAAGGAAGAAATCTTGCCCAGTGGTCTTCCAAAATTCTCAAATTTTCGCCTGCGGCGCTGAAATTGGAAAGAGGTATAAAGTTGGTCCAATAAACTCTTCTCTATCTAAAGGTATAAAAATTGGAGGGATTAAGTGGTTATCGGAGAATTAATGGGATATCGAGGTTTTGGAGTGATTAAAGGGGATTTGGAGGGATTAAAATATGGATTGATTTAATACATCAATGTCTTTATAAAAATATTTATTATAGCCAAAATCAATCATTTATTTCAAAAATCCCCAAACCTCTCTAAAAATCTTTTAAAATCTTTTAAAAAATCTTTCTCCATTTGAAAATATTCAAAAAAAGAAATGAGAGGCAAAGCAAAAATGCGTCTTTTGCCTTTCAATCTTGTTTGCCTTGCTTTGATCCTGGCTTCATTTTTTGATAAAAATGTTGCTTATAATGAGGATAGGTTGATGGATACAATACAACAAAATCTTATTTATGCTTTGTTTCCAGGCGATAAATACCCTCAGACTCGATACAAATTCGATGCAGGTGTGATATTAATCTATTTTTAGTTTTTAAGCAGAAACTTGTCTTTCATTATAGGTTTCGATACAAAAAAGAAGGTATTTGTTGAGGGAATTCTCATTTAAAACGCTTAGATTCCCTTAGGCTTAGATTCCAATATAACGTATTTGCTATATTTGAGTATTATATAGCTTAACTCGGGTTCTACTATTCTGGGGACTTCTATTAGACTGAATTACATTATTTAAATATTTATTTTATTTATTCAATTATTCTCCATATAAATATGGGCACAATAATAAGGGAGAGATTGGCTAGGCCAAATCTGATAATGAGAAGAAGGTTGGGTATTTATAGAGACAAATTAAGGGTCAAGATATGAACAGAAATTGAATAACAAAAATAAGATAAGGAACGAGAATTGATGATAACGTCGGGAGACCTTTTATTTAGAAAAAGGTCAACCTTATATTTGCATGTGAAAAGCAAATTGTTTATTTGATTAAACAAATGCAGCAGTATTTTTAGGGTAGTAGGATTTATCTACCAGGTAATGAGGAGGTAATAAACTTTGGATTATATGGAAGAAACTCCAAAACTTTGAGCTCATAAAATTTTAAAATATTTTTAGACAAAGGCTTTGAGGACTGGCGACTGAACCAATTAAATAACATTTCGGAGATAGACAACACTGGAATGCCTCGAGGAAGTACTCAATCGAATGATGTGCTTATTCATGATGAATGGATTTATCTTCAAAATACAGGAAATTCTGAAGTGTTTGATAATTTTGTGATAAGTCTTTTAAATAAAGTTGCAATATTTACTTCAAATAATGTCAACTTCAACTCCTGTAATGCTAATAATGTTGAAAATGAATTGAAACAATATGATCAAATCCAAGAGAAAACAAGAGAAGCATTACAGAAAAGTCCTGGAGAAAGAGAAACAATACTCTCACAAAGAAAAGGATTGCTTTCGAATCTTTGTCGGTGTTTTACCCGTTCAAGAGCTTCTCATCAAGAAACATTCAGTCAAGACAGAAAAAACCATTGTGAAGTACTAATCGAATTAATTATTCGCTGCAAAGTGTTTATTAGAGATTTACATTCTGAAGGGGCGGAAGGCTCTTTGATTGATATATTCTCTTTTATGAATAAGCATCCACGTCTGCGACATCTTAAACAAATTTTAAATTTGTCTACAGTTCAAAGTCAAGGGTTAGATACAGCTATAAATGAGAGAATTTACCAGGAGCATTTGGAGAATAAAATGAGAAAAGAATATAAAAATGCAATTGTGCAAGGGGCTGGTCCTGTTGGTTTATACGCTACCTACAAACTTTTTATTGGTAAGGCACATTTTAATTAGGACAAATTTTAGTTTAATGCCACTACTTTTCGACTTATTAAAAATTTAAAATTTTTAGGAGGAGTGAATGTAACACTTGTAAATGATCGTTCCGAAGATTATATAAGAAATCGGGTTGTCTTTTTTGACCGAAAATGGATGTCACAATTACGTTTCTTTTTGGGCACTGAGTTTGATAAATTATTCTTTGACAAACAAAATGGAGAAAAATCGTTGGGAAGAATACTTGATGAAGATATTGGGTTTGCTAACATAAAAAATATGGAAAATGCTTTGATGAAGCGGTTAAAAAATTTATCAAGTTATATAAATGGACGAGAAAACCAACAAGAAATATTTTTGAATTTGGTTTATAATACAGCAGTTTTGAACATTCAAACACAACATAAAAAGTCTTTGGCCATCCTCGGTGCTCCAATAAAGCGTCCTGAACTCTTTGACTCTGATAATTTGAAAAAAATATTAACAAATTTAGAAAGAACGTCAGATGGGGCCATAGGAATTCCTTTTGATTTATTTTTCTGTGCTGGTGGTGCAAGAGACCAGATACGGACGCGCTTCATAGGTTAGATTGGATATAAGTGTACTTAGTTATTTTAAACTCAGTCAAAACTCATTTGTAAACTAAAGTTAGCATCATAATCTAGCTCTCTCTCGATAGTCGATACACTCTATATATGCAGGTACCCCAAACTTAAATTTTTTTAGTGTAACTCAGTTATATTACTCTATTAGAAGAGTTACAGATCAAATTCGACTAGATTAATTATACCCTATTTACCATTAATTATACTATATTTTCAGAGCAACCAGAACAATTGACAGAATCAAAAAATTACGGTGTTGTTATCTTCGATAAAGAGAATCCTAATATTAAAGTCTTCGAAGATTCTGCTGCTTTCTACCGTGATCCTATGAATAATATGAGGGAACATCTGGAGAAACAAAATATTGATGGATTGATTTGGCAATCTGGTCTTTCTAAGAAGCTTAAATCAACGTATGCCAACTTAACCGAGATGATTTTACAAGATAAGCAAATCGTTGTTCGTCTTTTTGAGTCAAATCCAACATTGCATATTGCATCTATAACACCAGAAGCACTTGTACATTTTATTGAAGATTTACAAAATGAAAAAGGAAACAGAAAGAAATACATGAAAAATTATGACGAATTTCACAATGAATTGCAAAAAAGATGGGCCAAAGCTCTTTTTGATTATACATTTTCTACTAGACATCCTGAGAAAGCAGGGCAAGTAGTTATCGAAGGTGATGAACATGTTGGAAGTTCAAGTACAAGTTATAGAGGCAAAGAAATAGCTACTGAACCGGAACAAACTCTTCAGTTCGACCCACACAGTGCTAATACAAGCACTTTTTGGGTTGCAATTTATGGAATTGAAACCCCTGTGGCAAAAATTAATGGAAGTTCATCAATTATTGCAGCTATAGGTGATGCAAATACAAGTGCTCATTTTATGACTGCTAGCGGGATTAGTACAGGCAAGTTTCAAAGAAAAATAAGAATAACTCTTAAGCAATAACGAGTCTTTTGACTATAAATTTTTAATTCTCCCCGGAGTAATGATAAAATTCACAAAATTACCCTTACTATATTTTCCGAAAGGCTTGTAGACAATTTTAAATTTATATTTTATTTAAGGACGATTGGGAGTTGAGAATGCTGTTAATGCGATTAAAGAGTATGATCAAATAAATGGAGCGTCAGATTTAAAGGCGATGTTAGATGCCGCTCTGAAAAAAGTTCGAAGGCGAGTACTCGAGAAAGCTCAAGAATATGTCAAGATACAAGACGGAGTAAGAATGGACTTTGAGAATTGAAGAAGAAAGCGAGGATTGATTTGAGAAGAAGTAGTGATTTGAAGTCGTGAACTCATTAGTTTTATTGGGGGTTGATTAGCCTTTTGAGTTTAGACCCGTATTTTAGTTTTTTTATTATCCAAAAGGTCACCACAAGGACTCAACATTGATGACCGTTGAGATCCACATTATTTATCTTTTTTTAATCTAAACATTTAAAATAGTGCTGGGTATGATTCAAATAGTTTTGGTCTTAACTCGGGGACCTGGCTGTAATTTGAAAAATACCTTTCTATGATCAAAAATATCCCAGCTATTGAGCTGGAACTTCCCTTTGAAAAGGTGCTTCAGATCTGTAAAAGACTAAATACTCAGCACTGTTTATAGTCTAACGTTATCTTTGACCAAAAAATATATTTGATTCCCGGTATACCAAACCCTCAATTGTGATGGAAAAGAATATTATAACTGAAAAGACGGTATAAATATGAAAGGTATACAGGGAGTCAACATTATTTTTAACCTTTGAAATGCCCATATATACTATGTATATCATCTATTTTTAATTTTTTTATTAGTCTAAAATTCACCATAAGGACTCAACATTGTTGACCGTTGAGATCCACATTATTTATCTTTTTTGAATTGTATTCTTTTTGGAGTTGGATAAATTGAAACTATTTTATTTTTATACTTTTATTTTTATCAAATATCTAACAAGGAACATATCGAACTGTAACCAAAAATTTCGTAATTATTTTTATACCATCGTGTAGAGTAGGGTCGATTTCCTATTGCTAGTTTTTTTTTCTTTTCGGCCCTACCCCCCCCCCCCAAATCGGAAAGTTATAGGGCTTCAAAGTTTTCGACTTGTTTAATTTCGGCGTTCCTCTTCGCTAGAAAAACAAAACAATTATAATCAACGCGTGATTCGAAAGCATTTTATATAATGTAAAAAAGCATTAGCTATTAATCCTAAAGTGGTGAATAATAGTCCTGTCAACTGAAGATGCCGGTCTTGTATAGAGTAAATTTAGTCAAAAAATAGAATAGCTTCTCCAATTGAATGGCCGTTTTTTGGGGGTATCGAAAAATAGAATGGCGGCCATTATTTAAGTGTGTTTCTATATCTTATCTCGGATTCTAACATTGTTTATTTGATTAAGCGAATGCAGCAATTTTTAATTAATTAATAATTAATAGTCATCAAAAATCTTGAACGATTTTTGATGACTATTCGAGAGCCCGATAAAGCCAATCAATTTTTTTATTGTTGACAAAATTTCTTCGATTTATAAAAATTTTTTTGAAAATTATTTTAACGATTTTTAATCATTAATTTCCCCATCACCTGCTACCCCTTTATTTACAAAGGCAGCAAGGGCATGACACTAGATTTACACGTTGTGATTATGTAATGTAAATAATGACAACATCAAATCCTGTGATGCTAATGATGTTCAAAATGAATTGAAAGAATATGATAGAATCCAAAATAAAACCAAAAGAGCATTACAGAAAAGCCCTGAAAAAAGGAAGAGTATACTTTCGGAAAGAAAAGGATTGCTTTCGAATCTTAAATTTGACCCTCACAGTGCCAATACGAGCACTTTTTGGGTTGCAATTTATGGAATTGGAAATCCTGTGGCAAAAATTGATGGAAGTTCAGCAATTATTGCAGCTATAGGGGATGCAAATACAAGCGCTCATTTTATGACTGCTAGCGGGATTAGTACAGGCAAGTTTTGTTAAAATTGTTAACTCCCCTCCGGCACAGGGGAGCTACCATTATTTATCGATACATATGCATCTAATGGAAGGATCAAACTGGCTAGTATTTAAAATGCTTTAGATTGAAGGATTAATATATACTTAAAATATAAATCAATTTAGTAGAACGGTTCTTTAAGCATAGCACCTAAACATTGATTCCTAACTAAGGTTGGCATTTTTTTCGATTCGGTTCGTTTTCGAGCTTTGTGAGCTGAAAAGCCTCGGCTCGCTCGATCTTTCGAGTTTCGAGTCGAGCGAGCTAGCAACCCTATTCCTAACAGTAATTGACACAAAGTTACAGGTCGATTCCTCCCTGCATTATTTAAACAAAATATATTTAAATTAATATTTAAGGTCGGCTTGGAGTCGAAAACGCTGTTAATGCGATTAAACAATACAATCAAAACCCACACCAATCTAATTTACGCAAAATGATGAAATCTGGGCTGAAAAAAGTTCGAAGACGTGTGCTCGAGAAAGCAAAGGAATATGTAACTATACTTGACGGCATAAAAGTAGATCTTGACGATCAGTAAAGTGAAGAAGAGGAGTTGGAGTAAAAAACATTTTTACATATTCTTGGGTATTTAAAAAGACATTTTTGGATTTTTTCGGTTTTTGGCAGTGGTAGGTCGGAATTCCTGTTTCCGACAGTTCTGATTACCGACACCCTTGTCATTTCCGACCCACCTCTGGTGTTTGGGTAATTTTGAATTTTATGCACCCTTTCAAAGATATGTAATTTCGTTCTGTGTATTAGTGGTCTCAGAGACAAATTTTAACTCAAGATTTTTCTTGAGTTTGAGGTATGGAAAATTAAAAAATATTTTGACCATAATTTGTGACATATTTTCAGTTTAGAAAACTTTTTTAAAGAATTAGTTAGTTAAATTGAAGAAAATTGGGAGAAAGGCATCAATCCCCTTTCTCAGCTGATTGATCAAGTTAGGAAAGTGGTTCCATAAAATTTAAAATTAGTATTTTTATTTTAAAACAAAGTATTCTGAATCAGAATCCAATGCTGTTTTAAAATTTTTACTTTTGACTTCGGATTTTAGAAAGGATTTTTAAATCAAGAAAATTTCATTTTGAAAGTTATCCTTCTTTTTAAAACAGTTAGAGTTTAGTAACCCGCATTTTAGTACATACCAGGGGTGTGCCAGTTTCGTGTTCCGCCTTTCGTGGATTTTCGCGTTTTTTCGCCTTTCGCGTTTCGCTTTTTAAAATCAGTTTCGGCACAACTCTGGTACATACCTATTTTAATTTTTTTATTATCCAAAAATTCACCACAAGGACTCAAAATTGTTGACCGTTGAGATCCACATTATTTATCTTTTTTGAATTGTATTCATTTTGGAGTTGGATAAATTGAAACTATTTTATTTTTTGTATTGAATCTTTTTTGGACTTGTGCTGTCGCCGAAGCGACGTTTGCCATAATTGAATTAAATATTTTTGATTAATTTATTGGTGATCTTTTGCACCGTCTATTATTTAATCGTTTGTACCAGTTGCCCATATCTCTTGTTAGCCACACCCTTTTTGTGCTAACCCCATTTCTGATCATTTCTCCTATGCTTATTTTAATCATTTTATTCATTCATTAGGTTTTTAGCTATTTTTAGCTTTACTAAGTTCTCTGTGTATTTTCTCCTTCAATTATTCACATTTTTCCCCACCTGCATTCTATTTATTTTTCCAACTTAGGTTTTGGCCTTTAATCTATTTTTATTTTCTTTAACTAATTAGGCCAAACTTAAGTCTTTTTTCACTCATTATTTTTATGGTTGAATTACCCAAGTTTAAGGTCCTGAATAAATATTTTATTTGTTTATTCTCTTTTACTTGGTATTCCTATAATTCGCCGTCCTAAGGCGTGTCAGATCCCGCTCGTCCATTTAAGAGCCGCAACCCAATAAGCTCGTCAATCTACAGAGCTTTGGTTCCATCCTTTCGCCCACTAGAGAGGATCAACTATTTGAAGATTGAGGGATTCCCGGGACATTCCAGCTCAGCTACCTCCCGACTAGCTCAGCTCCTCTTCACTTTATTCAGTCTAATTCAACCTCCCGACAGCTGTGCGGTTCATACCGTCGCGCCGCACCCAGCTCTCATTCTTTCAGCGATATACTTTTTGGTGCCACGACCCGGGACCCTTCTCTTCTCTTCATTTTCTTCATTCATTTTTAATTAAATTAAATTTTTTCTTCTGTTTTTCATCCCTCCAGGCAACTTCCAGCCAGCTCAACACTACTTCTTCTGTCGACACTTCAATTCGACTCATCAGTTCTACACTCACCAGATCGCCCAATTAGATCTTCAACTACAGAACTTCTCAACCATCACAACTCTACAGTCTACACTACTCATCTATCTACCGTCACAACTCAACAAATCTACATAATTTCATTCAACATGTCGTCGGGACCAATCCGCCGAATGATCGTCCCAGCCATCAGACAACTCAAAACCAACATCAACGAAGCTACCAACATCATCACCGCCCATCAAGAGGTGTTAGAAGAACAGCAACTACAAAGACTCCGTACTCTTCGCAAGCAGTTGGCCAGTAATACCGTAAGAATAGAAAATTTAAATCGGGAATGGATGGAATTTATGGGCAAAATCGACCCAGAAAACCTACCGGCGGAGGAAAGGATTTACCAAAACTTCCAACGCCCGGCTCCAGATGACCCCCTCCTAGCGGGCTACAAGCATTTTACCGAATGTTTCGCGGACGCCCTGGCCATCATCGACACAATCGATGAAATAGTCGAGCGGGATGGCACTTCCGGCAATCTCCAGTCCAGGACTAGATCACGGAGCGCCTCCATACAATCCCGACACTCGCATCCATCCCAGCGGACCTACCAACAGGATTTACCGCGAAATCCAGCATACGACTCATTCAAAATCGCGCCTATGGAAATTCCGAAATTTTCTGGGGAACCCGAAAAATGGACCAGTTTTTGGCAATGTTTTGAGTTGGCCATCCACAATAATCCAAACATACCAGACGCACTAAAAATCCACCACTTATGTAACTCACTCCAGGGATCAGCCGAATCAACCATTCAAGGATACCCGAGAATTGCCGAAAATTACCCGATTATAGTTGAATGTTTAAAAGGAAGATATGGTAGTACCCGGAACCTTAGAGAGGCCCTCCAATCAGAGCTTCTCCAATTACCACCTACACAAGATACCGCTGACTCACTTCGCGCCTTTTGCGATAACATAGAAAGAATTTGCCGGCAATTAGAATGCAATTTCAAAACAAAAGAGGACGCGTCCCTATTAGTCACAACCATTAAGGCCAAGCTGCCGTCCACACTTATTGAGAAAATAATAGAGAGGGAACGAAGTTCACCAGCCGGGGAATGGACAGATAGGGAACTTAGGAATTTCCTATTAGAACAAGTAGCAATAAGAGAAGAAGTAGAAATGTGCACAAAGAGATTGAACATCCCGTCCAGCCAAAGGGAAGACATTCAGTCGACTCGCCAATCAGAGAGTCACCGGCCAGATCATTCTCCGCCAGCCAACTTTACCCGCACATTCACAGCCATTGAAAAGAATGTCGGCCAATGTTCACTTTGTACGGGAGATCACCTCCCTTCAGTTTGCCGCAAATTCCAAACACCCGAAAGCCGCAAAACCCGCTTGCAGGCTCAACGCAGGTGTTTGAATTGTTTACGCGAAGGACATAAAATAGGCCAGTGTACATCGACCAAAAGATGTAGGAACTGCAGCGGCAAGCACCACTTTATTATCTGCACCCGCCAAAAAGGGGAGCAATACAAAAGAAAAATTAGTCACCCAACTAAGCAGAAAAATAATTCTTTTCGAGGGAATGAAAACCTTTCACCGGTTAATGGTCTGACTCACCGACCACCTCAAATTTATAACAATTCGCGAAATTCTGAAAATCAACCCGGAACAAACCAGAATGTTCCCGCCAACCCTGAAATGGCTATGACCGCCACTGAGTCAAAACCGCACACCTTTTTGATGACCTGCAATTTAAAAATAAGTTCAGGGAATAACCGACCAATCTACACTACTGTTGGTCTCTGGGACACCGGCTCCCAAACTTCCTACATTTCTCAATCTTTGGTCGACCGTTTAAGACCACCGAGGGTTTCTACCTCCAATTACTCAGTACGCGTTTTTGGCGCCGATAAAGTCAAATTTCGCTCAACTGGACACAAGATTAGGCTCCATAAGCCCAATGGGAGATGGGAAGAAGCTGTATTTTGCTCAATTCCGCAAATCGTCCCTGCATTTCCGTGTATTCAATGGGATGGAACTCGGATCCCTACTAACCACCGAGAACTAAAACATATTCCCGTCAAAAATAGGGAACCAGAAATTCTACTAGGAGTTAGAGAATTTTGGAGATTCTTCCTCGGCTCAAGGAAAATAGGAAAAAATCTACACATTATAAGAACACACTTTGGTTCAATGCTCTGCGGTGAATTACCCCACTATATTTCACCTACCTCTTTAACCTGCATTTCTCTTGCTGCTGTACATAGCTCACCGGAAGAAATGCCTGCTGTTAATGAAATAGAGCAATTTTGGAACCTTGAGTCTATGGGTATCACCGACAACCCAGGAGATAGGGACGACGAAATCGCCACAAGATTAGTCGATCAATCAATCAAACAGGACCCAGACGGTAGATACACTATCGGACTTCCCTGGAAATCGCCAGAAGGAACTTCGGGACCTCCGTCAAAATTACCTTCCAATTTTGATATGGCTGCCAAATGCCTATCTTCAGTACCTAACCGAATAGAAGGGGCGTCCACAATAGCCCAGGAATACCATGACCCAATAGAGGACCAACTTGAACGGGGAGTAATTGAAACAGAACAGTGCAACCCAAACGCACAGGAACAGATCCTTCCTCACCATGCAGTATTAAATAAAGGGAAAATCCGCCTATTATACGATGCAATCGCTCATCTAAAAGGACTTCCCTCACTCAACCAATCACTCTTTAGAGGACCAGTTTTACTTGCCAATTTAATGAACCAATTACTCATCTTCCGGGAAACCAATATCCCCGCTTTGGCCGACATCGAAAAGGCCTGTCATCAAATTTCACCAATCGAATCTGATCGAGAATTCTGTAAATTCTTATGGCTTAAAAACCTGGACCAACCTCTTTCGCCATCCAACATAGCTGTCGATCGATTCAAAGGAATCGCCTTTGGGATTATTAGCTCTCCTTACATTCTCTCTGCCGTCATTAGGCATCACCTTCCAAAGAAGCTAACCACCTTGGTTTTCTCCAAAAATCGTTTGCGCCCACCAAAAGCAACCTCAAAACTCACTATACCGGGATTAGAACTACTAAGAATTTTAACGGGATTTAGAGCTACCAAATTAATCCAAGAGGGATTACAACGGGAACTAGATAAAACCATCATTTGGAGTGACTCAACCATTGCCCTTAGCTGGCTTCAAGATGTGGACTCCCAACCGTTCTTTATAGCAAATCGCACTGACGAAATTAGGACTCTACCAAGCTGCGAGTTCCGTTATGTTGATACAAAATTTCAATCTAATCCATTATGGTGGCACGGCCCCACCCGGCTCTCAAAATATAATCGCCGCCCGGAGCTTCTCTCTATTTCTCAAGCAACTAGTAGAGAAAACTCCGCATTCTCAGCAAATGATTATCTAACCGCTGGCTCTATGCTTATAAATATTGCGCAACAGCAAAATCTAAACGAGATTGAGCGCTACCCAATAGAAACCGCCCAGAATGGTTTACTTCCTCTCAAACCAGAGTCCAGGACTCAAACCGCCCATAAAGGAATGAGACTGGGAACCCAATCCGCCCCTATGATTGAAGAAATAGGAATTCTAGAAGAAAAATCTACCCCAAGGATTCTATGGCCCATGAGACGTATCGTCAAATTAGGAGGGAAACCTGGAGCAACCAGGAGAGTAAAAATAAAACCGCAAAATGGCAATACCGTCACGCGTCCAGTCAATAGCGTGTGCCCTCGAAAAATAGAACCAACTAAACAGAAGGCTACCGTCCCACCTCAAGTCGACATCCCTACTGAAGGAACTCAAGGAACTTCTGTGCGGGACCCAAAGACTAACGCCGGACATCGAATGATAACGAGGAGCAATTCGAGAGCACTCGGGTATGGCCTACTAAACATGGCATTGTTCATTTTTCGTCTCGCATCCATCAATGGATCGCCAAAAACTAATATGACATGCCCAAAGTGTCAAATTTCATGTACTAAGGAAGGAGTTAAAATCATCTGCCCCAGCGAATTCGCCAATTTAGAATTATGCTGCGCCGGCAACTGTTCAATAAAGCGGAATGTTCCCGACAATTCTGGAACTTTATCAGGATCGGGACTGCTATTCCTTTTAATTTTATCTATTGCATTACCACATGTCAAAATCGTGTTCACCGTATCCAATTCATTTTTTCAATCTTCTCCGCTTTATTTCAAACTCCAATCCGCGCTATGCGACTCTCTCTTCGCAACCAAAATCATGGGGAAGAATACCTACTGCCTGAGTATAATACTAGGAGAACCCACAGAGAACTCAATAGGCATTGGAGGATCAATATGCTTTGCTGCAACAATGGGCACTCAGATGATGGCATGCTCGCCTCTTGTGGCCGGCGCCCCAGTGTCGCCGAAGCGACGTTTGCCATAATTGAATTAAATATTTTTGATTAATTTATTGGTGATCTTTTGCACCGTCTATTATTTAATCGTTTGTACCAGTTGCCCATATCTCTTGTTAGCCACACCCTTTTTGTGCTAACCCCATTTCTGATCATTTCTCCTATGCTTATTTTAATCATTTTATTCATTCATTAGGTTTTTAGCTATTTTTAGCTTTACTAAGTTCTCTGTGTATTTTCTCCTTCAATTATTCACATTTTTCCCCACCTGCATTCTATTTATTTTTCCAACTTAGGTTTTGGCCTTTAATCTATTTTTATTTTCTTTAACTAATTAGGCCAAACTTAAGTCTTTTTTCACTCATTATTTTTATGGTTGAATTACCCAAGTTTAAGGTCCTGAATAAATATTTTATTTGTTTATTCTCTTTTACTTGGTATTCCTATAATTCGCCGTCCTAAGGCGTGTCAGATCCCGCTCGTCCATTTAAGAGCCGCAACCCAATAAGCTCGTCAATCTACAGAGCTTTGGTTCCATCCTTTCGCCCACTAGAGAGGATCAACTATTTGAAGATTGAGGGATTCCCGGGACATTCCAGCTCAGCTACCTCCCGACTAGCTCAGCTCCTCTTCACTTTATTCAGTCTAATTCAACCTCCCGACAGCTGTGCGGTTCATACCGTCGCGCCGCACCCAGCTCTCATTCTTTCAGCGATATGTGCTTTATAAAAATTTTGGCGTTTAGCGTCCACTTTTGGTGCTCATTTTTGCCACCAATAAAAAAATTTTTTCCACAAAGAATCGGATTTTTATTTAAAAAAGTTTTTCCTTCAATTTTATTCCGAAAATTTATTTATTTTTGACAATATATAGAGTACTTTTAACACAATTTTTTGCTTGAATTAATTGTTCATATTTCATTTTCTCTATCGTCTCGTATATTTCTTCTTTTCGTTCATTGTTCAACACGTTAGCTGCTTGAAGTTATCACAAGATGTACAAGCAACTATTTAAATTAAATTTAAAAAATTTGAAGTTCCTGAATAAATCTGCCGGTATTAACGTGGGATAGTTTAAAAAATAAATATTTGAACTAAAAATTAGTTTACCCCCCCCCCCCATCCCACAGATTCTCCTCAACTCCCCAGAGGAATTTTCAACTCCCCAGGGGAAAAGTACGATACCGTATATCCTTTAATAACCACCCTGGGTAATTATTGTTTCGACCTTCTGCTGGCTGGGGTAATTAATTGAGGGAGGGCAATTATACTAGGTTTGAAATTTTGAACGTGTTTTAGGGCATTTGTTTGGGGGTAATTATTGTTTCAATCTATCGCTGGATGGGGTAATTAATGGAATTGGAGTAATTATTTGAGGGAGGGCATTTAATACATGTTATACGGTAGACCAAGCTCAAATAAAAAAAAACTTTTAATTCGAGAGTCGACTAGCATATTTAAAAACTTTTTACCAGAAAGCTCTTTCCCATTAAGATATGATTTTGTGCCTGGAGTTAATTCCATGAATTTTGGGGCACTAGTCTTTGGATCAAAATGATGGTTATCAGGTGACGATAGTGAAACTGAACCAACATTTGGATTAACAAACATGCTGCCACCTTGAATAATTTTTTTTTATTTCCTCAATGGTGTTGCGACAATTGCGAATAAATTTATAAATGGAACCGGAAATCGTTCGGAAACCGTCAAAGTGCGCGCCGGCACTCTGAAACAGACTAGAGATCGGAATTTTTGACAAGCCTGGACCTGTTCCTGGACTCTGGGTTTGATTTGTTGACCTTGACTGGATCCTGGGCTGTAGTCCAGGATCAAATCCAGGCCCAGGAAAAACCCCAGGAAGATCAAAAATGCCTGGGCCTGGACTCTGGGTATAGGAAAAACCCAGGTTCTGGTCCAGACCCAGGCCTATCTCTATAATCGACGGATACTTTAATCATTTTTTATTTTTTATATCCACAATTTTCGCAACTCCTCAAAAGTAAAATATTAATTTATTTACTATGAGAATAGAACATATAGTCTAAAGATCCAGGATTAACAGTTTTTGCAAAGTAGCATTGTTTATCAACATTACCACAAATACAAATATTTGTGGGGCAAACAATTTTAAAAACGCTAATATTTGAATCATCATTTGGGTAGCAACGCTAAGAAATTTTGAAAATTTTTAAAAATTCCAAAAAAAAATTTTTTTACTTTTGTAGTATTCTTGTTGGAACAAGTTTTGCTATAATAGCTATTTGCTTTGATTTCCGGTATGTTACCGAGCTGGTTGGACAAGAAGGTTACGGCGCCTTCACCATCCTTGCAGTCTGTACTTGCTTCTAAATTGGTGTTTAAAAGTATTTCTTGATTAAATTTAAATACTCCCTCCGTGGATATAATCCAACTAAACCGGTGCTCTAGATTGAGAACGTATAACGAATCTTGGTTGTGGCACAATCTGACCTCAATTATAAGGTACTCCCTTGAGTGTAAAAAAACGTCTTATAATGAAGTCTCTACCTCCCCTACCCCCCCCCCCCATATCTCTAAGGCTCTAAGGCAGACCCACTATCTATAAATCCGACCCCCTCCCCTCTACCCCTCGGCGGCCAACCAAAACTTAAATAAACGATCTTAGGTAGTAAATGTTCAGTTGGCTGTCTACTTGTCCGCAAAGAGAATCCGCTCTTCTTTTCTTTTCTTGCATTTTTTGACTTGGAGGAGGTGCTCCTTCACTTTTCCTTTTCCTTTATTAGTAGGACCCTTTGGTGTACTTTGGAGTGATGTCGGGTATCCCGACTTCCTAATCGGGAAATTTTCCCGAGTTTTTGGCCTCCCGATCCCGACTCCCAAGGTCATTTCCTAACCCGAACCCGTTTCCCGGTTTCCGAATTTTTTCTGCTCCCGAACATCATAATACTTTAAATAAGCCAAAAAAGGAAAGAAAATGGCGGATTCTTTTTGCGGACAGGTTGACAGCCAACTTCGGACAGCCCTGGCCACTACCTTAAATTGAGGCTTATCTAATTTTGGGTTCATCTTATAATTAAGTTTTTTAATTAATTAATTTAATAATTATTTAACCATTAAATTCAGCAGCCATTAAGAAGACAATTAAGGAAATAAAAATCATTTTTTATTAAAATTAATTTATGATTATTTAAAATTTTTTTAAATTTTTGAATAAAATACCTTTTGCTTAAAGAGTATTTATTCGCCTCTAAAGACAAACAAAATACTAAAATATAAATTTATAAATCCAAAAAAAATTTTTTTATTAAATCTGAACAAATAAAGAAGGAGAGAAGAAAGAATATTTTATTTGAGTGTCCATGAGATCAACTTCTTGGTGATCAACTGCTTAAAGTTGATCAAGCTAAGCTTTGAGTTTTTTGTGCCAGTAATCAACCAGTATATTTTTAGTCCACAACAGAGGTGTGTCGGAACAGTCAGAGGTGTCGGAAATCGGAATAGCCGGAGATCGGAACTGGCTCAAAAGTCGGAACTCGGAAATCGGAAATCAAAATTTTTTTGGAAATCGGAAGGAAAAACGTCAGAAATCGGAACTCTCCGCTTTATTTATCAATAATTGTTTAGAAAGCCCCTCAAAATTTGCTTTCAGTGGCCATTCAACTAAAAATTTCAAGATATTTCTACATCTCAATAAGACACATTTGTTAGTTAACCTCGTTGTCTACAATAGAGACCGTATCTAGATGAGATTCTAGAATAAATATTAGCTTATTGGTGTTTGGAAATTTAAAATTTGCTCGTAATCTTAGACAGGCTTACACCCTCTTTTGACTTAACTAGCTCAAAAATCTCATTTATCGAGCTCGCAATTTTTCGAGAAATTAATCTCGAATTTAAATTAATATTCAATTCCAGTTCCCGTCTACACTTTTCTATTAATCCTCAACCGAGTAAACCCCCAAAAAATATTGCTTTCCAAACCATCCTCCAAAATAAGTTGATTTAATTGTTGATCCCCTGGGTAGAAATTATTTTTTAATATTTAATGTAGGTGCGTCCATCGTACAAAGGGTACGAACGAACTTATTTATCAAAGATTAATACCACGACAACGTTTATTGTTTGAAGAAACGTGACAATTTATTTTCTCAAAAATAAACTTTTACAGAAAACACAAAAAAATATTTTTAGGAAAACGTTCTAGATCAATGCTCTGCACTAGGGGTGGGTCGGGTTACCCGAAACCCGACCCGAGGAAAATTTTGAAAATCCGAAACCGACCCGGCTTTTCTCACCCCGACCACCCATCCTTGATCTGCACTCCCTCAACAAAATGGAATCAACCCAAAAGAACAGCTTACTAGAGGTTACCTCCCTAATCTCTCTATATATCAAATGTCGCTCGAAGACAGCTCTCTTAGGATCAATCAACACTAGTTTTCTGCTAACTTTTAAAAATAACTCCAACCTACAGTTTCAGAGTTTTGCGGTATTAGTGGCTGCTTCGAAATGAAAATCAGAGGGAGATTTGCGTGATCTGTGAAATCTCATTCTCGAAATTCCGCACTGCTCGATTTGCAGATGTGGAATTCTATACGGTACTTTCGAGCTCGTGCAGGCTAGGATTTACCTTAACCAAAAATTCGGCCTGAACCATAATTAAAATTTTGATTAGACCGGAAAATCTAGTTCAACTCCAATGCAAAGTCCGGTGAAACTTACATGTTTCAGCACACTCGTCTGTTTAACGTTGACTTTTTCGAAGTTGATCTTTCGGATAATATGTCTTGGGTTTGATCTTGCAATGTACCAGACAATAATCTGCGATTTTTAAATTTTATTTTAATAAAAATTTATTTGTTTAGCCATTTTTTCTATTAATTTTATAATTTTTGATTTAAATTATACCAAAAAATTTTTTATAGTTTGTAATATTTATAATTTTATTAATTGAAAGAATTTTTTTTATTTAATATTCGGTCCCAACATTCAAAAATTAATATTAAAAAAATAATTAATAGATTAATACTTCATCGATCAACCTCTCAAAATCACTCATTCCAAGCTTAAAATCACAAAAGGTTATTGACTTGAAAGTTCAACATACTAGGTGTCAAAAGGCAATCGGGGAGCGTTTAGACATTAGAGACGTCCGAGACTCTTGGTCTTGAGTCTTGATTACAAGACTTTTCTTGGGGTTTTTCCGGTCTTGGTCTTGAGTCTTAGAAAATTTTCGATCTCGGACGTCTCTATTAGAAAGTAAAATTCATCTTTTAAATTTGAATTTCAAAAAGTTTCCTACTAGGATCTTGATATTGTATATTGATCGAAATCGAGACATCGATCTATGTCTACATAAAGGATGGGAGAGTTGAGAATAAAATCGCGTTAAGTTTTTCAAATTTTCATCGGATCGGAATTCAAGTTGAAAAAGTCTAGGTTTTGGGTAACCCGTCTCATTCCTGATCTGAATAATCCTTTATCCTCACTCCAAAATAATCCTTTCTTCTATAAAATCATCTTAAGAACATAAATATGCATGAAAAACTTGCGACGTCTGTGGGCTATAGAGAGGAAAAGCACTGAAAAAGTTACAAAAAAACAGAAACACAAATTTACAATTTTTAGTTATTGAGCTAGATTTTTTGAGATAACGATTCTCAACGTCCATTTCTCGCACCAGTCCTCAGGTCGGATATCGAAATTTCCAGACAGCTATGTTCTATAGTCGTTACAATTTTGTTAGACACACACTACTGTTTCAAGCGCCCGGTATTGAGCTGTATTATACAGGGGTTTTTGAAATAGCTTGCCTAGTAATATCAAGAGTCCGTAATTTTGTTTCGTACCGTATTACAGTACAGAATACCGAAAATATCAAGAAATACCCTCGGCAGTACGGTACCGTCCGGGCTCTGATTATGACATTCAATATCCGATGATTCGATGCAAACGAGGAAGAGCATTTAAAAAGGAAATGATGGGAAAATAAAAATGGGCGACACAAAGATTCCCGGACTGGACACGCCCAAGTAAAACGCAAAGCCATTACTTGCTGGAAGATTTCTGGCCCTTATCAATTTTGATATCAATCTCTTTAGCTCGATGAGAGGAATCGTTTAATACTGTAAGAAAGAGAAAGATCCAGCTGGCTAGCATTTAAAACGCTCACTAGCCGGGGGTAAAAGATCTATTAAAAGAGAGGGTGAAAGCAGCGTCCCGGTAGTTCAGTTGGTAGAGCACCTGCACGTGGTGAGCGTAAGAGCCTAGCAATAACTGCCAGGAGGTCGCAGGATCGAAGCCTACCAGGGATTTAAACTTTTACCTCGCTCTTACTATACTAAATTTGTTAGGATTCAGAAATCTTGAAGCGAGTTATGGGGGGCTGTACCTTACTTGGGCTTACCCTCTCGGACAAGACCAATTTAAAAATGTTAAATTCAAAACAAAAAAATATCTTCCAATATGTAGTACTATGAGTCAAATTTTATCTTTAAAAAAATTTCCCTTGAATATTATTCCAAAAAATTATTTTAACACATTTTTTGGACTAAAAATAATAATAAATGTTCATATTCTTTTATCGTTCCATCATTTTTAAATTTCTTCTCTTTTGTTGTTCAACACGTGGGGTTTTTAGTTTGTAAATCAGCACAAGTTGTACAACCAACTATTTAAAATAAATTTAAAAATCAGAAAAAAATATTGGAAAATTTTTTAGGTAAATAAATCGTTTGGGAAGAAATTTGTGTATTCATACCCATATTATAGATGGGTCGGAAACAGGGGTCGGTCGGATTTCCGATTTCCGAAAATTTAGGCTGATTTCCGACTTTTGAGTCATTTCCGATTTTCGACAGTTCCGATTTCCGGAACCTTCGTCATTTCCGACCGACCTCTGGTCAAAAATGGCAATGATTGAAAATATCTGGGAAACTTTGTATTTAAAAATAATTTTTAGATTTAGTCAAAGAATGGTAACTGTCTAAATAATAAGTTTAGTCTAGTGTTGTGCCTGAATCTCTGGTTCCGGTCCGGCCAAATTTTGCGGTTCCTACGCAACACTAGTTTAGACCAAACAACGATAACGAAACTTCTGGTTCGAAAGTCATCTACCTAGTATATTTAAAGTGGTTTTAAGTCAACTAGCATATTTAATATTTTTAAAATATTTTACCAGTAAGCTCTTTCCCATTAAGATATTTGTCTGTGCCTGGTTTTAATTCCATGTAATTTGGTGCAGGTGTTTTATAATAAAAATGATGCTTATCAGGTGACGATAATGGAATTGCATTAAGATTTGGGTTGACAAACATGCTGCCGCCTTAAATAATTTTTTATTTTCCCCAGAATTTCGTTTTTGCGAAATTTCGTGTTTTTGCGAAATTTCGTTTTTCGTAAAATTTCGTTTTTTGCGAAATTTCGTTTTTTGCGAAATTTCGTTTTTGCGAAGTTTCGTTTTTTGTGAATTTCGTTTTCGTAAAATTTCGTGTTTTTGCGAAATTTCGTTTTTTTGCGAAATTTCGTTTTAACAATTTTTTGTTTCGTATTTCGTTTTATAATAATTTTTTCTAAATTAGAAACAAATTATTTACTATGAGAATAAAACATATAGTCTAAAATTCCAGTAGTATCCTTAGTTGCAAAGTAACATTTGTTATTAACATTACCACAAATACAAATATCTGTCTTGCAAACAATTTTGAAAACGCTAATATTTGAATCATCATTTGGGTAGCAACGCTAAGAAAAAAAAATTTTTAATTTCAAAAAATTCTTTTTACTTTTGTAGCATTTTTGTTTGAACAAAGTTTGTAAGAGCTTTGAGCCTTTATTCCTTGTATACCCTTTTTTGTTTCCTCGTTTTGCAAGAAGGTTACAGCTCCTTGTTGAGCTTTACGGCATGTTGTTGCTTCTAAATTTGCGATTAAAATTAAAAATACTCTCTCGTCCAAAGACATTTTTGGGTATAATCCTACAAAATATAAATTAGGTTTATCTTAAATGGTATCCCCGCCCAGTGGCCATCCAATTTTTAAAAGGTTCACGATCAGGGCTGTGCGCCAAAATTTTCGTATGGAGCGCAACACGCAAATTTTTCAAATTTTTAAAAAACGCCAAACGCCCAGGACCTAAGTTTATCTAATTTTGTTCAGCCCTGATCACAACAATTCCGGACGATATTTGTGGATTAAAATTTCTAAAAATAAGAAGGATTTATTAAAGTTCAAGTTAGGATATGCAGAACCGTTCAGGATTCGGAAACGTCAACCAGAAACAGTGCTTGAACGCTCGTACCAAAATTCGTACTCGTACCGGGTACGATGTACAAGTACCGAGCAAATGTAAAATTTCCTAGCACTGTCAGGAACCCATGGTTTATCTAATTTTTGGGGTTATCTTATAGCGAGATTTTTTTTAATTAATTAATTAAACCATTAAATTCAGCAGCCATTAAGAAGACAATTAATGAAATAAAAATCATTTTTTATTAAAATTAATTTATGATTATTTAAATTTTTTTAATTTTTGAATAAAATGCCCTTTGACCAAAGAGTATTTATGCATCTCTAAAGACAAATAAAATAAATTTATAAATTTTTAAAATTGCCAAAAAAAAATTTTTTATCAAATCTGAGCAAATAAATACAAAAAAGTAGAGAAAAAGAGAATAATATTTTAAAGAGTACCCACAAGATCAACATTTTGGAGAGGTGTGTTGGGTAAGTAAGGCTTTAGTAAGTTTTAGTTAGTCTTTAGTAAGCTTTCTGTATAAACTGCCCAACCATCATATTCTTAGCCTTCAGCAGCACTGTACCATTAAACCTCTAATCAACAGCTCTATTTATCAATCTTCCCTCAAAATCCCTCAAAAAGTCACCCTTTCAGAGAGGTCATTCATTTAAGGATTTTAGGATATTTCTACATCTCAATAGAAACATTTGTTAGTTAACCTCGCTGTCTACAATTGAGACCATATTTACTATACAGATTCTACAATAAATACTACCAGACTAATCAAGATATTGCTCAAAAATCTCATTTATTAAGCCCATCTTGGAGATCAAACTAAGCGATTTTTTAGGGTTTTTTCGTTATGTTAAGCTCAAATTTTGATTAATACTCACAATTCAATTTCCAGCCTTCACTCGTATCATTAATCCTTAAATAACCCCTAAAAAATATTGTTGCTCTCCAAACAGTGCAGATCTTTGGGTCTTTTGATTTCTTGGGTCTCCAAGATAACTTGATCTTTGTAATGTTGATCTCTTGGGTAAACAATTTTCTAATATTTTATGGGGGTACATTTTTCGAAGCAAGGACGCAAACACACTCGCTATAAAATATTAATAACACAACATCAACGATTGTTTGAAGAAACGTGACATTTTATTTGCCCAAAAATAAGCTTTTTTAAAAACACAAGGCTTTTTCAGGCGGCAAATTTTAGATCTAAAAAAGCCGCTCTCCCTCTCGCCTAAAATAACTCTTCTTTATTTTTAGTTAACTAAGCATTTATGGCTCTAGTTGGTTTATGTACCCAAATAAAGATAACCTTTGCTCAAGGGATACTTATTCCCTCCCCCACTCCCCTCCCAGTCCGCAGGGGGTGTGCGCCAAAATTTTCGCATGGCGCGCCAAACGCCAATTTTTCAAATTTTTAAAACACGCCAAACGTAATAACGCCAAAATCGGCCAAAAAAGCGCCAAAACGTAATGGCGCACATCCCTAGTCCACATTTTAGTTGAAGTACGAAATAGCTCAAAAAGAGAGATTAACAGAGAACAAACTCAAGCAGAAAAAACTGGATACGCCTCTCCCTCTAATCCTCAACAAAGCTTTATTGGAAACATAAACTATAACCGAGCCAAATTTATTTGCTCAGTCAGCTAATTTATTATTTTTTTCTAATAAGCTTGTGATTTTTAAATTTTAAATTTTACCGGAAAATTCTATTTTTATTTTTTCTTATAGTTTGTAAAAATAAATTTAATAACTAAAATAATTTTTGATTTAATATTCGTTGTCAACATTTAAAAATTAAAAATTAAATTCAATAAAATTATCGAATTAGGATATGTAATAATAACAACTGCGCATTATTACAAAAATAACAATGAAGATGAAGCAATAGGAATGAGAAGAGGTCGCTGGAGCGCATTAATAAAATTGTGAAAACAAACTCCTGTCCCTATATCTTTACAACTCGAAAAACCTGCCCGAAACCATAGATCTATGTTAAAGAGTACAACCCAAAGTACCGTTGGCTCCAGGCTCGACGCGTGTCGCAAAACACACGCGCGACCCGATTGGCTAGGATTTTTTAGATTTGGCAAGATACGGGTTTTCAGCCTATTTTGGCAAGTTTTGATTTGGCACGTTATAGGGGTCCAGACAAACTTCTCAAATAGTGCTCGCACGGTAAGGTATTTTTGCGTTATTCCGTACCATAATACTATGCCAATGTAAATACGAAATCCCAATGACTACAACTAACATGTGAAGAGGTAATATTTATCCTATAATAGGGTAAAGCCCAAAAACATCGCGCGGCCATAACGACGCAAAGCTATAACTTGCTAGCAATGTCTGGCCCTTAACAATTTTGGTACCAATCTCTTTAGCTTGATGAGAGGAATCGTTTAATACTAGATTTCGTAAGATTAGGAAATCTTGAAGCGTCGCGCGCCGTTTTGGGCGTGTCCCGGGTGGCAGAGTATAATGGATAAATGCCATTTTTAATCAAAAAATTAGACTGAAATCTGAAGCCACGAATAAAAACTTTAAACAATTTTCAAAAATCGCCACAATTCCATCTCCTTTTACTCTGAATCTAACAATTTAATTAAATACATAAAAAGTTGAAGTATACACATTTTTTTAGAATTAAGAAAAAAAAACTAGAGAGGACGGAGGGCACAAAAAGAAACTTTTGAAATTTTCTCCAATTTTTAAACATTTTTTGTGCCCAATATTTTAAATCAATTCGATGTGAATTTTTCTTTTTTTTCAAATTTTTTTAAAAATAGGTTAAAAAATTTAAGGTTAGTTCACGACCTTTTGATATTTAAAACGGGAATACTCACCAATTTTTCTACTAAAATAAATTAATTTTCAAAATCTTGTTTTTTCTTTCTTTGTTTTTAGTCAAAGAAACTAAAAAGAAATATCGTAGATGCTCTAATTAAAGCCCAGCTCTAATAGAAGCCCATATCTAATATAAGTCCACCCAGAGAGATTCATCGAAAAAAAGACGCCCAGGGACCGTGGCTATGCTCTTGATAAATATGCATATTAACCCCTTGAAAAATACAAGTTTTGTTTTTGCTAAAAAAAATTTTTTTTTGATTTTGTCAGTAATAAAAGAGTCTTTTTAAATTTTTAGGAAACTGGCTAATATTTTTAGGCCAAAAACAAAAATTTTAAAAAATCATTTTTTCTCGGGTTTAAAAAACCAGTCGTGAACCACCCCCTCATTAAATTAAATTTTTTCATTTCCTCATTTTTTCTCCAATCATTTTTAAACCATCATAAAAAACCTTCCATTTACTTAATTTTCTTTTTATTGTGGCGGCATAGAAAGCGACTCGTCCGTATGTTCATGATGAATATGTGGTTGAGGACTTAACTTGCTATGAGCTGATGGATGCAGAATAGAAGATTTACGTTGCGGAACAGTGTCTGGACGTGGAATCTAGACAAGAAAAAAAATTTTTTTGGATAATTTTAAAGGAAAATTTTTTTAACTCAAAATTTGCAGAAAATATTTGCTGACATTTTCTGTCATAATTAGGGTTGCCTTTCCGAGTCGGGCCGAAGTTCGAGTCATTTTTTCGGGCTTGTTTTTATCGGGCCAGCCCGGCCGAGTCTTTTTCGGGCCAAAATCCGTTGCCCGACTCGATCTTTTGGACCGGACCGGCAACCCTAGTCAACCCGGCCGGCAACCCTAGTCATAAAGATAAAAATTCCAAAAATTTGCTAAACGATTTAGATTTAAAAAAATAATTTTTGTGTTATCAAATAACAAGTTAGTCCCTTTTCGGCCCAAATACATGTTCGAAACCCAGAACAAAATTAACAAAGTAGGGTAATTTTGGCAACCCCACAGAAATGTTTGGAGTGTTTAACAAGAAGAATATGAACCAAAAAGAGATGGTGGACTGAATTTCAAAATCCCATTGACAAAGCCTAACACAAAAATAATTTTTATTTTGCAGCTTTTTTTAACTTTAACCTTTGGCTCCAAATATTAAATGCAATTTAACTCTCCCCGGACTTACCGCCTAACAAGCACATATAACCCAATATAGGTAAATATTTTCAAAAAATTATAATCTTAAAAAACCCAATTTCAAAAAAACCTGTAAATGCTCATCAGTATCTTCATCTCCAGCATCCATTGAACATCCAGAAAAAGACCCAGCAGGCGGGCGAATAGTCGGCATTAATTCATCTTGTTGGTGAATCTTTGGCAAATTCTCCTCAATTGTTGCTGCCAACTTTGGAGCCGCTGCCACAGATATCGGCGGTGCCTGAGAAACAACGGTAGCGGGCACAGGCTGTTGCTGCCCAACTACAGCAGTTGTCGTCTTTTTGTCTTTATTCATATTGTAATCACCGGAGTCAAAAAATTTCTGAAAATAAAAAAATAATTGAATCATTTGCCAAGAATTCGAATCATTATTTCATATATTTAAAGGGAAATTCAATTTTTCTTAAGCCTTTATTGGAATCTTCTTTTGAATTTTAATAAAAATATTAACATATTAATTTTATGGCCTGTCTAATTGCAAAAATAGAGAAATCAAAGACCAAAGGAGTCTAAACCTTTTCCCTTGAAAGGTAGTTATTCATCCCTCCTACCGTCAGAGTTTTGAACCCGATATGCGGCGTTCAAGGGAAGGATAGACCCTTACCTTCGAACGCCGCATATTTAGTCTAAAAAAACTCGGACGGTCAAGTAAGGTCTGAAGAAATGCCTCAAAGGTCACCCCGTCTCAACCCTATAGTCAAAAGTAAATTTAGAATCAATCCCTAGATCAACTAGAACAAAAATACCCCTAAAATTTTTGGCCCCAAAAAATAATTAAAATCCTTACACGTTGCTGCAACCGTTTCTGAAGGAACGACCCAGCAGACTTTGGAGGAAGTTTACCACTCGAAGCAAGTTTATTCATCAACAACAGCTCCTAAAATATTTAAAAAATCAAAATTAAAAAAAATTAAAAATAAACCTGTTGCTTTTCAACAGAAACGGCTTCAGCTTGAGCGTCAGCAGGAATGCTGTCAGCTTTAGAAATATCTCCTCTCATTTTTTAAAAATTAATTTATACAAAAAAAAGTCAAATTACAGCTCAAGTCTGAAAAAAAAAATTTTTTTAATAAAACGAAGGAAGGAAAAAGGAAGGAAGGAAAAATAAATTTATTCGCGTTAATCACCCCCCAAAACAGCCAAAAATAAAATTTTAGAGAGTTAGCCAATTTTGGGCTAGACAGCCAATTTTTCTGCTAAAAATTTTACAAGTCTGCTGATTAACTAAAAAATAACCAATTTTTTGGATTCTCTTAGAAGAGGGATTGCTTAGGTAAAAATAGAGTGAGTGTTTAACCGTGGATAACAACGCGTTCTTTCTTCTTTCTGTCACTTTTTTCCCTTTTCTAAGAAGCCAAGTATAGTAAAGCTAAGGCAATAAATGGCTCATCTCATGCCTTCAAAAAAGCGGCGAAATAGAAAGAGAATTTATTGAATTTAAAAGGATAGTAATGGCTGACATCCATACCTGCCTATATTTGTAGAAGAGAACCTCGTATAATTTACCCAACACAAGTGGCGCTTTAAATGGAAAAAAAGGAAAAAAGAGTTGTTTATGAAAAATATTTTGGTTTTTTTGTTATAAAAATGGGTTGGTGTGTGTTTTGGTAAAAGCTTTTGTTAGATTGTGTTAATTAGAAAAATAAAACCAAAATAGGAAAGAAAGGTAAAATAATACGAAAATAAACTCGAAAATTTTCACAAAATATTCAATACTTGGACTAAAACTAAACGAAAAATTAAATTAACGGCACATAAGAAAGAGATTTTCACGATTTCCAGGCATTTGACTTGACTAACTTAACTTGACAGACTTGCTTAATCTGGAAAATCCGGACGGTCCGTTGGTTCCGATAAGAAGACGAAGTCCAGAATCCATTTCCGGGTCCGGAAAAAGTTTTACCGGACAGTACCTTTGGTAAATTATCAAAAGAATATAGAGCAGACAAAAAAAGAAAAAGAGAAATCAATATTGAATTAATAAATTAGTCTCCATATTTTGACAACAATCAATTCGTCAGTGAGGGTAAAAACTCTCATTTTGTCAACAAACCTATTGGCAAAATGTCGGTTTTTACTCGTATTGGCAAAATATGAGATTGGCAAAATGTGATTGACTATGAAAATTAATTTTGGCATTGTGTCTATTAATGATTTTTTATCCACAAAATAAAGAAAGACAAAAGGTGAGAGAAGAAGAGTTTTTACAAAATTTTTTTGTGGTTTTGAGGGAAAATTTTTTGCTAGGTAGCAGAGGTAGGTCCGATTTCCGAGTTCCGACTTCTCGGCCAGTTCTGCGAGTTTCGACTTCTCGGCCAGTTCTGCGAGTTTCGACTTCTCGGCCAGTTCTGCGAGTTTCGACTTCTCGGCCAGTTCTGCGAGTTCCGACTTCTCGGCCAGTTCTGCGAGTTCCGACTTCTCGGCCAGTTCTGCGAGTTTCGACTTCTCGGCCAGTTCTGCGAGTTCCGACTTCTCGGCCAGTTCTGCGAGTTTCGACTTCTCGGCCAGTTCTGCGAGTTCCGACTTCTCGGCCAGTTCTGCGAGTTCCGACTTCTCGGCCAGTTCTGCGAGTTTCGACTTCTCGGCCAGTTCTGCGAGTTCCGACTTCTCGGCCAGTTCTGCGAGTTTCGACTTCTCGGCCAGTTCTGCGAGTTTCGACTTCTCGGCCAGTTCTGCGAGTTTCGACTTCTCGGCCAGTTCTGCGAGTTTCGACTTCTCGGCCAGTTCTGCGAGTTTCGACTTCTCGGCCAGTTCTGCGAGTTTCGACTTCTCGGCCAGTTCTGCGAGTTTCGACTTCTCGGCCAGTTCTGCGAGTTCCGACTTCTCGGCCAGTTCTGCGAGTTTCGACTTCTCGGCCAGTTCTGCGAGTTCCGACTTCTCGGCCAGTTCTGCGAGTTCCGACTTCTCGGCCAGTTCTGCGAGTTTCGACTTCTCGGCCAGTTCTGCGAGTTTCGACTTCTCGGCCAGTTCTGCGAGTTTCGACTTCTCGGCCAGTTCTGCGAGTTTCGACTTCTCGGCCAGTTCTGCGAGTTTCGACTTCTCGGCCAGTTCTGCGAGTTTCGACTTCTCGGCCAGTTCTGCGAGTTCCGACTTCTCGGCCAGTTCTGCGAGTTTCGACTTCTCGGCCAGTTCTGCGAGTTCCGACTTCTCGGCCAGTTCTGCGAGTTTCGACTTCTCGGCCAGTTCTGCGAGTTTCGACTTCTCGGCCAGTTCTGCGAGTTTCGACTTCTCGGCCAGTTCTGCGAGTTTCGACTTCTCGGCCAGTTCTGCGAGTTTCGACTTCTCGGCCAGTTCTGCGAGTTTCGACTTCTCGGCCAGTTCTGCGAGTTTCGACTTCTCGGCCAGTTCTGCGAGTTCCGACTTCTCGGCCAGTTCTGCGAGTTCCGACTTCTCGGCCAGTTCTGCGAGTTTCGACTTCTCGGCCAGTTCTGCGAGTTCCGACTTCTCGGCCAGTTCTGCGAGTTTCGACTTCTCGGCCAGTTCTGCGAGTTTCGACTTCTCGGCCAGTTCTGCGAGTTTCGACTTCTCGGCCAGTTCTGCGAGTTTCGACTTCTCGGCCAGTTCTGCGAGTTTCGACTTCTCGGCCAGTTCTGCGAGTTTCGACTTCTCGGCCAGTTCTGCGAGTTCCGACTTCTCGGCCAGTTCTGCGAGTTTCGACTTCTCGGCCAGTTCTGCGAGTTCCGACTTCTCGGCCAGTTCTGCGAGTTCCGACTTCTCGGCCAGTTCTGCGAGTTCCGACTTCTCGGCCAGTTCTGCGAGTTTCGACTTCTCGGCCAGTTCTGCGAGTTCCGACTTCTCGGCCAGTTCTGCGAGTTTCGACTTCTCGGCCAGTTCTGCGAGTTCCGACTTCTCGGCCAGTTCTGCGAGTTCCGAATTCCGAGTTCCGACTTCTCAGCCAGTTCCGATTTCCGGCTCTTCCGATTTCCGACACCTCTGACTGTTCCGACCCACCTCTGCTAGTTAGAACCTTTTACTAATCTTTTCATTTATTTTTATAGCTTTAGATCGTTTTGCTTGTTAATGGCCATTTACTATTCAAATTTATTCCAAAACTTTCTTCCAATTTACCAAATATTATGGAATTTGTTGTTGCATTAGCTTTTGTTGTGTTGGTTGCCGTCTTCTTTTTCTCTCTTTGGATGCTTGTTGTGACTTGTCAAAGAAGAAACAATTATAAAAAAATGATTAAGACGCGACCCTCTCGATTTTCAAGTTTAAAAAATGGAAATAATGAGGATGTTGCTCAACTTGGGCCGAATATGCGTAAATTTTATTTTTTTGTCTTTTTTTTAGGAATTAATTGGTCTCTGCCTAAAATATTTACTGTTTGGTAATCATGGACAATCCGGGAGACAGGGATCAATCCGGTGTGTCTCCCGGATTGTCCATGATTACCAACTGTTTCATATAAGCATGCTTTTTTGGGTTCTTTTAGGCCTATAATAAGGATATGAATTTTGGGGGTAAAATTCTCCTTCTTGTAGGTTGACAACTATTATTTGGTAATTCTGAAGCTGGCCCCCCATTCTTTTTCCTTATTTTTTCCTTCCCTAATTGTATGATTGTACTTAATGGTCAGATTTTTCCCTTTCCTTTTTTCTTCGTGGTATATTCAAACAAGAGAGAAGATTAATTCTGTAGTCAATCAAGCTTCAGAATTATCTATAATTCAGAAACCACCACACGGGTCTAGAATTTATTGTGAGGGTACTTTTCTTTAGAGATTTTTGCCCCCTAAATTGAAAAGGATTATCAATTCGACCATTTCTAAAGACCAGGCTACCTCACCACACACTTCCTCACTCACCAGGCTTCCTCAGCTTTTTCAGACCAGGCTTCCTCAGTTTTCGACTCCAACAATTTTTAAAAATTCTCATAATCTTTCCTTTCAGTTAAAACCTTAAACGACAATCAATGGATCGACGATTTTGCTGCTGGATTACTTCAAAATTGTGTTGCCGTCCTTCGCCTTTGTCATTCCCTAACTGAGCGTATGCTTCCCTTAGAACAACAAAAATCGAATCAATATTCCCTTCAAATTGACAAACTTATTTGTGAGGCAAGTGGAAGATTAATGCCTAATTTCGAGTCTTTGTTGTATTCAATGGCTGCCAAAAATGTGGATATTCGTGTTTTGGAAGCGCGTGTTAATTCTTTGGTCAGCGCTTCGTGGGCCTTGGCAATGCCTATTTGTTTGGCTAATTTAAAACAAAAGGAGCCGTTGGAGGAGATTTTGAATGAAATGAATGCACATTTGAAACAACTTCAGGTTTCTTTAAACTCAAATTTCTTTGAGCTTTCATAGGTTCCTTTTTTATTAATGGGGTTGCTATCAGTAATATTGAGCCGGACAGACCCCATTTTTTCCTCCCCGTTTTTCTTATATAGTTATTCACAGAATGGTCAGCCTTCCTTCAACTTTCCTTACTTTCGTCCAACGGGGAATAAAATTAATTCATTTTGATTTTTTGTAGGTAAAATATTGAAGGACAACTTGGGTCTAACAATAAGAAAGGAAATAGTCTAACCATTCTGTAGATATATAGGAAAAAAAAGCTTGGGTAGGAAGAAATGGGGTCTGTCAAGTTCAATCTTACCTAGCTATCTTTCCTTTTTTCACTTCTGTCCAAGTTTCCTTATGTAAAAATTAAATTACTCAAAAATGAAATATCAGACATTAACCGGTATCAGTAGCCGTAAACAATCAAGTGTGTAGCCACGGGGGGGGGCTTCTGGAAAAAATAAAAATATGGTTCAAAAAAGTGTTGTCTTCGGAACGCAAAGGTAAACGCCAAAATTTTGGCGCATACCAAATTTTAGCCCCTTGAAATTGACCCCTTAACTACGCCTTGTAAGCAAAAATTTTTAAGAAATGTGAGGCTGACCCCTAAATTTGAAAATCTAAACATTTTAAAGTTTTGAAGTTAAACTTTTTAAAAGATTGCACTAGACCAATTCGAGGAGCAAGAAGAAAAACAGCAAATCGAAAATTGTAAAAACGCAACAAAATTTTCTTTGAGACTGCAAAACTTCAATAAAATACAAAATCATATTTCTGAAACTTCTTTTACTAATTCAGAAAATCCAGGATTGTCTCAGACTTGTGAAAATGTTAAAATCAGAATTGGAAATGATGAAGAGGTTTTTTTGAGTTTTTAGGGATTTTTAATTAAAAATTAAATTTTTAGCAAATTTCCTCACTTCTTCCATCCACTCCTGAACAGTTTGTGGAAGAAACGGCCCCTGCGGATCCAGCAATTACAAAATGAAATTCTTTTAAATTAAAAGTATAATTTAATTTTAAATAAAATAATTTTTTGGGCATTCGGTCTGGGCCGGATTTGTAATTTTGGGGGATTTTCGAGATTATTCTCTGAATGTACGTTATTGCCTGGATGTACACCCCCGTCTCTGGAAGTCAGGGAATTTGAGACTTTCCCTCTTTGTGGGAATGCGCATTATTTAAAGTTTAAATTTGGAGGGGTAAAATTATGCCAAATTTTGGGACTTTGGAGGGCCATAGCTTGGCCAGATCAAAAAACCGTTTTTAGGCCGGACACCTCGCAACCTCTCCTTGTAAGAATTTTTTCATTAATTCTAATATTTTAAAATCTGGCCTAGTTCCAATTCAAAAAATTCTTAATTTTTCCCTCTCTTGGTAGAATTTCCTATCTCATTTTCATGTTCTTATTTTCTCTAAATTTAACTAAAACTTTATACTATTAACACAAAATAAATATAGTATTAGACCCAAAAAATAAAATTATTTTTTTGTCGAGTTTCTTAAATTTTTTGTTTAATTTTATCAAATTAAATCTAAGTTGATGTTAAATTCTGTATTTTAAGAAACTCGATTTAAAAAAAATAATTTTTTTCATGCCATAACTCTCCCTTTTTTAATTTAACAAGTTTCCTCAAAATTTGCAGATACTCATTTTCATCTATCCAATTTTATAATTTTTTTAATGGAAATGAGCCAAAATTTTTTTTTGAAAAATTAAATTATTTTTGGATAATTTAAAATTAAAAAAAATTTTTTAGAGGCAACATTTAAAAAGAAATTTGGCTTTTTTCCTTTTATTTTTTAATTAATTCCCGAGTGATTTATCCGTCCAAACATTTTTTAAGTGTCTTTTTATATGTTTCTTAAAATATTTTTTGTTAGCTTTTTTAATTTTAAGTAGGGTAGCTCCCCGTACCAGACGCTTTTTTTGGCAAAAACCCCGTCCCGACCCCGACCTGCCTTCCCCGGCAATACCGATCCTCGACACATCCGACCCCGAAGGCTCGGGGAGCTACTCTAATTTTAAGATTGGATTTGTTTTTTGAATATTTTTTTTGTTTTTAAAATATTTTTCCAAGAAATATTTCTATCAAATCCAATCTTTTTATTTAAATACCCACACAAAATATTTTGTTTCAAAAACAATTTTTAAAACTAATTTTCTTTTGCGTTTTTTGAAGGTCGGGCATTTGCTAGGAATTAAAATTTCAAGTTCATTTACAAGGTATTTATTAGAGACCGAATCGAGTTCAGAAATTTTGACTAAGAAGCTTGAGATTTTTTGAGATATTGACCACGATCCATCCCCCAATTTCGGACTCTAATTTGTCCTAAAATAATTGTAAATGCCTGATTTAATTATTAAAAATACTCATTTTCTTGAATTTTCTTGAATTTCTTTAATCTTTTTATTTTTTAGAATTTTTGTAGACACAAATACCCCTTTAAAAGCTTGTACAGTACTGCACAAAAGTATAAGAACACTTTTAAAAAGCTTATAACTTGGGACATACTTGACCAAATTTTAGCAAATTTTGTGTAAATATGTGGATTATAAAGAGAAATACGATTAAATAATTAAAATTTTAAATTTTTTAAAACATCTCGCCAAAACTTAAAATTATTGAAATTTTTCGATTTTTTTACTGCACAAAAGTATAAGAACACTTTAAAAAAAAGATATTTCCAAGAGTAGGAAAAATCTACAAAAATTCTAACAAAGATACATAATGATATTATGAAAAAATAAAAAAGAACTAAAACCATATCTTTACCCGGAGTTGAAATACTGAAATCTCAAAAATCAACGTAAAACGGGAGTAAGGCTCTTTAAAAAAATTTTTCGACCCCTTACGAATTATTTTCAATTTTGATTTTGGGCTCATTCGAAAGCCCTTTAAATTCGGAAGCGACTTTAAGGGGACTTTTATGGGGCCCTTACGAATTATTTTCAATTTTGATTTTGGGCTCATTCGAAAGCCCTTTAAATTCGGAAGCGACTTTAAGGGGACTTTTATGGGGCATTAAGGCGTTTTTTTCTGCATCAGAAGTTTAATGCCTGCTTCTCTCTCTAAAATTTTTTCTTAAAAATAGAATTGGTGCTATCTTGTAGCAAATTTCAAGGGCTTTCGAATGAGCCCAAAATCAAAATTTACAGTAATCCACAAGGGTCAAAAATATTTTTTAAAGTTGAAAAACCCTATTTTACGTTGATTTTTGAGATCTCAGTATCTCAGCTCCGGGTAAAGATATGGTTCTAGTTCTTTTTTATTTTTTCATAGTATGCATATATATGTCTGATGAATTTTTTTCGGATTTTTCCTATTGTTAAAACTACGAAAAACCAAAGTGTTCTTATACTTTTGTGCAGTAAAAAAATCGCGCAATTTTAATAATTTTAAGTTTTGGCGAGATGTTTTAAAAAATTTAAAATTTTAATTATTTAATCGTATTTCTTCTTATAATCCACATATTTACACAAAATTTGACAAAATTTGGCCAAATATGTCCCAAGTTATAAGCTTTTTAAAAGTGTTCTTATACTTTTGTGCAGTACTGTATTATATTTATTTTCACACATTTAAATTAAATATTTTTAAGAATAAAATTGTAAAATAAAATTTTTTCTTGTGGTTAATATACCAAAAAATTATTTTTAAAAATTGTACTAATTTTATTTATATTTTTAGTTTTGTGAATTGATTTCTGATCCAGAAGATAATTTGGATTGTTGACGAATTAATAATATACGTTTTGTCCTTACAAGGTTATTTAATTTTATTGATTTAAAAGAGTTGAATTTGAAAATTGATACAAGTGTGTCATGGTGTGGTGGGAAAAGATTGGGTCTTGGCGTGTTTATATGTGGGTTCGACCCCAACCGACGAAATTGATTTTTTACCAAAGCTAAAATGAATTTCTAGTTTACAAAAACCTTTTGTGAGAAACAACCATTTTTATATTTTTTTTCGAATTTTAGATGACTTCATTCACACGCGCATTGGAACTTTTCAACCCTTCCAACGGACGTCATTCTCTTCTTTGCAAACATTTGGTCGTTTCTTCATTTTTCCAAGTGCGTAACAACTGCCCTTGGCACCGAAGCAGTTACCAACAAGCATACTTCCCATTTAGTGCCAAACATAAATTAAAAATGGACAATATTAATCGACTTTTGTACGAAACTAAAGGAGGAAAACACATTTTGATGAGACGCTTGTTGGGAGAAAAACATTTTATTACGTGGAATTGGCCATCTAAGAAACCAAAGAATGATCGACTTGCTTATCCTCTTTAAAATGGAGAGAAAATATAGGTTTTTTGATTTAAATAATGGTTATTTATGAATTTTGAATGTTTTAAAATTTTTTGGATAGAAATTTGTTTTTTTTCGATTATTTATCACAATTAAATATTTTGTAGACTGAAAACTAGGGCTAAAATACTAATCTTTAAAAAATTCTTTGAAATAGACATATATTTTATATAAAAGTATGTAGAATTTAGAAAAGGGACTAACAAAATAAATAGCAGAGATAAGTCAGAACGGCCGAAAAGTGCCGGGAGAACTGTCTCGAATGTTGAAACTTGGAAATTTTTGGAGATTGAAAGTCCTCGCTGGAAATTTACAAAAAAAACGTTGGAAATTAGAATCCCGACTTATCTCTGCTAGCTAGAAATTCAAAAATCTAAAAAACTTGAAGAATCTTGATATTGATTAAATAATAACAATATTTAATGTCATTGTCTGTAATCAAGGGTATTTAAAATTCCAAAAAAACGACTTTCTTAAAATAAGACATGCGAAAATATATCGTCTGATTAAATATATAGTAAAAAATAAAATTTTACGAGAGAGGGATTGTAAAAGGCGGGGGAGGGATTGTAAAAAAATTTTTGAACGAATACAAAAATGGTATGAAAGGACCAGAGGTCAAAAAACCTACGGACCAGGGATCCTTAATTTTAGAAAATCTTATGTGTCCACTAAGGTTGTCGGATAGTTGGAAATCTTCGGATATCCGGCCTTTTTCGGATCCGGATCCGACAACCTTGTGCCCACATTCACCAATATAAACCTGCTACTTCTAACTCAAAAAAACCTTTTTTTTATTTTATTCAAAATTCTTCATTGAATGATTTTGTAACATTGCAGCATTTGTTGTTGTCATTTCTGCACGATTACTACCCGCCATTGTTACAAACGATGGGGCTGTTGATGTTAATTGTTCTTTAATAGTTTTTGGTGCAGTTGAAATTCCACTACTGTCAGCCCCAACATCGTCAAGAATAAATTCAGAAAGTAATGAATCTACTTCAGCTAGGCCAAAGAACCTTTTTAAATTGAGAAATAAATTTGCTTAAACTTTAGGGGAAAAATTTATTGGGGGCAAGACCTTGGGATGTCAAAAATGAAAAATGACTGAAATAAGAAAACTAAAATAGGGAAAAGTCGAAATTTCGGCCCAGCCCGGCTAAAATTAGAGACCCAACCACCACCCATGATAGTTGAAAGGATTTTTTAGTTTTCAATAGTGATGTACAATTTTCCATCAAGTCGGGAAGTATGTCTCTCTTCAGAGAACACAGGCGCTCTGAAAGAGAGACATATTTCCCGACTTGACAGAAAATTGTACATTACTAGTTTTCAATTTCCTACCAATAAAACTACCCTAAAATATTTTTCAATCGTCTTCAAAGGGTCTTTCTATTAGAGGGAGCCATTCAACTTGAAGAAAGTGGCCCCTCTATCAGCTTTTACGGCAATTTAAAAAAATTAAAAAAAAACTTTGTTAAAGTCATATTTTCAATCAACAATTGAGTCAATGCTTTTAAAGCCGGCGCTAACAAAAGAATATTTCCATATCTACTTGGAGCCTCGTCTACCGGTTTAGATGCCAAAATGATTGAATAAAGAGCTTAAAATTAAATTCTAAAAAATATTTTAAAAGAAACCTTTAAGTATTTTATTTCTAGTTTCACGTATTATTTGTTGTGCATTTTGTGATAATCCTCTAGCTTCTGGATGTAAAAATGCCAATGCTTTTAGACAAACAAATTCTTCCTCTTTCATCTGTATTTTTATAAAAATTATTTTTAAAAATGAATTGAATTATGTCCGCAAGTTTTTTGTTCACAAATTCCGGAGAAAGATTTTAATGTAAAGGCAAAGGCTTTAACGTAAAAATAGTAAAGCTGGAGTTGCACCCAAAAGGAGTAGGGCGCAATTGTTAAAGGGCGCAAAAATGGCAAAACGAACGGATACTTATCTAATAGCTCGAATGTCCTTCATGTGATAGCCTCCCGAAATGTCTGCCCCAGGCAGCCTTTGATTAAAAATATTTTTGAATTTGCGGACAAATCTGGAGTTGCACCAAGAGGAGCGTGGAGAAACTGTAAAGAGCTGCTAAAAATTCTTAAAAACGCAACGGATATTTACCAAGAGGATACAAATACCCTTCTTGTGGTGTCCGTCCCGAAATGTTTGTTTCTAATGATTCCCGAAATTGGTTAAAAATATTTTTGAATTTGTGTACAGAACTTGCGAGCAATCATTATTTTATTAACAGAAAAACCTCTAATTGCCTCATCGGCCAAACAATTTCATCCAACACTCTAGGCATTATATTTGCTGCTTTAAACGCAGCAAAGGACCCCAACTGTTCATTTCCTCCCTGAGATTGATCAGCTCCCAACAAAGAATTATTAAATAAACAAAGCCTTGTAGTATCTGGGGATCGAAAAGCGGGCATTAAAATGAGGTGTTGAGGCGCATAATTTTTTAATAAAATGACCTGAAAAAAATTTTTTGAAGAGAAATTTTAAGAGAAAAAAATAAACTTTGTCTTCCATTCGAAGTTCTGAAAATGTTTGCATTCCTTTTGCCCATTCAACCATTAAAAGAAGTGTTGTACGGGAAATTTCATTCAAATCCTTTTAAAATAAAATTCAATGAATATTTTAATAGAAAGTAGAACAGAAACGAGTGAAGGGAAAAAGAAAAGTAAGGAGAAAAACACAATTATCCGAAAAAAAATTTTCCCCCAATTAAAAAACTAACATAACTAACTTCACCAGCTTATGTAAGCTAACACGTAGGCATGAAAAATTCTAATGAGGGAGGAATCATTTTTGGAAATGATTGCCTTTCCCACTTTTTTCTTTTCCCCATTTCGTGGGTTCACTCCTCTTAATTTTTACAATAGCTACGAGCTAGCCTCACGAATTTGGGTTTCCGTTTTTACAAGGATAGAGAAACTCAAAAAAATTTCCGCAATTTTTTCAAGATCTAAGAAAATTAAAAACCTCAATCGAAGCCGGTCTTGATCCTGAAGGCGAGCTAAATGCTGAAGGCCCATTAGGATGAAAAACTGGCGAAACAGACGGGCCACTAGTACCTTCAGCATCAAACTGGGAACCAGAAAAAGCGCTCGAAAGGTTTCGGTAACGCAAACACATTTCTTGATTTACACGTGCCTGGAAAAATAAAAAAATATGATCAAAAGTTAAAATTATTTAGGGGAAAATAGAGCAAGATTCCTTAGGAATAGAATTGCTCGCCCACCCCGCAAAATTGGAAAAAATTCCGAAACTTTTGGTTTAAATAGACAAAAAATTTGGCCCTGGTTAGAATTTTGAATTTACCGAAGAGAAAAAAAAATCACAATTTTATCCCAAAAATGAGTTTCCCAAAATTTTTAATTAAATTAAAAAAAACCTCCAATTCCATCAACAAATAAATAATATTTGAATAATTATTAGCAGAATTTTCAGAAATAAAATTTCTCATTTCAATTCCAGAAGAGGTAGAATAAATTGAAGGTTTGCTTTCAACTCCAGGCGAAAGCGATTGTTCGCTCCCTCCATAATCCAAAGTTTGCCGACGTTTTTTAGGAGAACTTGGAGAGCTTATTGAATCACGTTCAAATTGAATAGCTTCTCGTTTCATTCCAGCGCTTAAATTAAAAAAATTTATTTTTCAAAAAAATAGTAGTTAAACGAAAATATGACCGTGGTAGAGTAGAGAACGAGCTGGGTCTGGACCAAGGCCTGAGGTTTTCCTGACCCAGAGTCCAGGCCCAGGCATTTTTTGACCTTCCTGGGGTTTTCCTGGGCCTGGGTTTTTCCTGATTACAGGCCCAGGATCCGGCCCAGGTCAATAAATCAAACTCAGAGTCCAGGAACAAGTTCAGGTTTTTCAAGATAAAATAAAGCGATAACTAATAAAATTAAAAAAACGAAAAACAATATTTAAAAATTTTCGGTTCGGACATCGGTATGGAGATTCCACAAAATCCATTATCATACCTCTAATAATGTTTAGGGTTTATTAATATTTTTATTATGATCGAGGGTTTGGAAAAATGGTAATATTGAAGAGTACAGACTAGAGACCGGCGCGGGACGGGATCCCGCGCGGGATTTTGCGGGGTCCCGCTCCCGCAATCCCGCACTTTTTTCGATTTGCGGGATTTTGCGGGATGCGGGATTTTGCGGGGTTTTTCCCGCGGGATCCCGTCCCGCAAAGATTTTTAAAAAAAATCCCGCATGCGGGATCCCGCAAAATTTTTTGAGTTTTGCGGGATTTTTGGAAAATGGAGAATTTTTGCTCCTAACCTTCTAAACTCAAAAAATTTTTGCCTGCGGCGCTAGAAAAACAAGAATTTTGGTCGTTGGCCTTCCTAAAATCTCGAAATTTTTGCATGCGGCGCAGAAAAAGGAGGGAATATGGATACTTGGCCTTCCAAAATTTTCGCCTGTTGCCCATGGAATCATCATTATTACATCGAAACAAAATTGTCCAAATTGTTAGATCAAGATTTGTTTCAGCTCAAGCTATTCTAATTCGTATACTCGAATTTTCCGACGAATGTGTATAAGTTTGCACTTTATGATTTTTTTTGATAATTGGGGACCTGGATAAGTGCTTATCGTTTGTGCCAATATGTACTCGTAATTTGGTACGAAGTATAAACAGTTAAGAACCCGTTAAGAACTCGTGAATGATTAGGAAATTGATTTTTTCAATGGATATTGATGATTTCAACGATTTTTGGAAAATCCCGCAATCCCGCGCGGGATCCCGCAAATTTAAATTGCGGGATTTTGCGGGATGCGGGATTTTGCGGGGTTTTTCCCGCGGGATCCCGTCCCGCAAAGATTTTTTATAAAAATCCCGCATGCGGGTTCCCGCAAACACGATTTTGCCGGTCTCTAGTACAGACCCCATTTTTTCCTCCCTATTTTCCCCCTATATTTTTACAAAATGGTCAGACTTTCTCCTTCCTTCCATCCAACTTCCCTTTCTAATTTTTGCCTAAATCAAACAAAAAGGATTATTTTTGATATTTTATTCCCCATTTTAATAGAGAAAATGAGTCTTCTCAAAACTCATACTTGTTAAATACCAAAAAATAATCCTTTTTGTTTGACTGTAGGCAAAAATTAGAAAGGAAATTGGACTGAAGGAAAAAGTCTGACCATTTTGTAAAAATATAGGGGGGAAAATAGGGAGGAAAAAAATGGGGTCTGTACTCTTCAATATTACCGGAAAACTCTTAATTTCGATTTTGCTCAATTTTCCAAAATTGGGTTCCTTACACTGATTTTTATTAATTAAACGAGGTTGTGAATCAATTTAAACAAACAAAAAAAACTTTAAAAATAATTAAAAACCTCAAACATTTCTGAAAACGACAATAACGACAGGCGCAACGAAAGTTTTTGTCAATAATACAATTTTTGTCGAAACGACAAGTAAATTTTTGATTTCGCAAAATTGTTCGGCGGAAAAATCCCTTTAAAACAAATTAAATTTAAAATTAAAAAAATAAAAAATGCCTTGCATCCATTACAGGAAATTGTGCCATAATGAGTACCTGTCGATTTATCACCACAAACTTGGCAAGGCTCGGCTAGGGGATCTAAAAATTAATTTAATTTGAAAATAATAAATAAATAAACACACCATTAACAACTACTTCCATTATTACAAAATTTAAAAAATTATTTTGAAGATAAGAAATGCTAAAATTAAAAAGAAAAGTGATTACTTGATCGGTTGTTTTACTCCCAATATTAGATGTTTTGAATTATTTTTTGCTAGTTGACACTTTGAAATTAATTAAAATGTTTCGATGGGGTACGATTCGGCGCAAACAATTCGTCGCACACGTTTCCGCGCCGCTCAGTTCCGCGCCAGCTCGGTGGGCGCCGAATCGTGTCTAACCGAGAATGTTTTTATATTTTCCCTCAACTCTTTTCGTTTTTATCTTTCTCTGTCCACCGTTACTTTCTTTTGCAAATTTTATTTTGTCTTACTTTTGAACATTACGAAACACAAAAAATAAAAACGTCATAAAGGGAAGAAACTGACAAAATGGTGCAAACTAATAATGTCTATTACGTTTTTTTGGGTACAGCCCAAGTAGGCGCGCAGCCAAGTAGGCGCAAAGCCATAACTTGCTTCAGGATTTCCGAATCTTAACAAATTTAGAATTAAACGATTCCTCTCAACGAGCTTAAGAGATTGATACCAAAATTGATAAGGATCAGAATTTTTGGATATAGTGTAGTTCACCGGAGGTAAAAGTTCGGGACGAGACATATGTCATTCGATTCGTCTCGGCGAGCCGAGTCGAACGGTACCACTCCCAGTTTCAGGAAATGATTCTGGACCGAGTTATAGGTCCCGAAAAATCGAAAAACCAAAGGGGGGACCAAGCACTTTTTTGGGGTGAAAAATTCGAAAATGCAAATTATACCTCATTCGAAAGAGCTCGTCGAGCTGAGTCGAATGACACAAAATCAACGAAATCCGACTTGATTGGACTGAGTTATAGACCCCTAAAAACCGAAGATCCAAAGGGGCGATTTTTGGAATAAAAAATTTTTTATACAAATAATATCTCATTCGAAAAAGCTCGACGAGCTGAGTCGAATGACACCAAAATCACCGTAATTGAACAAGATTAGACAAAGTTATAACAAAAAAAAACCTAAACCTATGGAGCGTCGGCGAGGCGCTTGTGCAAAACCCCGCGCTTCGCGCGGGGTTTTGCGGCACGCGCCTCGCGGGGAGTCTACGGGGGCTGGGTCTGGGCTCGTAACATGATCCTATTCCCATTTTCCTTGCTCTGGACGTATTTGGGGCCCCCGTAACAGCAAAAATCTCCACAGATGCCATAGGTAAGGAGCTTAAACAAACGGTCATAACTTTGTCAAATCAAGTCGGATTTTGTTGATTTTGGTGTCTTTCGACTCAGCTCGACGAGCTCTTTCGAATGAGGTATAATTTGCATTTTCGAATTTTTCACCCCAAAAAAGTGCTTGGTCCCCCCTTTGGTTTTTCGATTTTTCGGGACCTATAACTCGGTCCAGAATCATTTCCTGAAATTGGGAATGGTACCGTTCGACTCAGCTCGCCGAGACGAATCGAATGACATATGTCTCGTCCCGAACTTTTACCTCCGGTGAACTACACTACAGCCGAATTTTTCAAGGTAGTTATGCTTTGCGCCTACATGGTCGCGCGCCTACTTGGGCGTGTCCCGTATTTTTTTTAATTTTTTGTTTTCCGCGTTTTTTAAAATTTTTCTTTTAAAAATTTTTTCTTTTAAATTTTTCCTATTTTCAGAATAGCCACTCTCTATTTGTAAACCTAGAAATGGACAATTTTACAGATTTAGTGGCAGTTACCAACGAAACTTTGACCGACACAACCTTCATTCCTACCTCCGATAGCTTTATTGAATTTTGTGATAATGAGGTGAAGAAAGGGTTGGAAATTTGGTTATTGGCTATGGCAATTATTCCGTTCCTTTTTTCGTTGATTATTATTGGTTTTCTTTTGGTGGCTATTAATGCTGTTGGCAAAATTGAGGCGCATTCTATGGAGGCTGATAATAAGTAAATTTACTCTTAAAATTTGTTTTAAAATTTAGACTAGAAAATCTTATTTGGTAGATTTCTCTGTCAAATATTTTTGCAGTCCAGGTTCTTGGGGCAAAAATATCAGTGAACGGGGTCCTTAATTATCGTTTTAGACAGGGTCTTTTTTGGGGTTCCCTGGCATTTTTGGAGTTTAACTCGGTATTTGACACCTGTCACGGGCATGATTTCGCTCCTAATTCTTTTGCTTTGATATTTTTGCTGACATTTTAAACCCCTTTTTAGTCTTTAATTTAAAATCAATTTTAAAATTTATTTAAAAAGAATGGTAAATGTTCGACTCAATGCAAACAAAACAACTTGTCAACAACTTGTCAAAGATGCTTTTCGAGCTTTTGCATTGAAAAATAAGGAATTGGCTAAAATTGCTTGATGTGAGGGATTTTTGGAAGGAACAGAGGAAAATAAATTGTTTAATTAAATAATACTTTCTGTGCTTTAAAATAGGGTTTGACCCCGACCCCGTACCCCGAACCCCGACCCCGTTCCCGAACGATTTTTTCACGATTCTCCCCGACCCGAACCCCGCCCCGAAAAAAAGTGAAAACCCCGTACCCCGACCCGAAAAGTTTCGGGGTTATCGGGGTTTTACATACTCAAAAAATGCCATTTTTGGGAGAATTTTAAGAGAAAAATTTAAAAAATTTCCTCCCAATTTACTTTGTCCTTATTATTTTTGAAAGAAAAATGAAAGAAATATCAAAATTCTTTTTCCTGCTCTGTTAAGAGACTTGTGGTTGAGTGGCTTAGGTGTTGGTTTTAGCGTATACTTCTATAAATTTATGGTAGATCCAAATAAGCTGGACTGGTTTGTTTAAGGATTTATTTACAAAATCAAGAGCTTAATTTTAATTTAAAATGTAAATCTTATTTTTAAATATTATCAACCATAGAAAAACAATGTAAAGATTAGTTAGCTAAAATTTCAAAAATTTTCGTGTGCAGCGCTAAAAAACGAAGACATCCGGCTTTTTGACTTAAAAATTTTAAAAACTTTCACCCGCGGCTCTGGAAATGTAAGAAATCTGTCTTCTTGGCTTCCAAGTTTCTCAAAATTTTCGCCTACGGCACAAAAAAAACGGAAAAATCGGGCTTCTTGGCCTTACAAAATTCTCAAGATTTCGCCCGCGGCGCAGAAAAGAAAGAGATACCCTGATATCCTCCAAATCCTTAATCACTCGATAACCCTTCAAATCAATGATATCCCTTGAAACTACCCTTAGTCCCTACAAATCCTCTTATATCCCCAGATATCCGCTTTAATCCCTCCAAATCCTCCTTAATCACCTCCAGATCCAATTAATCACTCCAATTTCTCTTATTTCCATTTAATCCCACCTTATTCTTATTAATTTGTGAATATATTAACGAAAATAGACCCAAAATGGCTCATTTTTAGAGCATTTTTTCTTTAAAAATTTTTTTCCTAAAACCCCGTACCCCGACCCGAACCCCGACCATATTTTGCTCCCCCGACCCGAACCCCGCCCCGAAACAATTCGAAAACCCCGTACCCCGACATACCCGCCCCCGAGCGTTCGGGGTCAAACCCTACTTTAAAATGGGTATTTTATGGGTATTTTATTTATAAAATTTTTTATTTTTATTTTTTAATTTTTTTCTGGATTATTATTTCCAAATATTTTTAAACTGACGATGGAATTGTTAAAACCTTTTTTCAATATTTTAATGCCACTCGTTCCAAGTTCTAATAAAGCTTCTCTTCTCATACCTGAACATTAAACAGTGCATCACATTTTTTGAAGAAGTTGAGCTGGATTTATTCAATTTTCTAATGGATTCGTGGACAATGGTAATTAAATTTAAATAATGGGTAGGGCTGTCCTTTCACTTAATTTTTGGATTTTTGGAAGACCAAAGGTTACCCTTGTCCGCAAAAGTGAAAATGTCCGCAAAACATGTCCGCAAAAATAAAATAAAAATTTTTATTTTTTCGAGAAAAAACTACTTCCTTCTCTTTATTTACCGTTAAATAGCATGATTGTCGCTAAAAGAATTTTTATTAAACTAAAATGTTTGTTCACACAAACTAAAATACAAAAAAGATTTTCCAGCAAAGAAAATAAAGATAAGAATAAAAATAAAAATGTTTGTAATTTTTATAGAGAATTTAAAAAGAAATTATTTTTTGTTCAGAGAATAGTTTTTAAAAAATATAGATGAATATTCTCTATATTGACAGGCCATTTAACAATCCGAGAAAATATCTGGGAATATTCTTCATACAAAAAAATTTTTTTTAACTTGCGGACATTTTTTGCAACTTGCGGACAATAAAATTTGGCTCTACTCAGTTTACGAGTTCAATCACACTATAAGTTCAATCGCGCTTTATGAGTCCAATCGCGCTTTATAAGTCCAATCAGATTTTTGAAGTTACGGATAGGTCGACAGATCAAGGCTGGAAATGGAAAAAAGGAATAGGAATATGTTACTAGATGGGAACCCAGCGATCGTTGACTCACTCGAGGCGCGTGCCGCAAATTTTGTATTTTTTGCTCTTCTCTGTTCAATATTTTTTGGTCAAAAAGTGTTTGTTTGTATTTTTCTTTCCTTTTTCTCTTTTAGATTTTTTTTATTCTTTATTCATTTCTTAAATAATTCTTCCTTAAATTTCTTGACATCATTTCAGTTTATTCAAGAGACCTGATCAAATCCTTAAATTTTTTTTCTAAAAAAATTTTTTTTCTAGAATTTTTTTCCGAAATTCTTTTCCCTTTTATTAAACCAAATAATCAAATTCCATTTCACTTTTCCTCTTAATAAACCAAAATTTTTATTTTCAACTTTTGCGGACATTTTTAAAAACTTGCGGACAACTTTTTTAGTTGGTCTTTTGGGGTTAAACTTATTTTTATTCAAGTTTGTAGTAATATATCGTGTCACGTTTTACAAATTTTTAACTGTCATATATTTTATATTAAAAAAATGTCAGTCTTTTCTGTCCACTATCTTTATTTTTGTTAAATCAATATAAAAACATTAATTTTTACTTTTTCTAAAGGAGAAGGCCTTTACGGCGCGAAGCAATTTACGACGTAGGGGCATAACTTTGGTCTAGAATTTTGAAGCCTGAAGGTCCTAGCATGTTTTGTAGCTCTTTAAGAGCTGAAACGAATAATCTTGGATCGTTTGAGATTCAAAATTTCTAACAAAAGTTATGGCCCGGCGCCGTAAGTGGCTCGCGCCGGGGTGTACCCCCATTTTTTAGGCGGGTTAAAAATAAAATTAAAAAAGATTGAAAGGTGTGGACATTTTATGGTTAATAAATTTTCTTTAAAAAGGTAGAAAATGATCAAAATTGAATTAAGCAATGAAAAGAATATTGAGGAATTTTTAGAGCTAAATAAACAACAAAAAATAAAAGAAGCAAATAATTTGACTGGAAGGAAGGAGGAGCAGTTGACTGTAGCTGATAAAGAAGTTTTGCCTGTAAATTTAAATAAAGGTGAGGAGTTCTTTAATTTTTGTAAAATTAGTTTAGTTAAATTTTAAAAATTATTTTGTTAGGTTTTGCGGATTTTTTAAATTTGCGGACTTTTTAATTTATTTTGCGGACATTTTTAGAACTTGCGGTTTTTTTCATGAACTTGCAGACAATAAAATTCCTTACGACGTTAAATTTTTTAAATTATTTCGAAAGTTGATTGATGTCTGTCTTGCGGATTTTTAGTATTTGCGGACTTTTTTTAAATTTGCGGACTTTATTTAGAATTTGCGGACATTTTTTGGACTTGCGGACATTTTTAGAACTTGCAGATTTTTTTTCATAAATTTGCGGATAATAAAATTTTGTCAAGAAGAATCTTCTAAAAATCATTTCTAACTGATTTCGATTTTTTAAAATCCCCTCTTAAGCTAAAAATTATTTTGCGGATTTTTTAAACTTGCGGAAGCTTGTTAATTTTTACAATTTTTTGTTTTAAATTATCAATTTGTTTAAAATATTACTTTTAGTCGGTTAATATTTTTTAATTTTAATAAGGAATATCACTAAAAATATTTATGATGTATTAAATCGAGGGCAAGTTTTGTCCGCAAATGTAAATATTTGTACGCAAGTTTTGTCCGCAAAATATTTTTTTTAATTTTTCAAGAAAACTTTTCTTCCAAATATTTTAACAATCCCAATTTTCATTTTAGCCAGCTTTACCTTGTCAGATGCTGCTGTTCTTTTAGGAAGTTCAACTGGTTGTTCCTCTCTAGCGAGTATTGCAGCATTGACAAACACTTCTTTCCCTCTATTTCAACAATCTTTAATTATGGGGAATCCAACATCTCTAAATTCTCCTCTTGTGCAAAATGGAATTGTTAAGAGGGCAAAGAGAAAAGCGTCCGGAGGTCTTCCAATTGGGGCGAATGGACAAATTCAGGCTGATTGTTTAATTTGTTCGGATAGAGCGACAGGTTTGGAGGGGGTTTTTTTAATAAGATTAATTTTTTGGGAAGGAAATTTTTCAAAATTTCACAAAATTTCCCTCTTCTTTTGGAATCCAATTTTTTAAAAATATTTTTTCAAGAAAGATTGACCAATTCAAAAAATTAAATTTAAAGGTAAGCATTATGGAAGCGTTTCATGTGATGGATGTAAAGGCTTTTTTCGCCGTACTATACGCAAAAAACATATTTATGTGTGCCGTTTTAACAGTAATTGTGTTGTTGATAAGAGTATGAATTTTTTAAAATAAAAAATCCGCATTAAATTTTGCGGACAAAATTTGCGGATTCCCACAAAAATCAAAATAATCTTTTTCATATATTTTAGATCAACGAAATTCCTGTCGTCGTTGTCGCTTTGAAAAATGTTTAATAAACGGAATGCGCCCTGAAGCTGTGCAACTTGAACGTGACAGGATTGCAGCTACTCGAAGAAGTAATTGTGACAACATGAAAATTTTGGTGAATGCAGAAAATGGGTATTTCTTTTTTATATTTTTTTCGGTTGTTTTGTTTCCTTTATGTCTGGTATTCCCAAACTAAAAAATTCGAAATTTTTATTTGCGGATAAAATTTGCGGATTTCTGCAACTAATCGATTTGTTGTAATTTAATGAATAATTTTATCAACAGGGCGCGGATTTTTAGGGAGCCGCCCTTGAAGGATCCCTAAACCGCAGAGCTTTAACTTCGGTCAAAATAGTCGAATCCTGGAGGCCTTGGTATGGTTCGATGCATCCGACGAGCTGAATCGAACCATATCAGGGCGTCACGGATTCGACCATTTTGAACGAAGTTATAGCTCAGTTGGCCTTTCGGTACGTTGGGGTGTACCCGGATTTTTAATGAAAAAAATTTTATATTATTTATTTTAACCCCTTCCGTACCTTCTCATCCATCCCCCAGTCACCTCTGATTTCCAAATTTTTACTAAAAATTTTTTTCAAAAATTTTTAGGGACGACAAGAAGTTACTTAATAATTCTCTAAATAACCAAACACCAATATCATCCCCAACATCAACAACAAATAATGAAGAATTAAAATTAAAAAATGCTGCCATAGCAGAAAATAAAGCAATTATTTTTCGTTTAATGAATGCTGAAAAAATATTATCTTCGAATAATAAAAAGGAAGAAAATAGTGTTAATGAAAAAGAAATGAAAGTGGAAATGAAAAATAATTGTAAAATTGCAACGACTGGGGATGTGACAGATTCGGTAAAAATACATATAAAATTAATTTTTAAAAAATTTCCTTGTGGGCGATATTTATGTCCTCCTTCTAATTTTTAGTTATTATTGGGGTTTCTGGCAGACTAGGACACGGATACGGATTTCGGTATCCGGATATTTAGGCGGATACAGGCTGATATCCGCAGGCATTTTGGTATTATCTGTATCCATGACCATGTCTGGTTACTGGGAAGCCAAAATGGGGATTGGAATTCCCGGTCAGTCCATCTTCTTTTTTCATTTCCCGAGATTTTTTTTAAATTCCTATCTCCTCACAGTCCGATCTCCATTCTCTGGTCAATATCTAGTTGCTAGTTTTCATATTTTTTGTCGATATAAAAAAGATCCCCTATTTTATTTAACAATTTCCGGCAATGTTTATGACTACGGGGCCTTTTTTTAATGCTAGACTTTTGTTTTTACTGTTTTTTAATTTAATAATTTTTAAATATTTTTGTGATGAAATAACAAATTTTTAATCCAAATTTCATTTAAAAATTTAAATAAAATTTAATTTTAGATGCACCACCAATTAATTTTATTAGTTGAATGGGCCAAACAATTAGAAGAATTTCGACGCCTTTCATTATTTTCCCAAATTGCTTTGCTCAGACATTTTTCAGCTCAACATTTGGTTATTTGTGCTGCTTATAGGTCTTCTAAACACATTTCAAGTTGTGAAAGTAATGATGCTATTTGGTTGGCTAATGATCGTTGTGTGCCTAGAGATGCTCCTAAATTGCCTGATGTTAAGTGGGTTTTTAATTTTAAATAAATTCTGATATTTTTTCTTAAATTAATTCTGATTTTTATTTTTATTCTGTTTTTTCTGAATTTAATTCTGATTTTTCTAAATTAATTCTGGTCTATATTAAAATCGGAACAAAAATACCAATAAAATTGAACAAATAAAAATCAGAATTATTTTTAAATAAATCAGAATAATCTCTGAAAAATCAGAATAATTTCAGAAAAAATCAGAATTTTTTTTAAAAATCAGAATTTATTTTTTAAAGTCAGAATAATTTCAGAAAAATCAGAATTTATTTTTTTAAAAATCAGAATCTATTTTTATTTTGCTTTTGTCTTGTTATGATTTTAATTCTGATTTCTATCAATTCTGATGTTGTGTTTCCGAATTTAATTCTGATTATATATCTAATTAATGCTATTTTTATTTTCTGGTTATATTTTTGATATTCTGATTTGCTTTAATTTTTATGGAGTTTTCTGATTTTTTTGTATTTTTGAACTTCTGATTTTTCTTGGGATTGGTTCTGATTTTTCGCTGTTAAAATATTTATAATTTTTTTTAATTCTGATTTTAGTTATCACCCATAATTATTTGTTTATTTATTTTTCCAGTCGTGTTGTTGCCCGTATTTTAGACCATTTAACAGCCCCAATGCGTCGTCTCCATTTAGAAGATAGAGAATTTGTTGCATTAAAAGCTGTTGCTTTTTTTGATCCAAGTTATTTTAAAATTCTAATTTTTTTTCAAAATTTTATTTTCCTTAAAAAGTGGCAAAAGATATAGAAGAACCAGCCAAATTAGAAATAGAAAAAATTCGGCAACAAATAATGTTGGCATTTGAATATCAAGTAACCAATAAAGTTAATAATCAACAATTAATTTCCTTGAATAATCGACTGGCTAATTTATTATTATTATTACCCCCATTAATGGCTATTGGAAGAGATTTGGTGGAAGAAGCACAATTGGCCAAACTTTTTGGTAAAAATTGTATTGAGATAATTTTCTGTTAAAGAATGTTTTTCTGTTAGAAAAAATTTTTCTGGACGGCAAAAATTGTCCCAAATTTTTTTCAAAATTAAATTTACTTGAAATTGGTTAAAATTGAAAAGTATAATATTTAATTCTCTAATCAAAACTCGTCAGATTGACAACACTTATTGCTATTTTCAGTATATATTTTTGTCGGTTTTCCGGAAGGGTTTTCCTATTTATTAAGGAAAATATTTCTGAATTATAATTTAAATTGTATGTATTTTTTTCGGAAAATAAATCTTGAATATTTGCAAGAAAATTAAAAAAATATTTCTGGGGAAATAGAGAATTTAATAGGGTATCTATCTATTTATCTTTGAATTCTCCCCAATCTTAAAATATTTATTATACAGGGTGCGGCAAATTTTCCGCCCCTTTTATTTTGGTCATAACTCGGTTCAAACTCAACAAAAATTAATAATTCTTTTTTTATTTTATTAACAACTCTCCGAGAAAATTTTAAGTATCAAAATCACCAGTAAATTTTAAGTTTATTCTGAGCAAACCTTTCTCAAGTTTTGAGCAAAATTTTTTGAATAGAAATTGGCCTAGATTCAAGGCTGAGATTTTGATACTGGAAATTTTTATATCGTTCAAATCAGCTCTTCATTCTGATTCGAATGACATCAAAATTAGGGGGCTACGACAAAAATCGAATGAGATATGGTCCTCTGAATGATAAATTAAAATAATTTTGGGAAATATAAATTTTTTGAGTAAAATTTTCAAAAATGGAATTATAAGCTATTTCGATGCGCCTGAACGAGATAAGTCGATTGATACAAAAATCATTGGGATTGAAAGATTTTGGACTAAGTTATGATCGATTAAAGTTTGGCAAGAAAAAATGTTTTTTGATGCATTTTTATATTCGGACCGGCTTAACTGTACCATTTGTGAACTAAATTTTTTCCTTTTGGTACCAAAAATTTCTCAAAGAGTTGTTAACAAAATAAAAAAAGAATTATTAATTTTTGTTAAGTTTGAACAGAGTTATGACCAAAACAAAAGGGGCGGAAAATTTGCCGCACTCTGTATTTATTTTATTTTTCCGTCAAAGTTTGAAATTTTTTATTTTTTAAAGGTTTGGCAAATGTAGACGAATTAATGGCAGAATTATTGTTACCCGAAGATGCAGAAACCCGTAGTTATTCCCGTTTGAGGACAAGTGTTACTTCTTCAATTGTACAGTCTAATGTAACTTCCCCAAATCCGCCAGCTACTTCTCCACAAATGTTACAAATTCCTGGGATTGTGACAGCAGCAACGGCGAATAATTCACAATCGGTTGGGGAAATTTTTTTGGGAAATTTTGGAAAAAAAATTTTATATTCAGATTTTGTCAATTCCTCCATATTCTTCAACATCTTCACTTATGTTACAAATTGGTTGTTGTAGTACTTTACCTTTACAACAACAACAAAATTCTTTTGGAAATTTACAACAAATAAATAGAGAAAAATAAATTTAAATTTTTAGGATTTTTTAAAGTGCCATCTAATAATTAATTTATATTTTCTTGCCCGAGTGGAAATTTTAATTTATAAATATTTAATTTGCCTTAAACATTCCTTTCCTGAATATTATTTTTGATCGGACAAATGTTCTAATATTCTGAAACCTTTCCGGAATAAATACATATTATTTAAAATTTTCCGGAAAACTTAAAAATATGTGGAAATTTAAGAAAAATTATATTTATCCAACAAATATATAGAGAAGGTTTACGTTTGTAAAATTAAAAAAATTTACTTTAAAAGAATTGTTACAAAATTGACTGAAAAACTTTTTACTTGGATATATTTTTAAATTTTAAAATTAATTCCACAAATTCCTTCAAATCAGTCAGTTATTCTGGCAGAATTAATTCCTCCGTAGAATCACACAAATTAATCACTTTTTCAAAGAAATCTCCTGCCCAATGCGAACAATTCCAATTAATTAAGCCGTATTCTTCCCACATTTTATTGAACACTTCTACAATCTGACTGTAATGCACATACGGTTTCGCTTTAAGAATGCGCCTATGTATCGTCTCAAGATATTCCGCGTAGTAGCCCCAGCGCATTTCTTTTCCATTCCTTCCAAGATCGCAAGTGAGAAACATGACATGATCACAATTTTTGCATCTAATACCAACAATAATGGCATCATGTGAATATTCCTTCAATCCACCATTAAACTTAGCTGAGAAACCAAATGTAGCTTTTTTCATAAATTCTCTAAATAAATTTAAAATGATTAACTTTATTTAGTGATTCAGAGGTATTTGTAGGTTATCACAAACTAGTTTTTGCAGATATTTGCGGACTCATAAGTATAATTGTCTCATAATGGTCAGAGAATCCAGATTACACTCTTGGAGTTCGACAAATGTATTTTTACTGTACCGGACGAGTACCGAAAATTCCAAATTTGACTGTTACAGTACCGTAAAGTACCGGTGAAAAATTTTCGTAGTTTTGGAACATAAACTAGTCATAGGATTTTGGGGCATATTGAGGATATCAGATGATTTCAAGGATATCTATGAATCAAGAAGGATTAATAGATATTGATCAGGTGTGTGTACCGGTACTCTAAAGTAAAGTACCGGTTGAGTACCGATAATTCCAAAATCTTACCGGTACGGTACAGTCAGTACCGTCCGGTACTGACTGTAGAACCGCAGTATTACCGCACCGTGCCGGACCGCGTCTTCTATCATCGCTGGTAGAGACACTTAGCTTTATCCAACAAATGAACAATAATCACTGTTTTATTCAAGGATTCTGAAGAAGTGGACTGCTTTAGGGGAGATTTTATAAGTTGTAATGATTTTCCTTTATATTTTTATATCTGACCATTATGAACTGCAAAAAATTTTGCAAAATTGGTCTGGGAAAGCCCATAGGTACCGTTTAACCTTATAGATAATCATAGAATTTAACTATAATAAATACCTAACACCATCCCAAACACCACGAAGATATTCCCCCATTGAATGAGTGTGCCACATAATTGTAAGAGCAAAATAGTTGTCAGATGAGCAACCCTGTAATATAAAATCTTAAATGAAGCAAAACTTAAAACAATATACAAACAAGGGAATGAGTCTTGAGTATACAAGAAATGGATCTTCCTGTTTTAAAATAAATAAACTAGCCCGCAAACGTTAATATGTAGCTTTGGAAATCCAACCCGCTATACTAAATTTAGAAGACCCGCATACGGGGTTTTATGAACCACGTCCAGAATATCATTTTTAATTTACAAAAAACTCACACAACGGCCCTTTTTTGTCCAACTCGAATGAAAATCAGCTGAAGAATTAAATTCCTCAAATGAAGACATACCAACTATTATTATACTTCCCGTATTTCCTCTAAAATAAACCTAGAGGTCTAAAAAGGATCCAAAAATCTACCCGATCTGGCATTTTTCGAGTAATTTGCATGTCTAATATAGAGAATACTTAAATAATCAACTGATTGTGAGTTTTTTCTTAATAGGGGAAGAAACCTCGCTTAAATTTGGGGAGTTTATTTAACATTGAAATACGATTGTATTTTCCAACTTTTAATGTTATTATTTTTTTTTTGGAAATTTTAGGATCTCTTGAGAAAATAATATAACGGTATTTTGAAAGATGAAGCTTATTTTAGAGGAAATAATGTATTTTAATTGGCTGTTCACGACTGTTAATTAACCGATACCTCGTAGTTTTTGGTTAATTCTTTGTAAAAGATTTAGAGAGCAGAGGTGGGTTCCGACGTTTTTTTCCTTTCGATTTCCGAAAAAAATTGATTTCCGACTTTTGAGCCAGTTCCGATTTCCGGCTTTCCCGATTTCCGATACCACTGACTGTTCCGACCTACCTCTGGTAGAGAGTTACAATAAGTTTTTTCTGATCCAACGCCTTTGTTTGACTGAAAATATGTAGCTTATAACGAGAGGCATCCTAAATGTGGGAGTATTCCCTTATCTTATAGCCAATTAAATTAAGAAATTTCTCCATAATTTTGGGTTTATCTAAAAAGGGGTTTCATTTTTTTAAACTTGTCGGTTTTTTAAAGTTTCTCAACTACATATTTTTACGTTTCCAGTAAGAAACGTAAAATTTTGGTTATAGAAAAGTCGTGAACAGTCTTAAATTCTAATCTTTAATTTTGTATTTTTCCTCAAGAAATATTTTAGACAATAATTTGTTGATCTGAAAAAATAAATTTGAAAATTTTTTAAAAAATTTTGGAAAGTGATTTTTTTTCTAATTATAAATCTTCTGTTTTGTTTATAAACACAATTAAACCCCTTTTTTTGTTTATAAACAGACTGAAAAACATAGATTTAATGTTGATTTATTTATTTTTTATTTTTGGTCATTTTCAGACACTTTTTCTGCCTAGAAACAAAACACAAAATTTAAGGAAAAATGACTAAAATGACCAAAAACAAGAACAATAAATCAACAATGAATTAATGTTTTTTTCAGCTTTTGTCAATTCCTCCATATTCTTCAACATCTTCACTTATGTTACAAATTGGTTGTTGTAGTACTTTACCTTTACAACAACAACCAAATTCTTTTGGAAATTTACAACAAATAAATAGAGAAAAATAAATTTAAATTTTAGGAAATTCTTATTAAAAGTGCCATTTAATAATATTTTATATTTTCTTGCCCGAGTGGAAATTTTAATTTATAAATTTTTTAAAATTCGCCTTAATATTACTTTTAATCGAATAAAGGTTATTCTGAAACCGTTTCGGAAATAGATAATAAAGTTTTCCAGACAACTGGAATAAAAATATGTCAGAATTAGAGAAAAATTATATTTATCCAACAATTATTTAAAAAACAAAACTGGTTAAATTTTTAAATTAAAATCAATTTTAAATTTAATTTAAAAGAAATGTTGCAAATTTTATCGAAAAACTTTTTACTTTAATGTATTTTTAAATTTTAAATTAGCTCCACAAATTCCTTCAAATGATTTCTCCAATCAATTCTCTTTATAATCACTCATTTCCTCAAAAAACGAAAGTATACCATAAATTAACTTTATGCCTTCTTTTTGAGTTTGTGCTTCTTTTTTAATTCTTCCATAAAAATCGCCTGCCCAATGTGAACAATTTCCATCAATCAAGCTATAGGACTGCCACATCTCATCGAACACCTTTTCGATACATTTGTAAGACAAACGCGGTTCAAATTCCTCACATCTCTTGCGAGTAATGTAGTATTCATAGTGACCCCAGCGCATCATCTTTTCAGATTTTCCAAGCTCACAGGTAAGATTCATGTCACGACCACATTTGCGGCAATGAACTGATAGCCAAACCGCCTCGTGTGTATACGACTTCAATCCACCATTAACAACAGTTGAAAGTCCTAGTGTCGAGATTGCCGCAACAGTTCTTAATTACTAAATGTTTACATAAAGATCGTGTCGGTTTAAAATTTGATTTGTATGTAAAAATTTAATTAAAATACCTAAAAATGTTCCAAGTGACGCGACCAGCCGTTCCCATAGAATGAGTTGTCCATTCAATTTCCAAAACCTCATAAGAGTTGGCACTACAATCCTGTGAAAATAAATGAGATTAAAATCTGAAGAATATATATCTAGTTAAAGTTAATCATTCATTGAACAGGGGGAAGTAAAGTTATTTTAACAAAAGTTGTGGCCCTAGGTGCTAAACAATGAGCAAAAAATGTATATTAACAACTATATATTTAAAAATTTTATTTTATAAAAGACTTACACAATAGCCAGTAGGTGTCCAAACAGAATGGTAATCCGTCGAAGAAGAATTCGATGATGATGACATTTTGAATTATTATATTTACTGTATTTGCTCTAAAATAAATTCCGGGGTGCCAAAAAATACCAAAAGTACCAAAAGAAATTTTTCATATAACTAATCTTACAAAATTGGAAAAAGCAATAAGATAAGGTACATAAATTTGTGGGTATTTCCGAAGAGTTTATTTTAGAGCGAATAGTGCATAGATTAGGTAATTTAGCTGTTCACGACCGTTAGTAACTTGTCTTATTTTAATATTATTTTTAGAACCTCATTTTTAATATTCTTTGGGATTTACCTTATAACTAGAGGTACCTTAAATTTGAGACATCTTTTAAGAAGCAATTTAAAAAACAAAAAGTATATTTTTAATTAAAAATTTTTTTAATTTTGGATGTATTAAAAATGATTTTTATTTATTTTTCCCAAAAATATATACCGTATACCGTAAATGCTCGAATAATTACCCTCTCTCAAATAATTACCCTCTTTAATAATTACCTCATCCCTTTCCTTCTTTAATTTCAAAAATATTGAAAAAAATCATGGTCAATTTTAATTATTGAAACATAAGAATCATGATCAAAAAATAAATGGACTTCCTCTTCGATTTATTGAGATATACCCCAAATTTAGCCTATCCTCTCGATTAATTACCCTCTCCAGCGAGAAGCTGAAACAATAATTACACTGGGTAATTATTCGAGCATATACGGTATACTCTATTAATTACCTGGATAATTATTGTTCCGACCGCTCTATCTGGGGAGGGTAATTATTTGATTAGTAGGGTAATTAATGGAGTATAAAAAAGTAATTTTCGGGTATAAAATTAGTCGTGAACAGCCTTTAATTTTAATCTTAAATTTTGTAGCTTTTAAAAAATATTTCAGACAATAATTTTTTTAACCTAAAAAAGTAGGAGAATTTTATAATAAAAATTTTTAGTTTTCTGAAGTGATATGGAATGAATAAATAAAATTAAGTTTTACTAAAAAATCTCCTTCCTAGTCATCTTATTTATTAAAAAAATAAACAAAATATAATAAAAAATATGTAAATAAAGTTAACTAAAGTTGTTAAAGTCTGATTAAATCTAAAAATATATTCTTTTCTTTTAATTTTAATATTTTGGCAAGTTTTTTTGTTTATTATTCGTTTTTAAAAATAAAAAAATTTTTTGGCCCAAATCACGAATAATTATTATTTTTTGTAAAATAATTATTGTAAACAAAGGTTAACAAAAATGTAGACAGAAATATGTTTATTTTTTTTAAATAAATTAAAAATAATTTTTTAAATTGTTCAAAGCTGTAGGCAAATAAAAAATGGTAATAAATGATGTTAGTCGAGTAGAAAACTCAAAAAATTTTAAGCAAATTGAAAAAGAATTTTTAAATTTTATTTTTGCAAGCAAACCAAATTTTATTGAAAAATAATATTTTTAAATATAATTTTAAATAAAAAAAATTTAGTCCAAAAATCTTTCAAGCCAAATTACAAATAATTCCATAAAACTCCTCTGCCCAATCGGCACAATTACGATTAATTAAGTTGTATTCTTCCCACATTCCATCAAACACTATTTTAATCTTGTTGAAAGACAAACGTGATTTAGTAAATTCTCGTGATTTTTTTTGAGCAATATATTCCTTATAGTAGCCCCAACGCATTTCCTTCCCAGACCAGGTAAGCTCACAGGTAAGAGTCATGTTACGACAACAATTGCGACAATAGACGAAAGACTGGACCACTTCGTGTGTATAGTCCTTAAATCCGCCGTTGTGGCTGGTTGACATTCCAAATGATAAGATTGACGCAGCAGTTCTTAAGGATAATTTAAGTTTTATAAATAGTAGAGTTTTTCGGGGTTTCCAATTTATTGGGGGTTTAATCAGGAAAACAACTCGGGTAAGTTTAAAAAATCGAGATCGGGCCCGGCACGTGAGAAATTCGAATTCTTAATTAATCGTTTGGTGGTTTTAATTATGCAGAAAATTTAAATATAAAAAATCAATTTAAGCACCTAAAAACGTTCCAAGCAACATAACCAAACATCCCCATAGAATGAGTTGTCCATTCAATTTTCCAAGCCTCATAAAAGTGGTAGTTGCAACCCTGAAAAGTTTTATCAAAAAAATCCAGAATAATTTAATCCTTTATTGAACAGAAATTTTTAATTTCGATCGTATAATCAGTATTGGAAAGCCTATGTATGTACCTGATTGCTCTTAGCCCGTATAGAAAAATTTGGGGAAACAGGGTCCCTGACAATGTTTGGAAGCTCGTACCAAAATTCTTACTTGTACCACCTGAGTACAATGTAACTTGCAAAAATATGGCACACGATTCCAACCACTGTCCTCAAGGTTCCCAAGGTACAATGCAAAAATCCCGTCGTTAATTTTACTTTAAAAAAGCCTTACACAACGGCCAGTATCTATCCACTTTGAATGATGATCTGTTGAATATTTAGATGATGACATTTTAAATTATTATATTTAACGTATTTGCTCTAAAATAAATTCTAAGGGTTTTATGCAATCCTAGAAATCTCTAAACATAAAACACTAAAAGCAAAGGCCTCAGTTGAGTCCTAATAGATTAATGAGCTTATGAAAGATTAAAGCGGATATCGGAAGATATGGGAAAAGTAACCTTAATAAACAAAATTCCCCGACTCCTTCCAAATGCACCAATCTTTCTTAATTACTCCAAACCTTTCTATCTGACGATAATAAAATGACGATAATAAAATTTTCCCACATCAAATTTTTAATAAAAATTAAAAAAAACGCTTTTTAAATGTTGTTGTAGAACCCAGCGACCGTTGACTCCCGCGAGGCACGTGCGCACAAGCGCCTCGCCGACGCCCATAGGTTTACTTTGCTTGATTTAGTGTTATTCTTGAATAAATCTTTTAATTCACTCCGACGCCTGCAATGCACCGCTCATAAAATTCTAGAGTTCAATTTTCCGTTTTTCTCACTTACATTAGAGCTTAAAATTCCGCTGGAGCTAATTTTTCGAAAAATCTTGGGCCCAATTTTCCGGCACTCCATAAGAACGCCACTTTCCATCGAACACCTTTTAGACCATATCGAAAGGCACAGACGGGAACACAAAAAATTTTACATAAATTTAGTGTCGATTTTGAATTTTATTTGGATAACTAATAAAAAACTTAATTGAAAAATATTGTATGTATTTTTAAATTTAAAATTTAGTCAAAAATCTTTCATGTCAGTTCAATAATTTTTCCATAGAAATCTCTTGCCCATTCGCAACTACTATTACCATCATGACTTTGCCACATATCGTCAAACACATCTTTGATCGTAGTGTAAGACAAATTCTGTTCAATTTCTTTCGACTCTTTGCGTGTAATATAGTATCCATAGTAGCCCCACCACATTATCTTTCCAGATGATGTAAGCTCACAAGTAATAGCCATGTTACGCTTACAATTACGGCAATGAACAAGAAGTCGAACCGCCTCCTGTGTATAATAATTAACTCCAGCATTAAAAACGGTTGACAATCCAAGTGTTAAGATAGCAGAAAAAGCTCTTAATATAAGTGTTGGTTTAAATAGTTAATCATGTGTCGGTTTAATTTTAAGTTATTTAATTGAAGCACCTAGAAACGTTCAGAATAGGACTACCAACATTTCCTGTAGAGTGAGTTGTCCACTCAATTTCATAAATCTTATAAAAATCGGCATCACAATCCTGAAAAATTACATGAGAAAAATAGTATATCCAGAGTAATTCCATCCTTTATTGAACAGGGGGAAATTCAACCTTCACTATAATTTACTCCTTTGGGACTGAAAATTGTTTTGGCTACCTTATCGTCTGAAATTTTCTAAATTAGTACTGTACTGTTGGAATATACAAGGAAAAAGGGTTAAGTTTTCTTACACAATATCTAGTAGCTTTCCACTCATCATCAGATCCATCACCACATATTCTTCCATAGAAATCGCTTGCCCAAATTGCACAATTACCATTAATCAAGTTGTAGGACTGCCACATCTCATCAAATACTTTTTTGATTTCTTTGTAAGACAAACGCGGTTCAAATTCTTGCGACTCTTTGCGTGTAATATAGTATCCATAGTGACCCCAGCGTATCATCTTTCTAGACTTGCCAAGCTCACAAGTAAGATTCATGTTACGACCACAATTACGGCAATAAACAAGTAGCCAAACCGCCTCGTGTGTATACGACTTCAATCCACCATTAACGACAGTTGAAAGTCCAATTGTGGCGACTGCCGCAACAGTTCTTAATTACATAAATAATGCTTAAATATTCAAGTCCCTATTGGCAAATTATACAGGGGGTCAAATCCAAATATTTGGGCAGATAAAGATGTCTCAGAATCAACTGGATTGCTTTTGTCTTATCATTCTGGGTTGATCCCATCAATCTCATGTGAGGGTTTAATTTTATGCCGAGAAATTAAATCGAAGCACCTAAAAACGTTCCAAGTGACACGACCAGCCGCTCCCATAGAATGAGTTGTCCATTCAATTTCCGGAATCTCATAAAAGTCGGCACTGCAATCCTGTCAAATTAAATGAGGATAAATCTAAAAAATAGATTCAGTGTGATTTAATCCTATATTGAACAGAAGGAAAATGAAGGCATCCTTAACTATAATGTACATCAGAGGTGAGCGCATTGCGTTATTTTTGAGGAAATTAACGAAAAACTAGGATAAATTTTGGTTAGAATTTTTTATATATAAATATGACTCTGGATACTAAATAATTTTTTAATTTAAAAACGCCTTACACAAAAACCAGTAGGTGTCCAAACAGAATGGTGATCTGTATCAGAAGAATTAGATGATGACATTTTAAATAATTATATCTATCTTATTTGCTCTAAAATAAATTCTATGGGCCCAAAAGAAGCCCAAAAGTGCCAAAGAAAATTTAGGGTATGAATTTAACAAACTTGGAATATAATAATAAAATACGGTCAACGTCCATTTTTAAATACACCTTTAGATGGCTAATAAATATTTGGGGTATAAGGGGTATCCATTAATGGTTTCGCATCCTAGTCAAACAAATACATATTAAAGTATACTAATTTTGGGTGTATCTAAGAAAGAGGTTAGATTGTAACTCATTTTTTGAAATTATCGGGTCTTTTACAACGGAGTTTCTCGACAAATTTTCAAAAAAAAAACGTAAAGTTTTCTGTTATAAGATAGGTCGTGAGCAGCTGACAAGTCTAATCTCAAGTTTTGTAGCTTTCAAGTAGGGTTGGTCGAGACCGGTTAATTCCTTGTTTTTTCTTCCCTGTGCGGACTTTTTCCTTCTCTCTTCTCTTATTGACCTGCCACAGGGGTCAAAAAGTCTCGTTTTAACCGGTCTCGACCATCACTACTTTCAACATTCAAAATATTTTAGACAATAATTCGTTAACCAGAAAAGTAGAGGGAATTTATGTAGAAAATTTTTTTTTATCAATTTTAGAGTGTCTTGGAACGAATAAAGTTATATTTTATTTTTATATAACTTGTTCGACCCTTTAAAATATCTCCTTTTGATTATAAATTTTCTGATTTGTTTATAAACACAATTATTATAACCCTTTTTTTGTTTAAAACAGACTAAAAATTTTAGCTTTTGATTTAGTTTATTTTGTGATTTTTGACCATTTTCTAACACTTTTTTGCTTATAAACAAAACACAAAATTAAGGAAAGATGTCTGAAAAAAACAATAAATCAACAGTAATTAATGTTATTTTATTATTAGTTTTTATCAATTCCAAACCAAATTTAGGCTTTAGAACGTCTTCACTTGTGTTCCCATTTTTTATTTTTGCAATAAAATTCTTGCAACAAAAAAATTTTTTTGGAAATTTACAAAATAAGTAGAGATACATAAATAAATTTTAATTTTTAAAAAGTGCCATTTAATAACTAATGTACATATTTTTGTCTGAGTAGAAATTGTAATTTATAAATTAAGTAATTAAAACTAAATTAATCATTATTCCCTTAATCCCTCCAAATGCTTCGATATTTCCTTTTAATATACCCTTTCAAATGTTGTAGGTTCTTTTGGGTCAATAGGTCTTTTGGACAATAGGTCTTTTCGGTTAGTAGGTCTTAGGTCTTCTGGGTGTAGGTCTTTTGGGTTGACCCTGAAAAGGGGAACCCTTGAAGAATTTTCTGAAATAAATTATTATTTTTAAAAAATTTAAAAATACCATTTTTAGAACCTCATTTTAAATACTCCTTTGGGATATAGAAAATTCATATTTTAATACAATTGGAGTTAATTTAATTAATTATCCTCAAATGAGGGTTACCGTTTAGGGAACTCTTCCATCCTAAAGCCACCCAAAAAGGCACGACAAAAAAATTTTTTTTGAATTTTATTCACATAAAATAAATATTTTTTATTACAAAAATTAAAATTTATTCCAAAAATCTTTCAAGTCAATTCACAAATAATTCCATAGAACTCCCTTGCCCAATCGGCACAATTACGACTAAACAAATTGTATTTATTCCACATCCCATCGAACACTTTCATTATCATATTGTAAGACAACCGCGGGTCAAATTCTCGTGATTTAAGTTGAGTAACTTGTTTCTTATAGAGTCCCCACCGCATTTCCTTTCCAGACTTTGAAAGCTCACAAGTAAGAGACATATTACAACCACAATTACGACAATTAACAGAAATCCGAACTGCCTCGTGTGTATAATCCTTAAATCCCCCATTGTGTCTAGTTGATCTTCCGAATGATAAGAATGCTGCAGCATTTCTTAAGAATAAGTTAAGCTGGTTAAAACTAGGGTTGAAGGCAGTCGGCTAACCGAACTGGAATCGAAAACCAGTAGTAACCGAAAACCTCTGGATATTACTGGTTAATAACAGGACATGTGTCTCTGCCCCCTCAATCTCGGTTTTATCAGCCTCCGAATTCTCGGTCTCGATTTTTTCAAAAAACCTCGACCTCGTGCAACTCTAGTTTAAATGGGGATTGTTGGCGGTCATTTAACTGAATCGAAATATAAACCGGTGATAAGACTAGAGGGCAGGCTAATTAGTAAACAACAACCCTAGCTTAATAGTTAATTGTGTGTCGGCTTAATTTTAAATCTTAAATTCAAGAAAATTTAGTTAAGGCACCTAAAAACATCCCAAGCGGCACGACCAGCATTTCCCATATTATGTGTTGTCCATTCAATTTTCCAAGCCTCATAAAAGTCGGCACTACAATCCTGTAAAATTGTTTTGATAAATTATCAAGAGTACCGTATTTTCTCGATTAATCCCCCATGCTAGAGTTGGGTTGAAACAATAATTCCCCACCCCCAAATACCCTACTGCACGTTCAAATGCCAAAACTCGAATAATTCCCCTCCCTCGAATAATTCCCCACACCGCGTATGTGTTGAAATATTAATTCACCAGGGGTCCATTATTCAACAAATTGATCTTGACTTTATAGGAAATTTTGGGGAAAAATAGTAATAATTGGGACTGGGAAAATATGGAAATCCATTTTTTTAAAAAATTCGTCAATTTTTAATTTAAAAACGCCTTACACAACGGTTAGTATATGTCCAATTTGAATGGTGATCCGTTGAAAAATTAGAGGATGATGACATTTTAAATTATTCTTAATTTATTTGCTTTGAAATATTTTTTTGGAAATTTTTTTGAAATTTATTAAATAAATAGAGGAGGGATTTTTTATTTAAAGTGCAATTTAATCAATATATTTATTTAATATATTTATTGCTTGGTTGAAAATTAGTGGTAAAGGGAGCTTTTATCTAGCGATCGACTAATTTTTGTCAGTCAGTCAAATATCTCTTTTTTAGGACGCTTGTTTTATTGACCTCTCTCTTAATGCAAAAATTTATTTTTATATGTATGAAATTTAAAATTCAAAATTTTAATAAGATTTCAAATCAAATTACAAATTTTTCCATAAAAATCCTTTGCCCAATTAAAACAATTCTTAAACACCAAGTTGTATTTATCCCACATCCCATCGTATATCTCTTTGATTTTGTTGTAAGACAAACGCGGTTCAAATTCTTTCGAGCTTCTTCGATAAAGATGGTTTCCATAATGGCCCCAGCGCATTTTCTTTCCAGAAGATAGAAGCTCACAAGTAACATCCATATCACGACCACAATTGCGGCAATGAACAAATAAATGGAGTGCCTCGTGTGTATAATCTTTAGCTCTCATTGCCGCTGCACCAAGTACGGCTAGTGGAGCTAGTCCAGTACAGAATAAACCAACTCTAAAATAGATTTAGTAATTTCAAGTTTTGTTTCCTATCCTATTTTTCCATTAAGATGTACATAATGGTCAGATTTTCTCCCTTCCGAAATTCTTTTTTACTTAAATAATTATCCTATTACAACATTTATGGTACATATGTCAGTTTTCCATTAGGTTCAATCTCCTCGAGCTACCGATTTTCTCTATTAATTTCCCATCCTAGAGATGAGTTGGAAACAATCTCCCACCACAAATACCCTCTATTGCACGTCAAATTTCAAAACTCTAATAATTCCCCTCCCTAACATCTTAATAATTATTCTTAACAATTTCAAGTGTCAGTAATATAATGTTTAAAGTTTAAATAAAAATTTAATTTAAGCACCTAAAAACGTTCCAAGCAGCCCGACCAACATTTCCCATATTATGTGTTGTCCACTCAAGTTTCAAAACTTCATAAAATTCGTCACTACACTCCTTGAAAATTAAATGAGATTACATCTAAAAAATATACCCAAGTATCCTTTAATAATTTAATCCTTTATTGAACAGAGGGAAAATAAGGCTCTATCGCAAATGAGGTGCGTAATCATATTTTTTCTCCTTCCTTCCTCAAGTTAAAAATGGGGAACTTTTTCCTTAGTATTTTTCCTTAGTAAGGAGAAATAATGTAAGAGGATTAATTTTTTCATTTTCTTTTCTACCCGTGTTTTGACTGACCGTGTCTCAAAACTGTCCTGTTTTGACTTTTTCAGTCAAAACGGTTTTTCAGTCAGTTTCAGTCGTGTTTTGACTGTTTTTCAGTCAAAATTGTCCCTGTTTTGACTGTGAAAACACGGTCAGTCAAAAGATGAACAAAAAACAAAAAGTAAATAATTAATCCTCTTGCATCATTTTTCCTTACGGCGAAATCAGCATACATTAAAAACTAAGGAAAAAGTTCCCCATTTTTAACTTGAGGAAGGAAGGAGAAAAAATATGATTACGCACCTCATTTGCGATAGGGCCGAAAATAAAGTCATAAAGTGAGGGCTGATAAAATCGTGGACTCAGATTAGTGAACTCTAACATACGGACATTTTCGAACTCTAACATACGGCTCATGAATTACCGTAAAAACTGTATTAATGTCCCTCCCTCAAATAATTACCCCGCCTGTATCGTGGCGCGAACTTTGCGGACCCGAACTTTGCGGACCCGAACTTTGCGGACCCGAAATTTGCGGAACGAAAGTTGCGGACCCGAAGGTTGCGGACACGAAGTTTGCGGACCTGATTTTTGCGGAACCGAGATTTTAGGACCGACACTTGAGTAAAAAGGAAAAATTCAAAATTTTATTTTTCGCGGATTCCGGCAGAGTTTACCATGATCCGTACCGGATTCAAGATTTTTTCTTGATTTTTCAAATTTTTTTATCAATTTCTTATCATAAAATTATTTCATAATTTAAATAATCAAAAAAATTCCTTAAAAAGATAATTTAAATGGCCATTCATAAGGTCATGATGCCTGAATTTATCCTAATTAACGCCGCAGGCTAAAATTTTTAAAATTTCCGAAGTTCAGTAGACTCTATTGTCGGTCCGCAAATTTTTGGTCCGCAAATCTCAGATCCGCAAAATTCGTGTCCGCATAGTTCGGGTCCGCAAATTCGGGTCCGCAAAGTTCGGGTCCGCAAATTTCGGGTCCGCAAATTAAAATCCGCAAATTTCGGCGCGCCGCCTGTATTAGTTACCCCCTCCAGCGAAAGGTTGAAACATTAATTACCCCCTTAAAAATAATTATAATTAGCCTTTCTAAAATAACCTCTATTAATTACCCCGCCTCTATTTATTACCCCCTCCAGCGAGAGATCGAAACAATAATTACCCAGGGTAGTTAATAGTTTTTACGGTAGTTTTACGCGGACGTCGTAAGTGTGTACGTCAACCAAGTTCTCACTGAAGTCTTGGACTTGCTTTGGGAAAACGGACAAATAAAAAGGAATTTTTGCCCGTAAAGGTTAATAAAAATCCAATATAGCTATACATCAGTTAAATTTTTTACTTATGAATGCCTTACACAACATCCAGTATATGTCCATTTTGAATGGTGATCCGTTGAAGAATTTGATGATGATGACATTTTAAATTATTATATTTACTTGTATTTGCTCTAAAATAAATTTCTGAAAATTTTAAAATTTTTAGAGTAATTTGGGATGAATGAAAATAAAAAACATTGACTATATTTATAATTCTCACAAAACAACGGAGGGAAACAAATTTTAAATTATTTACTTTAAGAAAATGACTTGTGTTTTTATTTAAATTTATTTTTATTGGGCAACATTTTCATTCATGGACTTCCATTTTTCTTCCAAAAATTAAAAATAATCCCCTTCTCTGAATGAATATTGCCGAAATGGCAATAAGTAAAGGATAATCTACACTCAACATGACATTCTATTTAGTGCCTTTTTTGAGTTGATTAGTAAAAGAATTTTATTTTATTATGTATTATCAACCTTTGTCAGTTCAAATGCCAACAATATGGGTGAGGGCAAAACGAGGACTTTCAAAAGACAAATATTTTAAAAAACAGAATTTTTCACTATAGGTTCGGTGCAGAGATGAATCGGTATTCCAATTTCCGAGTTCCGATTTTGAGCCATTCCCGATTTCCGACAGTTCCAATTTCCGATAGTTCTGAGTTCCGGCACCTTTGTCATTTCCTATTCACCTCTGCTTTGGAGGAATAGAAAGACAATTTGTCCGTTAATGTTCTGTCTTCTCTATAATGGATATGTACTAGCGGTTACTCTTTTTACTATAAAAGCCCTCAATACATAATCCAACTCAACCTTTATTGAGATTTCTTAGAAGGATTTGGTGGATATGCCCGCAGCTAAATCGACACACACAGCTAATGACAGCACTGCAAGGACGGCTCGTTCAATTTCTGGTCGGGGTGCTGGAGCATCCACTGCTCGTAAAAGTGTAGGCCCAACTGTGAGTACCAACAGTACTATGAGCGGAAAGCAGCCGACTTTCATTTTTGAGAAGTTTTTGGAGAAGCATTTGCGTTATACAAAGAAACGGGTAGGGGGACTTCCTTCTCTTATCCTCTCTAAAAAAATCTCTTTTTTCAGATTGTTTATCATCCTAGCGAGATAACAACACTTTGTTTGGCAGCTGAGAATGCATTCAAAAAACATTACAAAGACGAGTCTTGCGTTGTAAAAATCAAGCGTTTACCGCTATACATAATTGGCGACATCCATGGGAATTGGCGTCAACTTTTGCGAATATTCAATGTGTTGGGGTTGCCTGGCGATAAGGCTTATCTGTTTCTTGGGGGTTAGCATTTTTGTTGGAGCTAGTGATCTGAGTCCTGAAGACCCTACACCTTCATAAGATCTGAAGGGATTAAGGAAGATAATGACGATTTGGCAGTATAAGGGGATATTGGTGGATTTTGAGGGATATCGAGGATCTGAGGGTCAGAGCATTAAGAGGGTATAGGTCTTCATGGTTTAGGCCTTATAGGTTCACCCCAGTTATCTGATTACTAAGTTCATTCGAGAAGTTTTTATTTCGCTTGTACTTGGGTCTTTTCTTACAGGAAAAAGAGAAAAGGGGCGGGGCTTATGGGGGGTAAACTGCACAAGTATCATGATTCTTAGCTATCTTTCCCTTAATGAATGATTTTTTCTTTAGACTATGTCGATCGTGGTCTACGCTCTCTGGAAGTTGCTTGTTTGCTGATTTGTTTGAAGATGAAGTACCCAAATAAGGCAAGATTATATGCTTAATTCTGCCCTATTATCTTATTTTTCAGGTTTTTCTGCTCCGCGGCAACCACGAAACAGGCAAATTTGTAGTATCAATTTTAAATGTAACCTTCTACCTTTAAGACTACATCAATGCATATTATGGATTCCGAGAAGAACTAAAAACTCGGTTCAATTTGGGCGATGCTGATTCTGTGTATAAACACATCAATAGCTTGTTCAGATATTTTCCCCTGTGTGCGTTGGTTGTTGGTGAGGAAATTTAATTTTAAGCAGTCTAATCTTCCTCCCATTTTTAGATAGCATTCTGTGCATGCATGGAGGGATTTCGCCAAAATTGAATAAGCTCAGTGATCTTACAAAGCTTAAACTTCCCAGGGACATCATTGCACAACAGCGAGATACTTCGCTTCCCAAAAGTTTCTTCCCAGAGAATCATCCATTGGACTTGGATCTTCTCTGGTCTGACCCTAATGTGAGTTTGTGTGTGGGGCAGTTCAACTGAGTCCCGGCCTTATAACTCGAGAAGGGATGGATAGCATTAAACGAACTGATCCGGGAAAGGAGTCGGACACTTTTTTCCGGGACTCAGTTGAGGTGTACCCTTTGTTTTGTAATGATTTAGATTGTTGTCATTTAAGGGTGATGTAGACGGGTTTGAGTATAACGAAGCTCGACAAAGTTCCGTCTGGTTTGGTCCACAAGAGGTTTATTCAACCTGTGAGAAGCTCGGTATTAAACTCATTGTGCGAGCTCATCAGGCCTTTAATCGCGGTTTTGGGTTTTTTGCGGGAAAGAGGATGGTTACCTTGTTTGGGGCGACGGACTATGTTGTGAAGGTGTCTCTTAACTAAAAGCTTAGCGTTGTGAAATTAATTTTTAGGGAAGTTTTGCCGGTATTCTCCATTTACAATTGGGCAATGTTCAAGACAAGAAAGGCAAACCGACTGAGAAAAAAGAAATTCAGGCTGGCATTATTATCTTCCGTCCTGCTACTAAAGAAACTAAAGGAAAGAAAAAATTCATCGAGGAGTTTGAGAATTTCCCTGAAGCTGAGGAGGATGAGGAAACTCAACTTGAGATACTTGGAAAGGTAGAGATTTTTGAACAAAGACTGCCTATTTGAGATCCAGAATTTTTGTGTTTTTAGCTTAGAAAAGGAAAGGAGTAGGATAGAGACTCGTGATTAAGTCGGATTTGTAAGTCGGACAGATTAAGTCGGGTTTGTAGATATTAAGGGGATGGGTCTTGATCTTACGAGTCATTACCTTCTGGTTTTGACCTTCAGGGTTGATCCTTTTAGCTTAGCCTTTTAAAGGAAAGGAGTCGGACAGAGACTCGTGATTGAGTCGGATTTGAGGATATTAAGGGGATGGGTGACCTATCTGGTTTTGACCTTCAGGGTTGATCCCTTTAGCTTAAAAAGGAAATGAGGAGACGGGGATCGAGGTAGTGACTGGCCTGCTCCCTAGAAACTATAAGCTTTGCCTTTTACATTCCTAAGTCTTAAAATCATTTCAATTTTTCTCTTTTTTAAGATGCCAACAGAGGAAGAAATAAGGGAGTCGATGCAAGACTGATTGTGTTAAGAATGAGAATGATGTATGAGGATTAAAAAAATATAAATTAAGAATATTGTAAATACAGACCGTTATCTCTTGAAATGTATTGTACCATATAATAAAAGCAGTTAATAAGTAATGGTTAGTTGAATACTATTTTTAAAAATCTTTTCTGAATCAATTGGTGACAATATAGGAATGACAACATTTATTGACTGCTAAATTTATTTCTTCCAAAAGGGGGCTAGTAACCATTGTTATGCATAAGCTCGTACCAAAATTCATTTTCGTACTATGGCACGAAATACGAGTCACTTGAAAAACCGGCAAACTACTCTAACAAGTATGAGTGTAAGGTGGTGCGAAAATAATCTTGAAAGGTTGATAATGATAGGGAGTGAATTCAATGAGTTGGGGTTGCCTTTTTACCCTTACAACAACAAAAATTTTTTGAAACTATACAAAATAAATTATATATGTATATATCCGAGATAGAAAATAAGAAAATTTTAAAAATTGAAAGACAATTTTAATTTTATTTGTATAAAAAACGAAAGTTTATTGAAAAAATTGTATTTATATTTGATTGTATTTTAAATTTAAAATTCATTCAAAAAATCTTTCAAGCCAAATTACAAATTCTTCCTTCGAAATCCTTTGCCCAATGACCACAGTTACGATCAATCAAGTCGTAATTTTGCCACATTTCGTCGAAGACCTTTCTGATCATGTTGTAAGACAAACGCGGTTTAAATTCTTTTAATCCAAGTTGAAGAAGACGTTTCTCATAGTAGCCCCAACGAATATCCTTTCCAGACTTTGAAATCTCACAAGTAAGATCCATGTCACGACCACATTTGCGGCAACGAACAAATAAATGAACAGCATCGTGAGAACAATCCTTAACAGTTCCGTGACTTTTGCGCCGTGAACATTTGCGCCGCGACTTTTGTGCCGCCATTATTTAAAAAATAAAATAATAAGAAATTTCAGAGTTCAAAATAGGTCCGGGATTTGTTAAATGATTTCTAGTTAAGTAACACATTTGGAATAATTCCGATATATAGTTGGCGGTCCATAAGAATCCCCTTCCTAATCAGAAAAAAATTTCGGATATCCGGACTTATTCAAATCCAAATCTGCAAACCCTATCCGGCATAATTTCTGCCGGTACACTATAGTGAGGTCCGACTGTAGTTATTCATATATTTTTTAATGATAGTGGCGACGCAAAAGTCGCAGCACAAATGTTCTCGGCGCAGAAGTCGTGATACCTGCTTAACTAGCAGCATTGATGCCAGCGCAAGTGGAAGTAGTATTACGGAAAACGATAAACCAAACCTAAATAAATTTGGTAATTAAATGTTTTGTTTCCAATCCTATTTTTTCTTAAGATGTACATAACAGGGATGTGTCGAAACAGATTTTAAAAAGCGAAAGACGAAATTACGAAAGTAAATTTAGAAAGCGAAAGACGGAAGAAAAAGCGAAAGACAAGTCCAATTCCCATTGGCGTATCGAATGAGAATAGGGTAAAAAAAGTAAGTCTGGCACTTATATTCGTGTCAGGTTGACTCAAGTAACGGACACTGTCAAAGCAGTTCTTAAAAACAATTTATGTTTTTTTTTAAATTTAAATATCAAAAATTTAATTAAAGCACATAGCAACGGTATAAGCGGCACGTCCAGCAGCTCCCATACAATGAGAATTCCGCTCAATTTTCCAAATTTCATAATAGAAGTCTAAATATGAAGAATATATCGAGATCAATTGATAAAAGGAATCAGTTTAACCTTTTTTAGAAAGCTTTATTCTTCATATTTTTTAACTAAATTTAGCAAATCGGAATCAGAAATAAAAAGAGAATGTCATAATTAGAAGTTTAAATAAGCTATATATCTCTAATTCTTAATTTAAGAAATCCTTACACAACAGCCAGTAGATTTCCATTTTGAATGGTAATTCGCTGAAGAAGAATTAGATGATGATGACATTTTAAATTATTATATTTACTTGTAATTGAACTAAAATAAATTTCTGAAAACTTTAAATTTTTGAGTGATTTGGAATGAAAATGAAAATTATTACCAATATTTATATTACTTATTCTTACCTCCAAAATTATGCCGTTTTATAAAAAGGGAGGGTAATTTTAATGACTTTTTTACTTAGAAAAAATGACTTTTAAGCAACTTTTTTTTAATGTAGGCAACATTTTTAAATATATTTTTCGGTTTTTGCTTTTTGATCATAATATTTTTAAAACTTTAATTTTCTATTGTCGTCAAAAAATTTTCACAAAATATTTTTTCTCCCAGACATTAAAATAATCGGTACTTTTCGGTTCTGCCACACCCCTCCCATATATTCGCAGGTTACCTTTCTCCATATGTAACTTTCTCCTTTGTTCAATTCTCTCAATTTTCCCTGTGGCATGTTCAATGAGAGGCATTAATAAAGAAAAGATTAATTTTTACTCAGTTTTCCCTTCAAACAATTTCTCCTAGAAAGGAGAAAGTCTGACCATTCTGTACGTATTAAGGAAAAATGTAAAATATAACCTGCGAATATATGGGAGGGGTGTGGCAGAACCGAAAAGTACCAAATAATCTCATCCTCTGAATTTTTGCCTGAATGCCGAAAAAAAGTGAGCATTTTTAAACGACATGACATTTTCTTTCTTTGTTCCTTTTCGAGTCGATTATTCAAAATTTAAAATATTTTTATTTGGTCAAATTTAATTTTATTTAAAAATAAGTTAAAAATAATTTTAAAAAATTTTTATAAATTATGGGATTAGAAAAGTGAGATGTGTGTCTGTTAATCACAAAAAATAAATATCTTTTCTTAATTTCAACAATTTAAAAACTCGTTGTCAACAAATAAATTATAAAATTAAAGGCACAACAAGTAAGCAATTCCACTGCGTCGAAAACAAATTTTGGAGCAAAAACTTTGTAAAACATTAAATGTTTGTGATGAAGAAGAGAGGCTAGAACTGAGCCAAATACCTTTTTTAAATTAAGAAAAATTAGTATCTTATTAGAAAAATTTTTTGGAATTTTTTTTAGAATTTTTAAGAAAAATATGGTCCTACACCTTTCCACTTTTTATCAGAAAAATATATAAGGCATGAAAATATATCTCTATCACTAAAATGTTCCCTTTACTCCAAATACACCTTCACTCCAATTTACACACTAAATGTTCAGTGTTCCCTTTAGAAATTTTTCATTAAATGTTTGTGATGAAGAGGACATCCCGTAAAATCCCTTTTTTAGAGATTGGAAAAATGCTAAAATCTGACTCGAAATTATTCGTTTCTCCAAACTAGTTTATTTCAATCTACTCAAATTCATAATACAAGATATGTAGTGTGAAGATTAAATGTTTGTGATGAAGAAGACATCCCGTAAAATCCCATTTTTTCATTCCCAACAATGTTACCTTCACCTTACATGCTTGTTCCCCTCGCTCCACATGATGTTCTCTTCACACTACATATTCTGTGTTCCCTTCGCCCTATATAGGTAAATTTGGCCCCCTATAGTAGAGAAGCGCTCATTGAACTACTAAAAATTTCTTTCCCTCCAACGGAACTTTATTTTAATTTTAAAAAATCAAGAATCATGTTGCCTACTTTAATTGCCAAAAACAAAATTAAGTAAAAAGGAGCCGTTTCCTCTTCTTTCATATGTGCCATTAAAGAAGCCAATAATTGTCCAAAAAACATTGCAGTCAAAATAAAAGAAGCAGGAACCCATTTAAAAGCAAAATTTCCAGGTAAAACAACAAAAGCAGCACGCCAAGGAATTGAATTTAAAGTTCTTTGATTTCCTGTTGCGTAAAAACAATAAGCAGCCAATAAACTCATTAACCAACACCAATTTTTGATGTCTTAGAAAAATGAATTTTTAGAAAAAATTTCGTTAGGATTCGAAATATTTAAAAATCCAAATTTAAATTAAAAAAATAATCCTTAAAATTTCTTTGCAAAACAATCCGCAACTGTGGGCGGCTTGAAATTGGGTGAGCGCTACGAATTTTTAAATTGAGGGTTGGGGCTGGAGAAAAATATTTTTGAATTGTTTTTGAATGTAGACAACCATGCCCTCCCTTCACCGTTAGCTTTAAATTGGAGAGAAATTCCATAAATTATTAGTCTGGTTAAAAGATTATACTCGAGATCCCTTGTCCAATAAAATTTATAAAAAATATATATCATTCGCTCACTTAAAAAAGGTTGTCGGATCCAGATATCCGTATCCGAAAGACGAATATCATGAAATTTTCGGTTCAGATATCGGATCCGGATAAGATTTCTAACTATCCGACAACCTTACCTTTAAGACTTAAGAAAAAAATTTTTTATCGGAAGCCTCTATATATTTTTCAATGTTTTTAAAAATAATTCCAAATATATTAATTTACCCACCATTTTGAAAGAAAAAGTCTGCCACCGGAAATAAAAACAAACAAAAAGCCGTTCTCCATCCATATTCAGCCCCAATCAACATAATTAAAGGTAAACTAATCATTTGATATATTGACTTTAACCAATCAATTTTATTTAAATTTTCATCTCCAAATAATTTTATGGCAAAAAAGTGAACTAGAGTAACAGAAAAAATAGATTTGGCTAATAATTGACTGAGATTTTCAAATAAATTAATTGTATTATGGACAGATTGAGAAGTTGAAGGCTATAAAGAATTTATATATGAATTGATACTAAATGTGTTTTTTAATTAAGGAAAAAATTTTTTCCTTTACTCGTTCCCTTCTTTTAGTACTAGATATTCCTTTCACGCAAGTTCCTTTCACCCTATACAATGTTCCTTTCACATTACATGTTCTATTTATCCTATACTCTTCACATCAGGAATGCTAGTGACATAAAAAATAAATTTCTGATTTTTAGGAAGCGGGATGATTATGGAATTTTTCCGTTTACGTATAGCAAGTTGTCTTAGCCTATTTTTAACATCCTTTGGGACGGAGGGCTCCCTGCTTTACATTATTCGGCTCAAACAAAAGCTCCTTTCACACTAGAAACAGGACTGATTATGAGAGAGTCGTACGAGAATCAAGATAACGAAAAAATATCGATCTCGATAACCAAGATTTTTGATTGAGATATCATCTCGGTTCGATCTCTACTTCACATTAATATATGCCGTTCCCAATTATCAGTTTTCTATCCCATCCTTTATCCTCCATATCCAAAAATATTTTAATTACTACCTTTCCCTTCATTGTCATAACCATAGATTCAAAAATCCAATGTAAATAAAGAAGAATAAGTAATGGCCAAACAAAAAATCTGGTTATTTTTAATGCTTTCCATCTATCTTCCAATAAAAAGAATGTTGAAACAAAACTTGCTAAAATACTCCAAGGAAGTAATTGTTCTGTTGTAAATATATAAGTGTAGCATAGAACCTTGAAAAAACAGAATTTTAAATAAAAACAGAATTTTCCAGAAAAAATCAGAATTTTCTGTCAGAATTTTTCAGAAAACAGAATTCTTTTGTTCAAAAAATTTTTCAGAAAAAATCAGAATCTTCTAATGAGAATTCTTAGAAAAATCAGAATTTTTTTTTCAGAGTTCATAAAAAAGATCAAAATTTCTGAGCAGAATTTCTGGAGATAATCAGAATTTTGTATATCAGAATTTTTCAAAAAACCCGGATTTTTTGTCAGAATATGTTCAATAAAAATCAGAATTCTTCTGTCCAGAATTTAAAAAATAAATTTTTCTATTAAATTTCAACCTGCTCTTCTCTGCAACTTTCAAATTGTTTTAGAATTAACAACGATGGAAAAACAACAATTATATGAAAAATAAACATTTTGAAGTTAAATGAAAGTCTATAGATTGAGAATTCTCTGAAAAATTGGGAAAAAAATAATTTTTTTATTGTGATTTATTAGTTAGGCTTCAATAAAATCTATTATTGTGGAATCCCTCTCAAACAAGAATTCCTTTTATTATAATTTTTCATGAAAATCTGGAGTTCTTCATATGTCAAATTAGAACCGTCCCGGGGGTGACGTATCAGCGGGATTCCACTAAATAATTTAGAAAATACCGTAAAAACTGTATTAATTACCCTGGGTAATTATTAGGGTTTCGCCGGAACCGAAATTTTGACCGGAACCGGAACCGGAACCGGAACCAATTTGAGTTCCGGTTCCCGGAACCGGAACCGGAACTTTTCTAAGTTCCGGCCCGGAACCGGAACCGGAACCGGAACTTTAAAAATTTTGCTAGAAAATTTTTAAAAATTTTTATTTTAAGCAGGGTTGTCGGTTTCACCAAATTTTTCGGTTATCCGAAACAGAACCGAAAATTTGTCAGCGATTAAGTGGTATTTGTCGGATATACGTGTTTGATAACGGGATATATATAGGTTCGGAATTGTAAGGGTGATTTTAGGCATATCAGTGGAATAAGGATTGGTACGATATAGAACAAAATCCACCTTAATCCATCCAAATCCTCCGATATAACATACAACTTTCTTTTTTAGGGTCGCTGGCGAAAATTTTAAAGAAATATAGAAAAATAAGCTACCAGATTTCTTTTTTCAGCGCCGTAGGCGAAATTTTTTAAAATTTCAGAAGGCCTTGGGCGAAAAAATTAACCATTCTTCTTTGTCGAACAAGGAATTTTATAAATTTTGGAGAGCCAAAAGGCCCTAATTCCTCAATGTAAAAATAGAATATAATTTTTAAAACAAGATTAAACTCATAAAATAAATTAATTATGGAAAGAAAAATAAGAAAATTCTTTATTCTCTGACAAGGAATAGAACCCATCTTTAAATCATCAATGCTTTGGGTAAAGTCTAACCCCTTAACCACTAGGCCACCCGTCATATGAGGGGGGACGAAAGAAATTAAACATATTTTTTTCGATTTTTCTTTTAATACCAAGTACGCGAGTACGAGTAGTTCATTAATTTTTAAAAAAAACCAATCCTTAGGGGTGTAAAAAAGTTCCGGTTTGGCCGGAACCGATTTGTAAACCGGAGCCGGAACCGGAACCGGAACCAATTTGAGTTCCGGTTCCCGGAACCGGAACCGGAACCAAAAAAACACCGGAACTTCCGGAACCCGGAACCGGAACCGGAACTTCCGGCGAAACCCTAGTAATTATTGTTTCGATCTCTCGCTGGAGGGGGTAATAAAAGCAGGTGGGGTAATTATTTGAGGGAGGGCAATTATTATTTCGACCTGTAAATTTTTTATTTTATCATAAAGATATGGACAGTGATATACAATATGTTACCGAATGTAGAGATAAATATAAAATTTTTACAGATATTCCACATATACTCCCCTAATTTTCATCTATAATGTACCCCAAACGAGTAGAATAACACCAATACTTCCTTCCTGGGATATATAAGTTCACGATCGGCATGTATACAAGTATGTATGATTCCTATCAAGGAAATATACCCTACATTCTCTAGATATACTTTTATCTAGAAGATTTGAGGAATTTTCAGGGAGATATAAGATTGAAATTAAATGAGACTTGGAGGAGGGATTAAGAGGTAGTTCAGCGGTATCAACGAATTAATTGGATTTCAAAGATTAATGTGGGTTTATTCGTGGATGTAAAGATGCGGAGGGATATCGGAGCATTAAGGTGTATAATCTTAGATCCAATAGATCTATTTTAATCACTTAAAATCTCACCCAAACCCTCTTAATCTTCTTAATTCTCATAAGTTCCGCGATATCCCCTCCAAATCCTTTTATTCTCTTGATTTAATTTTTAAATTAATCCTTAAAATGCCCATTATTAAAATCATAATGATTTCTAATAAATATTTACAAAATTAGCTTAGGAAAAATAGGGGGTAATTATTTGAGGGAGGGCAATTATTGTTTCGATCTCCTGCTAAAGGGGGTAATAAAAGCAGGTGGGGTAATTATTTGAGGGAGGGTAATAAATACAGTTTTTACGGTAATCCCATATATTAATTTAAACTTGATTACAAAAAAGAATTCCTAAAAAAATCTAATTTTGTAAATTAGATCCCCCTTCCTAAAAAACGAGAAAAGCATTTTCCCTTCAAAAATGGGCGTAAAATTTTTGACTTTCGCAGAAAAAAAATATTTTTAGAAAATAAATTGTCAGGAAATTTTCCCATTGTTTTAAATAAAATATTTTCCAAAAATTCTTTAAATTGACCTGTGAATATTTAATTGTTTAATTAAAGCAATTAAAATCAAAGATTGAATAGAAAATTGTAAAACATCAGATTCATAAATAATAAAACTATTTGAAAATGCAAGAAAACCCAAAAATAGTTGTCCAAAAAATTGAAAATTGGAAAATAAAAAAGAAATAAAATATTTAAATTTAATTTTAATTGAAGTGCCAAATAAAAATACAAGTAGAAAATAACATAGAGAAACAAATAAACTTGTAGTTGTATATATTAATTGATCATTACCGGGTTTTTCTGCAAAAATTAGACTGAGCTGAAAAAGAAAAATGTTGGAAAAAATTTAGAATTAAAAACAAATTTAAAAAAAATTTTTTTTAATTTCCTAATCGAGTTAAAATTAAAAAAAATCATAAGGTTGTTATACCAATATTCGCTATCTATCTCAAGTCAGAAAATTTTGATATAATCAAATTTTGTTTTTATTCTAAATATTACTTTTAGCTAGCCCTCATTTTAGACACTATTTCTAAAATTTATTTGGCCACCGGGGGGAGGAGGAAAGAGCTACCCAAACGATTATCTCATTGTCAGATTATAAATGTCGTTAGCTTCTAAAACAAGGGGTAATTAAAAGCAACGAGGCACTAAGGCTAAAACAATGAGGCACCAAGGCCCCACCCTACCTCCGCCCTCTCTGGCGCCGGGGCTGCTCGAGATTCCATTGTATTGCCTACAAAGATGGGTCGAAAATTAAAAATTAAAAATCTGTCTACTGTTCACTTTTAATTTTATAAAAAAATCTAATGTAAAAAAATTTTCTTTAAAAACCTGTAATAAAAGCATTGCAGAACGAAAAATCCAAAGAAAGAAAGGCGTTGTATTTTTTGCATTAAAAATTAAAAAACAATTAAAGGCTAGAGAATCCACCAAAGAAAAAATCCCAACAAGGCACAATTCAAAATAAAATTGGTCTAATGAAGAACGAATTAAATTGCTCAAATTTTTTATTGTTTGAGTCAAATCGTCTGTATTTATTGTACTTTCATATAAACGAGAAATTTTTGATAGATCATCCTGAAAATTAATTTTTTTTTTGAAATTTATTTTTTTAAATGAGGAATTAAAAGGAATTTTAAGGGAAACCGAAGAAAAAATTTTTAATCCGAAAAAATTAGAAATCCATGAAATTTACATGTTTTACGTCTTTTAAGTTCAAGTGTAGGGACCAAATTATTATCATTGGTAAAAGAAATTAGAAAATAAGCGAAATAAAGAAAATGAATTTTTAAAAACTTATTTTGATAATTTTGAGATAATAAGGGGTTCCTGGCATTTAAGTGTACACCAGTGACGTTCGGGTATCCCGATTCGACTTCCAAATCGGGAAATTTTCCCGAGTTTTGGCCTCCCAATCTTAAGGTTATTTCCCGACCCGGCTCCCGTTTCCAGTGTTTTTCTTTTCCCGAACATCACTAGTGTACACTATCCAAATTAAAAAAAGGAAGTAGAAAAGTTTAGAAAAAAGTTCATGTTGAAAAATGACAAGCTTTTTCAGGATAAACAATTCCTTTGCCTAGAAAAGGAAAGTTTTCTTAAATTATAAAAAAAATACCCTCAAATCAATTTGCTGTTTAGCGTATTCACGTGCATATCGAAACATTTGAAAAGCATTTAACTTCATTTGTTGAAATAAATTAGAAGAATCATTTCCAAAAATAGGTTTAATTATTTGGCCAATATTTGGATATGGAATTGGTAAATCAAGTAGTAAGGACAATGTTGGGACTAAATCTACCTTTAAAAAATAAATAAAAATTTTTTTAAAAATATTTTCTAAATTGATTTTTAAAAATTTTTATTGGAAACTAAAGCCTTTCCCCCTAAAAGGAAAAAATAATTTAAAAATTTTTTTTGGTGTAGTGGGATAGCTTTCAGTTTATTATAGGAAATGGGGAAGGTTCGATACCAATTGAAGGAAAATAAACTTAAAATGCAAAATATTGTTCAAATCTTAAAGAATGGTTAATTCCCTGCTTTGTAAAAATCTAAATAATTTTTTTGACTAGTTTTAACTGTGATAAAATAATTTTTAATAAAAATCCACTCGAAAATCAAAGCCTTGAAAAAATTTTTTAATTCAATTTTAGGCTAAATTCTAATAAATTTAAAGAAATTGAATTTTTAAAAATTTCTAACCAACCCCCAAACCTTTTAAATAAATTTAAAACCCAAAAAATAAAAACCTGAGAAACCGAGTCAACACCACACCAAAATTTGCCAGAACAGTCAAATTCAGCCGAGAAAGGTTTTTCTGATTCATTTCCTTTTGGACGAGTATATGCAAACAAAGCAGTACTCAATTCATTTAAACTATCCCCTCCATGATCTCCAGTTGAAGTCATTCCATGATCACCAAATACAAATAAAATAGTTTCTTCGTCCATTTTTTCTGTTAAATCCTCCACCAATTTGTCCATTTGTAACAATTTTCTACTCATTTCTGCATGTGCTTGTCCATAACGATGACCGGCGTGGTCAACGCCTAGACAATGGGCAATTATTAAGGACCAATCAGAACGGTCAATTTCGTCGAAAATGTTGGCTAAAAAATTTTTGAAAATTTTTAAAGAGAAATTTTAATAAAAATAAATTTTGAAAATCAAAAATGGGATCAGAAATAATTTTAAAAATTAAAGACGAAAGGAATCGAACCTTCAACCACAAAAATAACCATATTCTAACCGTTTTCAAAAAGAATTATCAAAAATTAAGCATCCTCGATTTTTAAAAATTTAATTAAATACCAATAACAGCATCGTCAACAGTATCCAAATCCATAATATCAAAACTTGGCTTTTCAAAATGTCTATGAAAACGGTCTGGTAAAAGCTGCAACCTTTAAAAACAAGAAAATAAATTAAAAGGATGAATTTTAAGTAACGAAAAGTTTATGGAAAAGCGGTCAATACTTATCAAAGTAGAGGAGGAAACAAGAATTAAGGATACAGCTATAGATTCCGTCAGTCATTTTGATTTTTTGGGGTTTGTCGGTTCTGGACCGAACCAAAGAACCGAGGATTTATCTGTTCGGCTCTTCGGTTCGGTTTCAGATATCCAAAGAATTTCCAGGAACCGACAACCCTATTTGTGAAGTAAATAAAATGTTGTCTAAAATTCTTTCTTAAAATTAGACTTAAGGTTAAAAATCTGGGAAAAAAATTTCTGATCGTAACAAAAACGCCTTAAATTTATTTTCGAAAGAAAGCTCTCCTAAAGTTTCGTTACGACAAATTAAAAAATTTTAAATAAAATAAAAACCAAGTTTCATCCCCCAAAAGTGTAGCATTCTTCCCACTAGTCAATAACTGATCCAAAATGTTGTCTTCAGAAATTTTTGTTCCATCAAAATTGTCTCCAGCTTCAATAAATGCAGGCACACTTCCAGTAACCAAAGCCTTAATTCTTTGAAATGTTGTTGTTGGGGCGTCCGAAATAAAAGGAAATAAAAGAGCATTTCCAGGTTGTTCACGAAGAAGTCTGGCAATTTTTGGCTAATTAAGAAAAAATTTTTAAAATTAAAAAATGTCCAATATATGTACGATTTCTACCCAGAAATAGAGTATTAAATTTAAAAAATTTTTTTGAAGGTGAATTCTAAAATTCCCTTAATTGACATTAAAACAGAGCAAAAAAGGAGGGGGAATTCATAAAATAATTTTTAAAAGGAAGTTTGATAGAAATTAAAGTAAAATATTTTTTGGTCTCACAATCATTAGTATTTGAATTTGCAGATTCGCACTTGCGGACGAATAAAAGTGACCGCAAGTATCGGTCCCCAATCCACTAGAGATCGGAATTTTTGAAAAGTCTACCTGTTCCTGGCTTCCGGGTTTGATTTATTGACCTGGGCCGGATCCAGTGCCAATAGTCCAGGAAAACCCCAGGAAGGTCAAAAAATGCCAACCTGGACTCTGGGTACAGGAAAAACCCCAAACCTCGGTCCAGACCCAGGCCGATCTCTACAATCCAATACAGCTCATAAAACTATATTTTAAAAAAATATCAAAAAAGAAAACCATTTGTCCATGATAATATTTTTCATCTCCTTTTAATTGGTGTCTTCCCATACAATTTTCATAAGGAAAAATAAAATCAAATCGAAGAGCGTCAATAATTAAAAGAATACTTTTGTTATATTTTGGTTTAATCCAACAATTTTCTTCACTAACAATGTCTGAACAAGAACTTTTTAATGGAAGAACATGTCGTTTTACAAGTAGTCCTTTTTGAAAAATAAATAATGAAAGTGTGTAGCTTAATGAAAGGGCAATAAATCTCAGCATTGTTGAACGAGAAGATGCCCATGATAAAAATATGTTCATAAAGGTGCCTAAATTTGAAAAAAAATTAAAAAAAAATTTTTAATAAAAATTACAAGAAAAATTTTTTTTTAAAAACTCGCCTTTTGAGAAATTGCTAAAAAAATTTCTTTGGCAAAACGTTTTTTTCATTCTGAATAGTTACAAAATGTCAACACCACAAAATGTTGGTGTTGAAGTGAAAAAGTGACTGAAATGCCTTGAACTTTATAGAGGAATTGATTTTTTGGAGGACACGCCCAAAACGGCGCCGACCAAGTTTAGTATCAAACGATTCCTCTCATCGAGCTAAGGAGATTGGTACCAAAATTGATAAGGACTAGAAATTTTCCAGCAAATTATGGCTTTGCGCCGTTATGACTCGCGCCGTTTTGGGGTGTACCCGATTTTTTGTTTCTAATTTTCTTGTTTATATTTTTTCAGGAAATTATTTTATTGCAAAACTTAAATGACTGCCCAATATATTGAAGTCCTTGACCCAAATAATGGTGAACCTGTGCGAGTTAATCTTTCCAATGGAGCCTTGTTGATATCCTCTATTGATGGTCTTTTTCGTGGCACTTTTGGTTTGAAATATAAAGATGTGACTACTGGCGCTAAATACGGTGTTTCGTATGTTTATTTAATTCTATATCTATATTTGCTACTTTATTTAGAACTGATCCAATCAATCAAGTTTTTTTGGCGCCTAAAGACGGATGGGGAAACAAAACTTATGAACTTGTATATTCGCCTAACCGGTCTGCTAGTGTCACTCCTGGTTAGTTTCTTTTAAATTTACTGAGGTTTCTAACGTCAATTTTGACTAAACTTTAGGATACTTCCTGCTATAATCCTTTTCTTAACTGATTTATTTTTCGGTTAAACTAAACTGATTTTTGTGTATTTCACAATTAATTCTTTGCTTCTCTTTAAGTATTCTTTTGGATATTTTTGGGGTTTTCGTGCATATTTTGCTTGTAAAATAGATTAACGTTTTCAGCATCTTTTTAAATTCTTTATAAATTATTAGTATTCTCGCAATTTTATTTTTTAGATCGACCTACCTCTCCTTGGATGCATGTTCAACGTATATTTTTAGTTTAATTGAAAAGAATCCTTAATACTTTGTATCTTAACCGTTTTCTTAATTACCCCTATCGAGTCCAACTTTGCTTAACTTTATTTTTAAAAATGATTTTTAAAATAATTAGGAGAGCTTCCGACTATTAATTCTGTTAGCAAATTTTGCTTTTACCTCAAGAAAGAAGTTAATTCGAATAAAGAAAACAAAACGGGGAAGGAAGTTAAAATTGAAGTAAAATCATGCGTCACAAGAATTAGCAAAAGATATTTTGCAACTTATCACCACAAGTCGCATAAGGATTTTAAAGAAGGAAAGGAGGTTGAAATATTTCCCAATGAAGGAGAAGAGCCTTTTAAAGCAACGTGCAAATTTGTCAACGAAAAATGGGACTTTATATTATTCAAATCTAATGAAGATGTTGAAGGTGATGGACCTAATATTTCTCAAAGTTTTTATCCTGGTGAACGTATAATTTTATATGGTCGAGCAGGAAAAAATGGAACATTGGCTCCTCAAGAGGGAATTATAAATTCAACACTACAATATTGGGGTTTGACATACTAGTTCATTTATTTATTAAATTTATTCTTTAATTATTCAGACAAGGACAAAATGTATGCCTCTTTCTTGCTCGGCACAATCAAAACTGATCATGGTGATAGTGGAGGAGGAGTTTTCGATTTTGGTGGATTGATTGGCATGAGTGTTGGAAACACACACTTTAGTGACCCTCAGTATAGTGTTGCTGCTACGTCTGCTGCTCATTTCAATTCAAAAAATTATATTATTATGGCAAAGGATTTGCTTGCTGTTGTGGATGTATGCTTTTTGTAAAGATTATAATCTAGGTTGATGGCGACCGGTTCTAAAAATAAAATTCCCAGTTTTTGGCTCCTTAACCTATCTTATAACATTAATAAGTGATTATTTTCATTAAAAAATTTTTAGACACTTGAAGGAACGAAAAATGACCAATTCATCCAAAAGCCTTTACCAGGAATGCCTCCAATTGCTAGAAATGATGAACCACCACATAAAAAGAAAAAGGGCAATGAGACTGATGACGATTTTTAAATTTTTGATTTATGATTTAAAAATATATAATGGAGAGCTTTTATTGCCTATATCTTTGACTTCAAATTTGACTGTATTTTGAAAATTTTTGGTTTATTAAGATTTTTATTTATTTTTTTTGTTCATTCCGTAGGAGTTTAGATACTCCTATCGTTTTCTTATTATTAATATTTTTATTTGCGTTTTTTTCAGATTTCAGAGTTACTTTTTTTGGTACGCTAAATTAATAAATGGTTCGTGTTATAATCAAAGGTGGAGTTTGGAAGAATACAGAGGTTATTTTAACACTGGGTTAGGTTTAAAAAGTATTTTTAGGATGAAATTCTTAAAGCAGCTATTATGAAATATGGCAAAAATCAATGGAGCCGAATTGCCTCTTTGCTTCATCGAAAATCCGCAAAGCAATGTAAAGCTAGGTGGTATGAATGGCTTGACCCACGAATTAAAAAGACAGAATGGTCTAGAGAAGAGGACGAAAAACTTCTCCATTTGGCCAAAATTATGCCTACTCAGTGGCGTACAATTGCTCCAATTGTGGGAAGAACTGCTGCTCAGTGTTTGGAAAGGTTTTTTGTGTTAGTTTTAAAAGTATTTTCTTTAAATTTTTTTAAAGATATGAATATCTTCTAGACGAAGCCCAACGTCGTGCTGAAGGTATTGAAGAGGAGGATTCTCTAAAAGAGGCTAAGAAGCTAAAGCCTGGTGATGTTGATCCAACACCAGAAACTAAACCGGCTAGGCCTGATCCAATTGATATGGATGAAGATGGTAATTAATTTTATTTTGTTATTTTTTAGAGTCTATTTTGAATTTCCTGACATTGGGTTGAGTTTGTTTATTAAATTGTTCTGAATTTTTACCCTATCTCATGTCAGATTCCCTGTTCCATAATATTCCTATTCCACTGTATTAATGTTCAGAACTCGTTTTTCGATAGATTTTGCATTTTTATACCTTCGAAATTTTCTCCTTTTTTAACACAAACTTTCATTTAATTTTTCAGAATTGGAAATGTTATCAGAAGCCCGAGCTCGTCTAGCCAACACACAAGGAAAGAAAGCAAAGCGCAAAGCTCGTGAAAAGCAATTAGGCGAGGCTCGAAGACTTGCTTCTCTACAAAAACGAAGGGAACTTCGAGCCGCTGGAATAATTATTGGATCTGGTTGGGCCTATAAAATGAAGAAGCATCGTCTAATGGATTATAATAATGAAATACCCTTTGAAAAACAAGTCCCAGCAGGATTTCATGATCCAAGCGAGGATAAATTTGATAAGGCACAGAAAACGATGGTGGAAGAAAAAAGACGAGATTGGCAGGAAAGGGATGATAGGAAGGCGGATAAAGACAAGCTGAAGAAAAGAAAGTTTGTTATTTTTTATATTAATAAATTCTAATTGTAAGGATAATTCCTGAATTTTTCCCTTGTTTTTCTTTAAATTGTGAAAGTAGCCTTGGTTATAAAGTAGAAATTATTGGGTTTATCCACCCTAATATTTTTAATTGTTTACAATTTGAAATCTAACTTCTGGTTGGTTGGAGGCACGAGCTTTGATTAAGGTATTATTCTTGAATGTTAAAAGAAGCTAAAAAGACTAAGAAACTTGAATCGTTTTTATCAGGTTCGTTCAAGTATAAGTTTGATAATTGCAGTTTTTGATTTGTTGATAGGCCTTTTTGAATTAAAAACTAAACTTTTCCAAAAATTTTTAACCTAAAATTAATGTCTATTCTTTTCTAGAAACGAAGACTTGCCCGAATCAATATTTGGTGAAAAACATGAAAAGAAGCGAAGCAAACTCATTTTACCAGAACCACAAATTTCTGATAAAGAATTGGAAGATATAATAAAAATTGGACATGTATCTGATTCTGTTAGAGAATTGGTTGATGATAATCCTTCTAGGTTTTCTATTTGAAAATTATTTTTTCTAATATTAAAAATTTATTTTTAAAGTACTCTTCTACATGATTATAACGAATCTGCAAGAATGAACGCATTTTCGGCTAGGACACAAAGAGCTGCTGTTGGGGATGTTGATACAGTTGCTAGGGTATTTTTTTATTAAAAATATTTTTTGAAAAACGAATTCGAGAATTTTGAACTTAAAAGTAGCCCTCTCGAGCTATGAGCATTTTCATTTTTCCCCTATTTTCTCTTGCTTTCTGACAACTGGATATTCAAGAGGCTCGGGGTCTCAAAAGGCTCAAGGGGAACCGGTACTATTGGGTTGTAACATATTTAGTTTCGTTTTTTATTAAAAGTTTCGGGGTCTGTATTTTTATAAATCCATAGTCTATGATCATGAATTTTTGTACTTATATTACTTAGACTGTCCTCTAACAGCCTCTAAAATTTTACAATTTTTTGTTAGGCATAGTAAGAGTAACAGCCTCTAAAATTTTACAATTTTTTGTTAGGCATAGTAAGAGTTATGGTCGAAAAATTCGGGGTAGTCAAATTACTGATTTTTAGCGAATATATCAAAATATCTCGGAAATCATTGGTAAATGGTTGGCATGTGATATATCAATCGAAAGCTCTTCAAATGCTCTAACTAGCGAAAAAAAGAAAATTTTAAAAATTCGAACGAGAAAAAGTGAAACAAGTATAAGACATGAAACGTGAAAAATCCATATGTGAGATTAAAGTTCAGATCCTGGGCTTCAAAATGGTATATAGAACATGCAATTAAGATAAGAATGTTATGCCCTTATGCCTTCTTGAAAAAAACGAAACTAAATATGTTACAACCCAATATTTTATATATTTACCATATATATGGAGGTCTAATCAGATTCTTGAGTGATTGCTAGAGACATGAGAAAATTTAAGACGAAGCAGCTGAATTTCCCAAAATCTCTTTATAATTTTCCTTTTTCAGGCAGCAGATGATTTATTAGCTCTTATAAACGTCGAAACACCACTTAAAGGAGGTCTCAACACTCCTCTTCACAATCACGACTTTAGCGCTCCTGGAAGTCAACGTCAACCAATTTCTACACCAAACACTGTTCTTTCTGCAATGGCAGCGACTCCAAAGAATGTTGGGGTTGGACGTTAGTTTTTTTTGAATTTTTGACTCGTACTTTTTATCCCTCCTATTTTTCATAGAAACTCCCGGATCTCAACGAACTTTGGCTTCTTCAACACCAGGTGGAGCATCTACAACAACAACAGAAATGAATACACCATTTAGAGACCAATTAAATATAAACCCAATTTCTGATGAAACTAGGCCTTCAAAAAAAGAATTACAACAACAATTCTATCAATTACCAAAACCTAAAAATGATTTTGAATTGACTGAAGTTGGGGATGAAGATGATGAAGAGGGAGGATTGAGAGAGGTTTTTTAAAGTCTAAAAGAGTTAACAATCCTATAGGTATTGAAAAATTATTAAAATCATGTTTTGGGTTCAACAAAAAATAAATTATGGTGAGAGGGAATTTTTTGTGGGTCTCATTTTATGATCCTAAAAAATCTTGTTAATTCTTCCTTTATTTTATTCTATGAGGATATTTTTAAAATTATTTTTAAACCTATTAACAATGTTTTTCCGGTTCAAAAGAATCAAACGTTTCCGTGAATGTTGTGATTTTGGACAGTTTTTAGGCCCTTAAAAACACTGTCTATTCATGTATCTATTCGCTGATTCTATTTTTAACTAATTTTTCATTACATACCTATAGGATTGTTAATTCCTTAAAATTTTTTATACGAAAAAATTTTTTCTTTAGGAATGGATTGAAGATGCCGCTGAACTTGAAAAGCGTCGTCAAGCAATAGCCGAAAAGAAGAAAGCACTCGAATTGGAAAAACGAACAAAAGCCTTTCAACGACAATTACCTCTTCCATCAAAATTAAATATTGAATATAAGAAGCGTGGGGCAGGTGGAACAGATTTACATAAGGTTTGAAAAAAATTTTAAATAAAAATTATGGGGGGATTTTAGGGGGGTTTATCTGGTTCTAATTAGGTTAGTTATAAAAATTGGACTTATATAACTCTCGATTAAGGGGTTTTCTATAGATTAAACTCGGTCGGTCTTTTTGGCCTGTCCTTAGTTTTCTAAACGTCTTTTTTTATTTTTTAAATTAAAAATTCTTTTAATTAAATTAAATAAATTCTGGGTCAGTCTTAACATTTGACTATTCAAAAACAATGAAAATTGGATAGATATTAGAGTTGTGTCAAACCTTGATTATGTTACTGATTACATATGGGTACTTTATGGATATATCACCCCCCCCCCTATTTTGAGTCTCAGAGTCTTCCTTAATATGTAATAATGGTCAGCCTTTTTTCCTAACCCAATTTCTCTCCATTTGCCTGTGGTAAGTTTGAATGATTGAAAAATTAATCTTTCTTTATTAATGCCTCTCATTCAAATTTACCACAAGGAAATATAGAGAAATTGGGTTAGGAAAAAAGGCTGACCATTATTACATATTAAGGAAGACTCTGAGACTCAAAATAGGGGGGGGGGGTGATATATCCATAAAGTACCTACATATGTCACTAAAATTTCTTAAAGCGTTTTATCTGGTTAAATACCCCGAACTAGTCTAGTTATAATTTAAAATATTTTTTTATAACCCAGTCAATTTTGTTTTTGTCTACTACTTTAATTTTTATTTTATATTTTTTGGGTAAAATTGGAATATAGCTGATCCGAATAGCAAGCTTAACTTTAATCAAATTTTATATGTTATACCTTTTCAATATTTTCTCATTTTGCTCTTTTTTTATAATTTCTTCTTATCCCTTCTTTTTTTTTATTTATTTTTAACACTTGTAGATCTTTCTAAATCTTTTTTTCATTTTCTCTCTTTTTCACCCATCAATCCATCCTTTGTTGCGCACTTGGCACTCTTTTTTATTTTAAAAATCATGGATATATTCTTTATATAATTTATATTTTTTTAAAAGAAAAGTGAAGAGGGGAGGGAAAAGGAAGATTAGTTGGTGTGTGTGTGTTTTTCTTTTATTATTTTTTGACAGTTTAATCTTTTATTATTTTTTAAACGTTTTTCTTTGTCATTTTTCTATTCGAATTAACAAAACTAGGGGAAAAATGATTTTTCTCTTTTTTCAATAGAGAAAAGTGGATTTGTCTTCTTTTTTGGATTTTTTTTTATTATTTTTAAAGAAAGGCACACTAAACACATTTTTAGATTTTTAAACAATTCTTTAAAAATTAGATAGGGAAGGGGAGAATATTAACAACAACACATCTGCCTCTATTTTTTAAATTTATTTTTAATTGACTAAAATTGTGTTGACATATATCTATTATATAATAATGATGGCATTTTAATTTTTTATTTTTTATATAATGGCATCTAGTTTTTAAAAAATATTTTTTCTGGGAGTACTCAATTTATTTAAAAACAATTGAAAGGAAAATAGAGAAAATATGTAGTAATTCAGAAAAAAAATTTTTTTGGAAATTAGAGAGAAGGTAGATTTATCTTCTTTATGGGTGTTTTTTCTGGATATTTAAGAATTTTTTGAAAATTTTTTAGGAAATTTTGGTTTGGAAATAAAAGAGAATTTTTATTGAAAGAAAAATGTTGACAATTTATTAGTCAGCTTTGAATGATTTTGTTAGGTATGTGTGGGTCTAGTATAAAAGGAGTCGTTAGCGATCAGTCTGGGTCGACACCTGGGTCGACCGACGCCGTCCGTCCTTCATCATTCTTGCCTTTTGCCACCTTCACTATTATTGTATTTACCATTCGGATAAACGTTATATTCTATTCCTGGTTTATTCTGTTTGTCACTAGGTAAGACCGCTGCCTAGGACATAACAGATTTTTTATTAAAAATCTAAAATTTATGTTTGTGTGACTTTTGTTTCTTTTTTCTTATTTTTTATAAATTCTCTGGACATTTAGAAGAATTCTTTTTTATTTTTATTCCTATAACAATTTTATTACTTTTTTTGCGCCAATTGTTTTAGTATTTTTAACCTGTATAGAATTTTGTCTTTTTTCATTGTTTTTGAATGGTCATAATTTTAAATGGAAAATCTTTCCTTTTATTTTACAAAAATAAATAAAAATTAAAGGTCAAGAAAATTTTTTTTCAGGAGCAGAGTAAGCAGACTTAACTTTATACTCCTCTCGCAAATTCATAATAAAATGTCTTTTTGTCATACCGAGTCAATTTTGTTATATTCCGACCAGGGAGGGATAGGGTAACGGAAACTCGGATTTCTTTTGTCCTGATAGCCCGAGAAGAAAATTTTGAAATCCAAATTCGACTTTTTTCTCAAATCAGAACCATCCCTGCTTCAACGTAGCTTGACTAGGGACTTTGAATCGTTGACCAGATTTTTAGTTTTAAATGGTGTCCTCGGATATTTTAAATTTTGATACATTCGGCTCTTATTTTTTAATATACACCCAATACTGGACACAACTCTATTTAAGTTATGTTCTTAAGTCGCTGGATGCTGTTTAAACAGTACATTCAATTTAAGATACAAATTTTTACAAATTTTTTAACTCTAAAGAGGGTCTTTAAAATGAGGGTTAACTTTATTATTTTTAAATTTTTTTAGGCGGATGATCTAATAAAATCAGAAATGTATTCATTAATGGAATGGGATGTAGAAGGTAAAGAACCTCCTCCAAAACAAATTTATTCAAAAGAAGCAATGGAATTAGCCAAAAAAATGATTGATATTGAAGCAACTAAAATGGCTGAAGCAGAAGATATTGAATTAAAATTGGATAGTCAAATGTGGCAAGTTGTTGCTAATTGTTTTGGTGAATTGGTCAAATTTCAAAATAGATTTACTAGACTTTCTAATTTGTCAAAGAGAGATCAATTGGAAGTTTTGTCTGAACGGTTTAAGGTGAAAAAAAGAAAAATTTTTTAATTAAAAAAATATTTTTAGAGGGAATATTTCGGGGGTTTTTTAATTATTTATTGAAGGGAACCAGAATAGTCTTAAAAATTTATTTTTCTTTGGAATGGTGTGTAATTTTGGAAATATTTTTAGTCTTCTAAAATCTATACTGAGGCGAATCTAGGAACTCTCCGGGAGTTTCTGAATAGACAAAAAATTTTCTGAATATCTGGGCTTTTTCGGGTTCTAGTTAAGAAATAGATTTAGTTTTTTTCCCTTTAAAATTCAAGAAATTGAATGAAAAATTTCTTTAGTTAAATTTTTAAAATTCTTTATCTCTCTTCTTCATGATCGGTTATTATCTGCCATCAAAGCTATTCTTTTTCTTTCTTTATTGGATTTTATTTTCAAAACAAAAATATTTTTAATTTTTATTAGTCCAATCCCTTCCCCCTTCTCTCTCATTATTATTTGTCCTTTTTTCTAATGCATTTTTGGCAGTTGACTTTAAATACCCTTCCTTCTACCCACCATTCCCTATTTGCTTCCTTCTTGCCTTATTTAAAAGGACAAAAAAAAAGAAATGCCTTAAAATTAAGTAAAATTATAATTGGGTTTATTAGCCTGGAAAATAAATAAGAGGAGAGAAGGCTTCTTTCGACGCCTTCCTTGAAATAAATTTTTTTTATTGGAGGGGTGGTCATATTTAAAAATATTGGGGGTGGCTTTTAAAAATAAATTGGAGGGAAGAAGAATATATTCCCAAAAGAGATTTTTGGGACTTTCTTGAGTCACCCAAAAAGTTGAAGGAAAGGAAAAGGGAAAGAGGGGGGGGGTGAAAGAGTCAAATAGCCACCACCAGCACCACCAATTTGTTTTTACCCCTACTTTGAGTGTATTTATTAAATAAATAAAAATAAAAAGGAAGTAAAAGTGCGGGAAATTAAAAAAGAAAGGAGGAAATTAAGAAAAGTAAATAAATAAATATTATATAGAGTAATTAAAAAATATTTTTGGGATTTAAAAGAAATATAAAAATTAAAAATTTTGTTTGGTTTAAGGGGGGGAGGGGGGATATTGGAATTAAAAAGCTTAAAGATTTCTTTATCTTTTTACTATTATTTTTTTGATTATTTTAAGTATCAATATATTTTACTCATCTTCTAATCTGTCTTTTCTATTAAAAAATAAATTTCTATTTTATTTTTGATATTTTATATTAGAATTTATAAACCTCCAAGATAAGTTTTTCAATACCTTTGTTTATTGGCTAGAGCTCTGAAATGCTTTGAAATCTTTATTTTTAGCCTTCTTTTCCTTTCAATTTAGAATTTTTGAATTTTAATAATTTTTTAGTTAAGATGCAATTCTGTTAGTAAACCACTTTATTATCTCATATTTTTCCATGTTACTAAAAATTTTATTTTTAATATTCACAATCTTTTCAATTTATAAATTTTATAAGAACCTAGAAAAAAAATAAAAAAGAACAAAGCAATTCCTTTTAATTTTTTCCAGGTTCTTTTTGGTTGGATGACTTCACAAGCAACAAAAATGCAAAAATTGGAAAAGAAAGTTCGTTTAAAGCTTGGGGGATATATGGTAAGGAATTGGAGAAAGAAAATTATTTAAAATTTATTTTTAAAGAGTATAGAGTCGTCTCTAACAGCCAAACTTCAAGAATTAGCTAAACAACGAGAAACTGGACTTTTGGAATTAAAAACATTTAAAAGGTTGGAACAGAACGAGCAAAAGGCGATTGTTAAAAGAATTAATTCTTTGACTGCGGAGGTGGGGGAATTTTTTTTGAGTGAAAAAATGTTGGGATATTTTGTCTTGAAAAATTTTGGAAAAAATTTAGAAATTAAAAAAAAATTTTTTTAGAAAAATTAAAAGAAGGAATACAGCAGGACCTCAACTATAAACAACTTCTTAGGGGAAATTTGTTATCTTGTAATAAGTTATCCCTTAAATTGGGGACTTTGCTTTAGGCAGCCCTCCCCCTACCCATAGCTGACATCCAAAATTTAAAAAATCGTCTCTTAAATAGAGGTGTGTGTTTAATATTGAGGGGTATTTTATATGGAGGTTTTGACTGAAAATTTGAAATATTTTTAAATTAATTTTCTCATAATTACTCAATTTTTCTTAAAAAAAGAAAAGGCCCTTTTTTCCTCTTTAATTACTTGAAAAAATTGTTTCGGTAAATGCTAATTATATAAAAGAAGGAAAGGGGATTTTATGTTACGTATTAAATTCTTTTTTTGTTTTAAAAAGTGTGAGAAAATAATTAATTTATGGGAAAATTAATTTTGGTAATTTAAAATTTAATTTTTGGGGTCATTAGAGAATCGAAAGTTTTTTGGTAAAGAATTTTGTCAAAATTAAAAAAAAATTTTTTTTTATTTTAGGTTTCCTTTGAAGAAATTTTTTTTCTAAATTTAAAAATAGAAAAAAAGACTAATTTTTTATTCAAAAAAATATTTCAAAAATGGACAAAATATCCCAAAAAAAATTTTTTTTGAAAAATTTTTGAATTTTAATTTTTTTAATTTTTTCCAGTTAAAAGAACAAGAAATTCGAGAAAAAAATTTACAAAAACGTTTTTCTTTTTTGCAACACCGTAAATGGGAATTGGAACAATTAGAGAAGAAGGAGAATGCTACAAGTGGACAAGAACCTATTCGTTATGCTTCTTTTGAAAATGTTGGGCATTCTTGAAGAGAGGGAAAGAATGAAATTTTGTATTGAAAAGGAGGAGATTATTTAAATTAAAAAAATTTAAAAAAATTTTTTGTTGTTGAAGATAAATTAAAAAAATGGAACATGTTCCTTACAGCCTATACCCTAGTGTGAAGGGAACATTTATTTTTTGACAAAAAATTTTTTTAATTTTTTTTTAAAATTATTTTGATGTTTGGCTACTTTAAAAATGATATTTTTTTCGTGTAATTGGGAGATTAAAAAAGAAAGAGAATTTTTTTGAAAATTCAAAAAATTATCGTTCTGTCTTCGAATTATTAAAAAAAATTTTTTAAATTTCATCTCTTTCTTTTTAAATATTTTTTTGTGAAATTTAAATTTATTTTTAAACTTCCTCTTTATTTTTTTGTCTGAAAAATAAATTTAAAAAAATTTAGAAATAAAAAGAATTTAAATATGCAACAATAATATGAAAAAATTTATTTTTCTAGTTTTCCAATTAATTTAATAATAATTTCAAAAAATATTTATTTTTTCAAAAAAAATTTTTTCAAATATCCCATTTCGTTTAAAAAAATAATTTTTCCAATCCCTTCAAGGACGTTACAAAAAAATATAGAAATTCTTTCATGTTTTTAACAGTAAATCGCCTCTTGACCGTTTTTCTCTAAATTTTTTTTCTTTTTCTTTTCTTGACCTTCTCTTCAAATATTTGAAACAATAAAAGAAAATCTTTTTCAATTCTTCTCATAGCCACAAATATATTTTTAATCTTTTTTTAATTTTTGAGAGGAAAACAAAAGAAAGAAATACTCTAACACACTTTCCCCAACTAAATAATGAATGTTATTAATCCGATCACGCGGGGAGATAAAAAGAGAATGCGAAAAAATTTTTTTGGCAGCAAGTGGTTATTAATATAAATAATAACCAAAATATTTAAACTTTTTTAAATTTAATTTAATTAAAAATAATTAAAAAAAATATGTACTTTGCTTGATAATTAATTAAAATTTTGATTTTAAAATTAAAAAAATTTTTTTCTTAAGAATTTGAATTTTCTAAAATAATTTATTTTTAAATTATAAAAAAATTTATAAAAAAATTTATTTTCAATTTTTTTTATAAATTTTCCGCCAAGAAAATTTTATCCTTCTCTCTGTTTATAGGTAATACTGTAGCAGTTTATATTTTATTGAAGGAAATTGTTTTATTTTTTAATAAAATAAAAAAAAATTTTTTTCCAAATTTTTAACAAAAAAAATTTTTTTGGAAAAAAGACCTCTCTATTTTCTAAATAAAATAAAAAGTACCCACTAATATTTTTGTTTGTATAAAAGAGATTTAAGTTTAAGATAAAATTATTAATATTAAAACAGCTGTATTTATTAAACAATAAATAAAAATGTTTTTGCGCTAAAACTTTATTTTATTCAAAGAAAAGCTCGTTTTTTTTATATAAACAATTTAAGAAACATGTTGAAATAAACAAGCAATTATTTACAAAACAATAAAACATTTTTAATAAAACTTATTGCGAATATTCTCGTTTTAATTGGAATATATTAAATAATATGCAAGAGTATGGAAATATAAACCGGTAAAATATTGTTAATAAAATAAGTAGAGAAAAAGAGGAAAACAAGTTGGAAATAAACAAGTTGAAATAAACAAGTTGGAAATAAACTTTAAAATAAACAAGTTGGAAACTCAACTTAAAGAAAAACAAGTTTATTTTTCTAAAAGAAAAAGTTGTTGTTTGATGTTTGTTGTTGTAAGTTTTCAAATGTTTGTTGGGAAGGTAGACAATTTGTTGTGTTTGTTGTTGTGTTTTCATTCTTTCTTAAATTAATGTTGTTTTCATCTTCTGCTTCCAAAACAAGTATTTGTTGTTGTTGAGTGTTGTTATTAAAACTTTGTTGTTGTTGAATCATATAATGTTGTAAATAATTGTTTGGATTGTTTATATCAATGTTTTGATTGTTTAAAGGTAATGTTGTTGTAATTGGATTGTTGTTGCTGCTAGATTCAGAATCGTCATCAAACATCTATAAAAACAAAAAAACATGTTTTTCTGATTTTATTTGTTTTTACTTGTTGTTGTGGAGTCATTCTCTTCTCTTTCTGCCGCCTATTACAAAACCAAACACGAACAACCTCTTTCTCTAAATTCATTTGAGAGGCAATATCAGAAATTTCTTGCGCACTAGGCTTTGCTCCCTTTAAATAAAAATTAAATTTATTTTTTTGATAAAAATTAAAAAGTTTATTTACCCCAACCTGTCTTTGTACCTGTTGAAAGAAATGTTCCAAACGTGTTTTTATGTGTGTTTCGATAGATGTTCGTTTCTTCCTCCTTCTAGAAGAGGAAGAAGAACCTGAAGATGAGGAAGGGGGATTCGCACCTCCCCCACCAACACCGAAAGAAGTTGAAGGCTTGGAATCGTAATCATAACTACACCCTCCACCTGCATATTCTGGCGGTCCTAAATCAGAAGCTCTTTCCAACCAATTTTGTAGCAGTGGGCGGAGTTTACACATGTTTTTGACTGATAATTGTCTTAAAATGTTTGTTGTAGAAAAAAAACAAGTTTATTTTTAGTGAAACAAGTTTAATTAAAACAAGTTTTTGAGAAACAAGTTTTTGAGAAACATGTTTTAAAACAAGTTTAATTAAAGTTTTTCTTAAACAAACAAAACATGTTTCCGAAAAACAAGTTTATTAAAACAAGTTTTGTTAAAAACAAGTTTTATTTAAAAACAACATTCTTAAAACATGCTTAAATAAACAAATTCTCTATTAAAAACAAGTTTTCCAAACTTACAATGCTTCAAACCGACATATTGTTGTTTGAGAAAAAACTTGTCCATAATAAGTACCTAATTTTTGTTTTAATTATTTTTATTAAAAACAATGTTTGTCACCTAATTGTTGCCCAACATCTGCCTGTGTATACCCCATTTTTATTCTTTTTTGTTTAAATAATTTAGCAAATCCATCCAAATATTGTGTTAACTTTTAAATTAAAAAATTATTTTTTGAATTTTTATCAATTTCCAACCTCTTCAGAAGGAAATTGTTCATCTGGCCCCAATTCTCCATTATTATTTAAAGGGCTAAACCCAATAATTCGATTATTTATTTTTTGTTGCTGCTGAATAATATCCTCTTCTTCTCTCTCTTCTTTTTGTTGTTTTTGTATTTTGATTTCATCAAGTGCCCTTTCATTTGGGGTTGTAGAGGAATTAGGAATTGATAAGGTTGAGGAAGAAGAGGAAGTTTGTTGTTGTTGTTTTTCATCTGTTTTAATAAAAACGATTAAAACATTTTAACAAAAACATTTTTAACAAAAACATGTTTAATAAAAAGTTTGTCGCAACATTGAAACTTGTTTTACGATGTTTAGGGATGTAAGTTTGTTTTGTTCAGAAACAAGTTTATTTATTCTAGTTTAGAACAAAACTTGTTTTTATCGAAACAAGTTTATTTAAAACAAGTTTATTTTTTTCAAGTTTATTTAAAACATGTTTATTAAAATGTTTTTACAAACAAGTTTGTTTTATTTAAAGTTTATTTAAAACAAGTTTTTTAAAACTTGTTTTATTATGTAAAGGGCAAACATTTCCCTCACTCTTTTCCAGCCCTCTACCCCCCAAGAAAAGGTGGTGGGAAAAAAAGATGATTTAATAGTCTCTCACCCGTTATTGGTTGAAGTCCAAACTGGCTGGATGTCTCGACAGTAATTGTTGGGGTATTTGAATAAGTTGACACAAATGTTGAGGAATTAATAGAGGAAGGATTGGAGGAAGAACTTTTAATTATTGCTTGTTGCAATTTTAAAGCTTCGTTACGTTCAACGATCACAGTTGAGGGTGTAGTTGTGAGAAATGGAGAAGGGGAGGAAGAAGAAGAAAGGTGAGGTGGAGCTATTATTTGTGCTGGTAATTGATGTTGTTGTTGTTGAGTATAAGGCTGGAAAAGAAAAATAAAGGTTAAAATAAACTTTAAAATGAACAAAACATGAAAAAAACATGTTTTGATAAAAATAAATGTTGTTTTTACCAAAGCAAGTTTTAATAAATAAAACAAGTTTTGTAAAACTTGTTTCTTTATAAGTTTTAAAAACAAACTTAAAAACAAGTTTAATTAAAACAAGTTTAATTAAAACAAGTTTAATTAAAACAAGTTTAATTAAAACAAGTTTTTAAGAAACAAGTTTATTTAAAAACAAGTTTTAATATAAAAACATATATTTTATTAAAAACAAGTTTAATTAAAACATTTATAAAAACTTTACTTGTGTTTCATTAAGTTCTGTATTTGTTCTAGACAGTTGTATGTTGTCTGACACATTATTATTATAACCAGAAATAACGCCTTGCCCAACAAAAGGGAAATTATTATTAAATTGTAAACCATCCGCCCATTGTTGTAATTGTTCTTCATTAGAAAAGGGGAATTGGTTAATTAAAGTTGGGGGCTGTTGTAGAATATTAATTCCCCCAAAGGCTGATTGGTAAGGATTTTCTAAATCGTTTGGATTAGAAATTAATTGTGCCGCTGCTTGGTAGGCAGAAACAGCTGCCTGATAGGCAGGGTCGTTGTTGCTACAACTTGGATTAGTTGCCCATTCCGTTGCAAAAAGAAAGGGTTGGTGAGGATGAGAGACTGCTGCCGCTGCCATTTGTTGTTGTGGATCTAACCACCAATAAGGAGGAGAGGACTTTAAAATTTTTTAATTTTTTTTAATTTTAAAATATATTTAAAGTTGCCTGGATTGCTTCTATAGCATGTTGAGGTAATTGTTGTTGTTGCAAGACTCTAATAGCCCCATTGCTATTTTCGATGTTTTCACCAGTCATTTCTGCCATAGAAGGGCAAATCCCTATATGGGGCATCCATTGATGATTAAAATAATCAAAAGAATTTAATTGATTAGAATAAATATTGTTATCAGTATTATCATTTGTAGGGCAACGTATAATTACAGGTGTTTGAGTGTTTGTTTGAGAAGAGGAGGGGTCTGTATGTCTAACCAATGTTGTGTTGTAGTCTATTGAAGTTAGAGAAGTTATGTTATTGTTGTTAACAACATTTCTATCTGAAAACAATTCGTGTTTGACTTGTTGTAATTCTTGTTGTTGTTCATGTTTTTGATAATCTAAACAAGTTGGTAATGTTTGTGTGTTTGTTGTTTGTTGGATAACTGGAATTGAAGGAAATGTTTGAGGAAAAGTTGTTGTTGTTGTTGACAAAGTTGGAAATGTTTTTGATGTTTGGATGTTTGTTTGGATGTTTGTTGGAATGTTTGTTTGGATGTTTGTTGTATTTTGAATATTTGCTTGCATGTTTGTCAAACTTGTTTTAGCCCCGCCCACTTCTTTTCCATTGTTAGCATTTTTATTATTATTCATGTTTGGCTGCCGGCAGTGATTTGCATGTGTTTTGCTAAATTAGAGAAAAGAATAGATTAAAATATAGAGGGGTGAGAGAGGGTCTCTACTGAATAATAAAAAACATTTAAATTTTTTGGCAAAATAAAGGGAGGGAAAATAAATTTGGGCAAAATGAATATGCGCATATGAATGTATTCAAATTGGGTTTTAGTCGAAAAAAGGGGCGGGACCTTGTTTTTCTTTTTTTTCCTTCACAAAGTTACATTCTTCCAAAAAGCTTTTCATTCATTTATTTAAGTTTTTATTTTTCTAAATTTAGTTAAAAAATTTTTTAAATTAATTTTTTTATAATTTTAGGCCATTATTTCCCCCAAATTTTATTTTTTTTAATTTTAAAATTTTTTAAAGGACAGAAAAAAATTTTTTAAAGGACAGAAAAATTCTTTTCTGATTTAGAAAATAATATTCTTTAAATAAAAAAAATATTTTTATTTGTTGCTTCAGAGCAAAATATTAACGAAAATGTCCCCCTCCACTACTGGCAGTTGATGCAATGAAGAAGAGCCCAATAACGGTTTGTTCGGGATATAAAATAAAAGTGGGCGGAGTCTAAAAAAGAGAAAGAAAAGATGAAAATAATATACAAAACAAAAACATTTATTTTCTCTTTTGTTTTAAAATAAAAGTTGGGAAACATTTCTAAAAACTTGTTTAGATAAACATTTGTTTGTTGTTTTTAGAAAAACAAACATGGGTAAGAGAAATAAAAACAATGTTGTTAATTAAAGAACAAAACTTAAAACATTAAAAAAGGGGCGGAGTTTAATGAAATAAACATTTGTTTGTTGTTTTTAGAAAAACAAACATGGGTTAGAGAAATAAAAACAGAGTTGTCAATTAAAGAACAAAACTTAAAACATTAAAAAAGGGGCGGGGTTTAAATAGAATAAGAAGTTAACCAGTCATCTTAATTTTATTTTTAAATTTTCTAAAATTCTAAAAATTAATTTATTATAAAATTTGGGATTTATTATAAGCTTTCCAAATTTCTCTTAATTCAATGCCCTCTCCTTCACAATTTCCAAAAAATTTTTTTATCAATCTCCCCTATTTTTAGTTAAAAATTTTTTGATCCCAGTAATTGAATAGACAACATTGGCTGGTAAAATAAAAGGATTACTATTAGAGAGGTTTAAGAGGGGACAGAAAAATGGCCAAAAAAGACACAAAATTGACTGATACTACCATTTTATTTTTTTCCTACAGGCAGCGGCATTCCTTCACCTCTTCTGACGCCATCCATAAATGGGGGTTGATGAGGAGAATAGGGGGAAGGGGAGGAAGAGGAAGAAGGGTGTTAGGGTCAGCTGCCAACACAGCAATTCTTCCCTTCAATCCACACTAAATTCCCCCCCCCCCCCCCTACCTTCCCTTTTTCCTCCCCAATACTAAAAACCATCAACAACAACAACAAACACACATTTTTAACCCATCATCGTCCACAAAAAAATTGGTTAAGTATTAAGTAGTGTGGCGTGAGAGGAATAAAAAAAGGGGGGAAGAGGCGTAAAATGGGCGGATTATGCAAATTGAATTTTGTTGTCCCGCATCTCTTTATTTTTTTCTTCACATTTTTCTGACTACTTTTCTCTACCGGTGGGCGCAAAACGAGGTGAGGTGGTGGTTGGGAAATTAAAGAAAAATGAAGAAAATTGGGATTGTTTAGTAATAAAATAAAGAATTTTGAAAGAAAAGGTGGAAAATTAATTTTTTGTTAATTTTAGGCCAAAGATTTTTTAAAAAATTTTTTTTAGTTAAAGAAAATCCTGAAATTTAGAAAATTGCAACTGAGACTCAAATAACATGGTGAGAGACAATTAAAACAAGTTGGAATTGTTTTTAATAAACTTGTTTTAGTGGAAATAAAACATGTTTAAAAATAAACCTCTTGTTTTAAACCTGACAGAAACTTGTTTTTGTGTAATAAAAACATGTTTGGCAATAAAACAACCTAGATGTTTTAATAAACTTGTTTTTAATAAACTTGTTTTTAATAGAACAAACAAATCTAAACATTTATTCTGATAAACATGTTTTTAACAAACATTCTTAAATGTTTAAATAAACTTGTTCAAAACAAAACTCAAAACTTTTTTTTCCAACTTAAACTGGTATTTAAAAATAATTCAATTTATTTAAACATTTGACTATTAAATACATAATTGAGAGAGAAACATTTCTAAATTATAATTTTTACTTGTTGTGGCAATAAATAGACGATAAATGCCAGTTTTTATTTTTTCTCATATTTGTGTATTTAGTATGTATTTAAATGGAATATTATTAGGATTTTAATAATTTTTTTTATTTAAATTTTAAAAATTGCTAGTTTAAGCTATTATTTAAATTAGGAAATAATTATTAAATTTTATTAATTTAATATATAGTGGCAGGACCGAATATGGCAAAAAAACTGGAGAAAATCTGCCTGGAAATTAATTATTCCACAAAATGTTTTTGATATAAATTAAAAAATATCAAAACATGTTTTAACAAATACAAACAAAACTTATCAAAACAAGTTTCTAAAAACATTTTAAAACAAACATGTTTTAATAACTTATTATCAATGTTGTTTTAGATAAACAATTCTAAACATTTAAATAAACATGTTTCTTGTTTGAATTAAACAGACAAACAAAGTTTTAAAATTCAAACAAGTTTTTAAATGTTTGTAAAAACATTATAAAATAAACTTGTTTAAATGTTTTAGATAAACATCATAGATGTTTACATTTTTTAAAAACTTGTTGTTTTGAATAAAACAAACAAAACATTTCAAACAAAACAAACATTTGGGCCCATTTGAGTCTCTACAAAATTCTTTAAAAATTTTAGAAATTCAATCCTGCCCATTTTTATTTTTTTTTATTTCAATAACTTTACTTTCTAAATAACCAAAAATTTCAATTTAAAAAGCGGAAATTCTTCTCTTTTTATTTTTAAATTATTCACGAGAAGCTAAAAGTAAATAAAATCAAAACAATTTTTGGGTGAATATTAAATAGCTATATTAAATAAATAAATAGAAAAAAATTTTTTTTATTTTAAAAAATTAAAAATTAAATATTAAGTAGAAATCCAATCAAAATCTGTTGGAAGTTCAGGTATTTTTAATTTTTCTTCTAATTTGGGTACATCCATTAAACGAATATTTATTTGTAAATTTAATAATTGGTCAACCTTTAATTAAAAAAAATTTTTTTTAATTTTTAAAATTTTTTAACATTTCTAAAATTAAAAAAAAATCAAAAATCACCTCTTTTTTAATATTAATATTATTTTTTAATGATTTTTGTGGCCAACATAAACAATTTAATGCCTCAAACCAATTAGCAGAATCTTGTTCATTTTGTGCACAGAGTAAAAATTCGGAAGAATTGTTAAATTCAATAAAAATGCCACACCTAAAAAATTTTCAAAAAAATTTTTTTTCAAATTCACCGTAAAATATTCTGACTCTTCTTGTACAACTTCCCAACCCCATGTTGTTGTTGATTTAAATGAGAAATTAATTGTTGTCCATTTAAAATGTTTTTAATTTCAGAAACAAACAATTTTCTTTAAAAATAAACTTGTTTTAAATAAACTTGTTTTTATTTAAAAACTTGTTCGTTTCAGAAATAATTTCAAAATGTTTTGCATTGTTTAGATGGCAATCACAAACATTGAAAAACTTCTCTTTTTCATCTAAACACCAAAACCAATATTGTTGTTGTTGTTGTTGAGGCTGATTTAAAAACAAATGTTTGTATGTTTTGAAATGTTTTTATTTGTTTTGAACAACAAACATGTATAGAAAAACATGTTTTGAAAAACGTGTTTTTTCGAGATAAAACACATGTTCGTATGAAATTCTGATTTTAGTTCGAAACAAATTCTGAAAATTTCTGGAGTGTTTTCTCTCCTTGTTTTACACACTATTTTTTCTGAATTTGTTCTCTATTTTTAAATAATCGAAATACCGAATTTAATAAACCAGAAGAATGAACAGGTGAACTATGAACAGAAACAGAAGAAGGGAGAGAAAGAATTGTCTGATTTTCTAAAGAAAACATTAATTTATTATTTAAATAAACAGAAAAACACCCTTAATTGTTTTTAAAGGCAAAACACGTTGAAAATTCATTCCTTTTTTTAACAAAGCAATTCTTCGGTGAACAGCTAAATTTTCAATTTCTGGACGTAAATGGTCCCTTAAAGGTCTGAAAAAATAAAAAAAAAAATTATTTTTTTTTCTTTTAATTTAATTAACTGAATATCTTCACTATTTAATTCCAATTCTTCTTGTTCTCGTTGTTCACATTTCCAAATCTAGAAAATAAAAATTGAGTGGATTCAAAGCTAAATTTAGAAATTAATTTTTTATTTTTTCAAAGAAAAATTCTTAAAAAATCCAAAATTGAATTTTAAATTTAAAAAATTTTTTAAACACAATCGGATCTCATTTTCATATCCCCCTTTTGGTCTGAAAAAATCATATATAGAATAGGGTCCATTTTGACGAATTTAAAACATTCAAATTTTATTTTTAAATTTTTTTTCGATAAAAATAGTTTTCTTTATTTATTCATTTATTTTCGCTTAATTATTTTTTTAAAAACAAAATTGTCAATTAAAAATTCACTCAATTTTTTAAAAATGTATCATCCTTTTTTGTTTGTTAATTTGTTTAAAAATGTGTGAATGATTCAATTTTGAATAAAAAAGACATTATATAAATTTAAAAAAGATTTTTTCTCTTATCAAATATTAAAAAAATCTATTTTAAATCTCTTAATGATTTCAAATATAATAAACTTTAAAAATAAAAATAAAATATTTTATTTATTTTATTTTTTGGGTTTATTGTTTTTATTTTTCGGGTAAATTTTAAAGAAAATTAAAAAAAAAAATTTTTTTTAATTTTAAAGGAAATGCATAGGAGAATATAATCAAGAAAATGATGCAAGTGAGTATGAAGATTATGATAGGATAGATGGGATGGAAGATGGAATTTATGAATATTATGACAATGAAGAAGAAGAAATTGAACAAAAATATAGAGAAACAACGAGAATGACTGTCGTTGCTACTAGAGATAAAAGAGGAGATGATTATAGACAAAATACGTTAAAAAGATTAAGGAAACTTGGAATTACTCTTGATAAAGAAACAACAACAACTCCAGCAATTCCAAAAACTATAGAATCCTTCCCTTCAATTCCTCCACCTTTTCAACCCTCAAAAACAATTTTAGAACAACAAAAATTAATTGAAAAACAAATAATCGAAATAACAACACAAAAAACACAGAACCCAACAACCAAAACAAAAATAAATGAATGTAAAGACAAGAATAAATCTTTTCATAAAATGTTAATTATTGGATCTATTATTTTATTAATTTTTATTTTATTGGCTATTTCTATATATTATTGTGTAATGAAATATTGAGATGATAATTTGGAGGATTTTTAAAGAGATTTTTAGAATTTTTTTAGTTTAATGTTACACAGTTATAGACAGGGCTGGGCTAGTTTCGCATTAGTTTCGCAGTTTCGCACTAGTTTCGCATTTCGCTTTTTATTTTTAGATTTCGCCAAGCCCTGTTATAGACCTCACTTTTTAAAAACACACCTGTAGAAAATTTATATGTTGCTGTATTTTTTTAAATGAGGTGTATTTTAAATTAGTTTCAAAAACAAAAAAAATTCAACCTTAAAACAACAAAAAAATTTCAAAAACTAAAAGTCTTCCCACAATTTTAAATCAGTGGTATCGTTTAAATAATGGATATCACAATCAATGACCAGTCAAAAAAATTTGAAAAAAATTAACTTAAGTTGAGGTGTATTTTAATAAATTTATTTTATAAGAGGTCCGATTGTAAAAACCCCTCAAATAAATTTTTAAAATTCAAAAAAACTCCCACCTTTTGCATATTGAAATAAGAAAATCGTTTGCGAAGCATTTCAATTTCTAATTGTTCTAAGGAATTTGGATTTTCAAAAAGTGAACGTTCAAATTGGTCTTGGACAACATTGTAGACTTTGTTGATTTCATCAAATCTTTGAAAAAAATTTTTTTTAATAAATTTTTAAAATTTTTTGATAAAAAAGAACATTCTTGGATAAATTGACTTAAAAGGGAACATGGAAACAAAAATTCCGAGGTTATCAATTTTTTAAGTAAAAAATTTAAAAAAAAACATAAAAAATCTTCCCTAAAAAATAAATGCCCAAAGAAATTTGGTATTAGCCATGGGGCATTGGCACATTTGGCCCTCCGTCCTCCCTAAAAATTTTTCAATTTATCTTAAAATTTTTGAGGAAAATTACCAATAAAATTACTAATCGAAAAATTATTTTTGATACCCGATTGGATCCACAAAAATAAAATTAAATTAAAAAAAAAACTCTCAAAAACAAAAAGAGACATTTCATCCCATAATCCCCAAAAAAACAAAAAATTATTTTTATTTAAAAACAACCAAACTTTGCATTCATATCCTTCCATGTTCTACAAAACAGCTCAACCAGAATTCTAAACAAATCGTAGAAAGGCCGCTCTAATTGAAGAACTAAACGAAAGAAACGTGGCACTTTGGAAAGGCCAAAACGTCGAGCAACTTAAAATTAAAAAAATATTTTCTAAATTAAAAAAAATAAAAATAAACCGCTAGAAGAGTCGCTACAAATCCCCAAAATTCCAACTAACATTTCTGTCAAATGAACGAGAATTTGAGGCAAAACTGTTGGTCTCATAATAAAGTGGGTATTTAACTAAAAAAAATTTTTTTTAATTTATTAAAGAAATTTCGAGGAAAATATTAAAAAGATTATTTTTATAAACCCCTCTTATAAAAACACCAAAAAATTTTTATTTAACGACTAGACTAGATATGGTCAAGGAAAAAATTTTTATAAAAATTCTTACACAAATTACAAAAAATCTAAAAAAGGTAAAGCGCGAATGTGCCTACCAAAAAGCAATAAACACCCAAAATTATGTAGCTCGCGACCCCAAAATAAACGTGTCCGTTGTTCAAATTAATTCCATTTTTCCTTTAGCTTATCCAGTCATTAAATAAAATTGTTTAAAATATTTATCAGAGATCGAGATTATTCAAGTCTAGGGTCTGTTACCGAGTTTGATTTATTGACCTGGGCCGGATCCTGGACCTGTAGTCCAGAAAAAACTCAGGTCCAAGGAAACTCAAGGAAGGTCAAAAAATGCCAAGGCCTGGACTCTGGGTACAAGAAGAACCCAAGCCTTGGTCCAGACCCAGACCGATCTCTAATATTTTTAAATATTATTTTGACGAAAATTTTTTTGAACCAACTCTCTACTAAATAAAAGTTAACTTTAAAAAATACTTTTGGTAAAATACCATTAAAAATTAGTAAGAACCCCCCAAACTAACATATACCAACAAAAAAATAAAAAAACCTCTTTTAATTTATTCCAAGCCAAATTTGAAGATATTAATTCTTCTTCTAATTGATTTTCCTTGGATGAGGAAGCCTTTGTTTGTGTTAAACTTAAAAAAAATTTTTTTTAATAAAAATTAAAATAAAATACTCAATTATTGTACATATTGCTAAAAGACCGGGAGGAGTTTTTTGGACCTTTTTAAAAATTTTTGAATAAAAAAATTAAAAGAAAAAAACCATTTTTCGAAATATTAACCAATCCTCTTTTTGTTGAACTGTTTGTTGATCACAAAATTCATTAGAAGGTAATTCTGGAGAATTGGAAGATTCAAAAGACCCAAATTCGTTGCCGAGAGCCTTTAAAAAATTAAAAAAAGAAATAAATTATTTTCATAAAATTTTTATTTAAAAGATGAAAAATAAAAAAGTTTAAGGGAAGTGTTTGGGGGTTATGCCAAATTATTTAAAAATGACTTGAATGTATTTAAAATAAGATTCAATTTTAACAGCTTAAAGGTGGTACACCCCAACTTACCACAGAGCTATAACATCGCTCGACAAGCTGTATCGAACCATACCACATCGTCACGGATTCGACAATTCTGAACGAAATTATGGTATGGTTCGATTCTCTGCGGTGCTCCCCTTCAAAGTCGTTGAAATAAAATTTTCGGTAAAATTCCTGATTTATTTCCTCTTTTTACTTTTTTACTTCACCAGAAGATATTTTACAAATAATTGGATCAAATCACTAATCAAAGACGAATTTATTATCATTTTTACGGGGCAATTTTTAAGTGCAGGAAAAAGAAAATAAAAAAATTTCTCCAAAATTCCCAAAATAATTAAAAAAAACCCAAAAAAGACAAATTTTTAATTAAAAATATTTTTAAAAGCAAACCTTAAGAAAATCAATTTCCTTGTCTGTCGGAGTTCGTAAAGCCAAAGCACATACCTAAAAATATTTTTCAGAATATTTCAAAAAAAACCTCATCAAATCTAATTTGTTGAAAACGTCCAATTTGTTCATAAAGTTTTGATTTTTCTGGAGAAATTTGTGAGGGAATAGGTTGGCTTAAAATTTTCTTATTTAATTGTTGTTCATTAATTAAATTTTCTTCTCTATCCAAAATACGTCCAATTGCAGAAATGAATGGTTTTTCGTGTAATAACTTTAATTTTATTTGGTTGAAAATTAATTTAAATAAAAAATTTGAATAAAAGATTCGAAAAAAAATTTTTTTTGTTTAATTATTCTATTGTCTCGAAATTTTGGGTGGAATTTTGTGGAAAAATAACAATTTCCCAAAATTACCAAATAATCAAAAAGACCCCCAAAAAAGTAAATAAAGAATTTTTTCTTCATTTCCTATTAAATTTTCCTCAAACAGAAATATTCTAATTAAAGGTTAAAAATTCGAAATAAGAGAAAAATAGATAAAAATTATTGAAGAAAATTTAATATAAAAAATTGAAGGAAAGGCAATCCCCCTATTCAAAAAATATTTCCAAAAAAATTAAAAAAACCTTAACAATATTTATCCTTTCCTCTCGATCAGCCAATCCATAAATTGAATTAATTAAAGAAATTGAACTAATCATCACTCTTTCGTTTGTATTGTCCAAATGTCTAATTAATAAATTTACAGGCATTTCTGATTTTAGACATTCTGTTAAATGTTCACTGAAAAAGAAAATTTTAATTTTAAAAAAGGATTTTTTGAAATTAAATTTTTTATTAAATCAGAATTCCGTCTAAAAATCGGTTTTAAACCAGAATTTCTATTAAATGTGAATTTTATTAAATAATAAGGCCAAAAATTGTGAAAAAAGAAAAAAATTTTTTGGCCGATTTTAATGTAATTTTAGTTTTATGTTAGGCCTCCAAAAAAAGTAGAACCTAAATTTGTTAGAAAAAATAAAAAACTAGGATTTCCCCCTAAAAATATCTTCCAAACCAGTGTTCAGAAATAGCCAAAAGCATTTCCAAAGCCAAAGCTCTCGTCCCATTTTGTTCCAATTTTGACTGTCCATTAACAAAAAAAGTAATTTTACGAACAAATTGAGTAGATAATTCCAGCCAAGGAAATATTTGAGGAAATTGTTGCATTAATTGAAGAAGAATAGTTAGTAGGCCCAAATGGGCTGAAAAAAAATTTTCAGTTTCCTCGATTATTTTGGTAAGTCGTTGGATACCCTAAAAATTAAATAAATTGAAAAAGTAGAAAAGACAGGATGGGAAGTTGAAAATTTTTTAAAGGCCTTGATCAAATGACGAGTTCTTAGGAATAATTGGGATTATGTTAAAAACCAAACAAAGAACCGAATTTTTATGAGCCATAAAATTTTCCCTTGTTTAATCAGATTAGAATGCTATTGCGAAAAATAACCATGTTTTCGGATTTTTATTGCAAAAACAGAGTCAGAACGAAGACACAATTTTTTTAAAGAAAATTCTACAAAAAAAACCCTTCTAAACATTCAAAAAAAAACCTGTAAGCAAGTAAAGGCTTCAATAAACACAAAATCCTGACAGAGAGAGGAAAACAAAGATAAATTCTCTGCTGACAACAAATTCTTTGAAGACAAATTTTTAAAGAAATATTTTGCATAATTTATTGGAGAAGCGGTTAATTTAAGAATAAAACCCTTAAAATAAGAAAAAAATTATTTTTAAAAATCCAAAAACCTGATTAATCAAATTTTTGTTTTGTTCAGTCACAAAATTAATTTTATCATCAAACATTAAACCAAAATGTTCCTTGTCTCCATAATTAAAAGAACCAGGTTCTATTCCAAATTGTTTGCAAAGTTGAGAGATAAAGTCGGATAATGACTGGTCCTAGAAAAAAATTTTTTTCAATTTTAAAAAGGCATGGGAATAAGGATGGACATAGTCGGTTTTAAAACAAAAATATTAATATTTTTATTTATATATTTAAAAATATTAATATTTTTTTGCTAAAAATTAAGTTTTTATAAAATTTTAAAAAACTGAAAAAAAGAAATTTATGAAAATGTTGATTAAAAAATCCCACAAAGACCGATTTTGAATAAAATTCTTAACCGGGAGTACCGGTCAATAACCGATTGTGTCCAACCTTACAAACTAAAATTAAAAATTGGCTAAAAATTCTTAAAAATAAACAACCTGCCTATTGAAAGTTGCAAACGTTGTAGAATTCAAGCAATTAAATTGATGAATTGACATCGATTCTTTTATTGCCTCATCTCCAAATTGCAAATATTCCTTCAAATTTGGATCCAATTTGACAGCTCCCTAGAAAATAGATAAGCTAGATGCCCTCTTTATAAAAATAAAAACCTTCAATTCATCAGCTTTTGGTCTCGTGTCAACTAAATTAAGCACTTTGGAAGAAAAATGGAAGCTTGACATGATGAAAATATTTTGGAGTTAAAATATTTTTTAGAATTGTGAGAAATTTATATAAAATCGATAAACGGAAAAAAATGAAATCTGTAATAAAATTAACAGATATTTTTAGCAATTGCAAAAAGGCAAGAAAATTTATAAAATTTTAAAAATTTATAATAAATTTATTATTTATATAAAATCAATAAAAAACAAAAATTAGAGTTGAAAAAAATTTTTAAAGACAAAAAATTTCTTCAAATATTATCATCTTTAAAATCAAATAAAAAACATTTGTTGTTGATACATTGCCCAAATAGAAAGGACCAACAAAGTCATCAGTGTCATCTAAAATTTTTAAATTTTTATTCCTTAAAATAATTAAAATTAAAATAATTTAATCAACCCGAGAAAGTTTGTTTTTCTTGATATGCAGTATTCCATTCCTATATGAAAGACATTCAAGATCGTTGCCGTAACCAATCAAAGCAATGTTTGTTCCAAATGTTGGATTGTATTTCATAGGCGGGCCTTTTTAATTGATTTTGAATTTTAATTAAATTTTTAATTTTAACCTTTTTAATTTTAAGGACATTTTTATTTGATTTCAGAATAACAAAATCAAAACGTCTCGACACATATATTACATTTGTTTTGTATTGATTAAAACCATTATGTGTATAGATTGTAACTTCATCACCAATTGAATATTCAAGATACGTACCAGGGATGACCGAAATTTCGTTTCGTTTCGGAGCGAAATAAAAAAATTTTCGCGGACGAAAGGAATAAAAATACACCACTAATAACGGAAATTTTTGTAAAAAATTTCAAAATTTTTGGGAAATTTTGTGGGATTTTGGTCAATTTTCCGAATTTTTTCAACCAAAATAAATTATTTTTGCACAGTTCAGTTGAGTCCACACGAGTTTATCAGCGCGATTGAGCCCGGCATGATTGAGTCTCCTTTATATACCACGCCTTAATTGATTTTAATTGAGGGACATAGATGGATTATGAATCAAAGAAAGGATTTAACCATTAACAGGGATTTTGGTGAGTCTTGTGGCATTAATCGAGATTGCTACACTATTTCTCTGTGATATTGAGCGATATCAGAGGATTTGGAGTGATATCATTTAAATATCGATTAAAAGCTTTTATGAACTGAAAAATATTTTTTAAATTTTTACTTTATTTCGTTTCGCTCAGAAACGAAATAAAAAATTTTTTATTTTGTTTCAATTCGAAATAAAATTTTTATTTCGGTCATCCCTGCGCCGACCCATGACAAATGTGGCTATATAATTTTGAGTAAAACAACGCAGGATTTGCTTCCTGTTTCTTCTTTGATGTAGAATAAATATTTCTCGATAAAAGAAAATTCTGAACGATTCCCCAAAAGCAACGTTTCAAAGATTTTATGTTAAGGATTCATGTTATTCACTAAATACCAAAATTTATTTTTCTTAAAATTTAGGAAACGTTCCAGAATTTTCTTTAATCGAGAAATATTTATTCTACATCAATGAAGAAACAGGAAACAAATCCTGTTTTGCATTTTAACACAATCAGTCTTGCATCGACTCACTTATTTTCTTCCCCCATTGGCATCTTAAAGAGGAAAAAATTAAAATTGCTAAAGTTAAAAAGTAAGGCAACGCTTATAATTAGTCCACCCCAAAAGACCTAAACCCAAAAGACCTATTGACCCAAAAGACCTACAAATTTTTTAAAACGAATCTCGTGTGATTTAGAGGGATTAAGGAGGATAAATATCCAGCTATATGAAGATAAGTACTCGATATGTATTTTAGAACCAATAGTGCTGTATTTTGAGTATATGTACCCTATCTCTGGGTTGGTAGATATTGCTATCACCTTCAATCACACTAAATCCATTGATATTCCCTTAATCCCTCCAAATCCTTCTATATTCCCTTTTGATATTTCCTTTCAAATTGGGTCTATAGGTCTTTTGGGCGTTGGTCTTTTGGGTCAGTAAATCTTTTAGGAGCAGGTCTTCTGGGTGTAGGTCTTTTGGGTTGACCCCCTTATAACTTCTAAAAAGCAGGTCAGTCCACCGGGGCGAGTCTGCCTCATTTCACACTAAATCCATTGATATTCTAAGCTAAAAACAAAGATTCTGGATCTCAAATAGGCCATAAACTTTTAATCAAAAGTCTCTACCTTTCCAAGTATCTCAAGTTGAGTTTCCTCATCCTCCTCAGCTTCTGGGAAATTCTCAAACTCCTCGATGAATTTTTTCTTTTCTTTAGTTTCTTTTGTAGCAGGACGGAAGATAATAATGTCTGCCTGAATGTCTTTTCTCAGTTGGCTTGCGTTTCTTGTCTTGAACATTGCACATTAGGGTCAGACCAGAGAAGATCCAAGTCCAATGGATGATTCTCTGGGAAGAAACTTTTGGGAAGCGAAGTATCTCGCTGTTGTGCAATGATGTCCCTGGGAAGTTTAAGCTGCAAAAAAGTAAACATTTTTAGACTTTTTGAGGTCAGAGTTACCTTTGTAAGATCACTGAGCTTATTTAAACTTTTTGTTGATTTGAAAGGGCCAACAAGAGATTTATCTAAAAGTGAATAAATTTTTTTAAATGTCATGTACTGCGGGGCAACTTTAAAAAAATATAGACTAAATCTGGAAAAAAAATCGAAAACAAAGACAAAATCTATGGAAAAATAAGGATTGATAACTCAAACGACCCTATCAACATATGCTAAACTGTTGTTGAAAGTTACGATACTTAGAAAGGCCAGGAATGGGCTCCCGGATATTTGGGGAGTGGACAATTGGGGAGTAGCCTAACGATAAAAATACAATAGAATATTAAATAGTTTTTCTTGCTTTTGTATTTTCTCGCCAAGCTGAGTTCAAATATGCAAGATTTTCTTCCGGAGACGAAAACTCGCAGAAATCGAAAACCCATAGGGTTTTTTTGCATATTCGAATTTTTTACACCAAAAATGTGCTTACTCCCTCCTATGGTTCTTCGATATTCAATCGCCTGTATCTCTGCGAGTTTTCGTCTCCGGCAGAAAATTTTTGCATATTTGAACTTAGCTCGGCGAGACGAATCGAATGGTATATATTTTGAGTTTCGATCTCTGTGGACCTATACTAAAGCAACCCCTGAATTGCTCCGCAAATTAAACTCACATGGGGTCAGACCAGAGAAGATCCAATCCAACCTCCTGCTGGTTCTATAAAGCCTTTACATTTTCATCAAAACTAAAGACAAATTATAATATTGTTAAGAAGCAATTAACTACTTGACTATAATATATGATTGTTCTGAAGTTTGATCAAAACAAAGATTTCCATTTTTATATTTTAAGAGAGAATTAGCAAAAGCAACGTCCAATGCTGCAAGTGATAGAGTACCAGTTTAACTCTTCTTCTAATTGATTTTCATTGGATGATGAAGGCTTTGTCTGTGTTAAATATGCAAGATTTTTTGTGTTAAACTAAAAAATATTTTTTAAATAAAATTTTAATTAAAAATAAAATACTCAATTATTGCACATATTGCTAAAAGTCCTGGAGGAGTTTTTTGAACCTTAAATTCATTTTATAACGAGGTTCATTGACGAAAATCTCTTAAAATAAAAAACCCCCAACCTTTTGCATATTGAAATAAGAAAATCGTTTGCGAAGCATTTCAATTTCTAATTGTTCCAATGAATTTGGATTTTCAAAAAGCGAACGTTCAAATTGGTCTTGGACGACATTGTAAACTTTGTTGATTTCATCAAATCTTTGAAAAAATTTTAAAATTACTTAATTTGTAAAAATTTTTGAAAAAAAGAACATTTTTGGGTAAATTTTGAAAATTAACTTAAAAGAGAAAATATAGCCCATTTAATGCTCTATCTATTGGTATCAGGACCATTAAAAATTATCCACCGCTTCTTTAGTTATTCGGCCGGGACTCAGTTGAATTGCGGCTGTACTTTAATATAGGTCCACCGAGATCGGAACTCAAAATATATACCATTCGATTTTTTCGCCAAGCTGAGTTCAAATATGTGAGAATTTTTTGCCGGAGATGAAAACTCGCAGAGATACAGGCGATTGAAAAAAAACCATAGAGGTTTTTTGCATATTCGAATTTTTTACCCCAAAAATGTGCTTACTCCCCCCTATGGTTTTTCGATATCACAAAATTCATGAGAAGGTAATTCTGGAGAATTGGAAGATTCAAAAGACCCAAATTCGTTGCCTTAAAACACCAAAAAAATTCCAAAAACTAAGTCTTCCTTCAATTCTAAATCAGTGGTATCGTTTAAACAAGGGATATTCCACTCAATGTCTAGCCAAAAATTCCAAAAAAAAATTTCTTAAGTTGAGGTATATTTACATTAGTAAATTTATTTTTAACGAGGTCCATTGTCGAAAACCTCGTAAATTTTAAAATAAAAAGAATCCAACCTTTTGCATGTTGAAATAAGAAAATCGTTTGCGAAGCATTTCAATTTCTAATTGTTCCAATGAATTTGGATTTTCAAAAAGCGAACGTTCAAATTGGTCTTTGTTAATTTCATCAAACCTTTGAAAAAAATTTTAAAATTACCTAATTTGTAAAATTTTAAAAGATTTTTTTGTTTTTTTTTTTAATTTTTAATTTATTTGGGCTCCCCTCCCCTAAAAAAGAACATTTTTGGGTAAATTTTGAAAATTAACTTAAAAGAGAAAAGGAACATGAGAATTCCGAGGTTACCATTTTTTAATAAAAAATTAAAAAAAAAACAAAAAAATCTTCACAAAAAATGCCCAAAGAAATTTGGGCTCCCCTCCCCACTAAAATTTTTCAATTTACAAAAATTAAAAACTCTCAAAAACAAAAAGAGACATTTTATCCCATAATTCCCAAAAATAAAAAATTCCAAACTTTGCATTCATATCCTTCCATGTTCGACAAAACAGCTCAACAAGAATTCTAAATAAATCGTAGAAAGGCCGTTCTAATTGAAGAACTAAACGAAAGAAACGAGGAACTTTTGAAAGGCCAAAACGGCGAGCAACTTAAATTTAAAAAAAAATTTCTTAAAATAAAAAAAAATTAAAAATAAACCGCTAGAAGAGTCGCTACAAATCCCCAAAATTCCAACTAGCATTTCTGTCAAATGAACGAGAATTTGAGGTAAAACTGTTGGTCTCATAATAAAGTGTGTATTTAACTAAAAAACTTTTTAAATTTATTAAAAAAAATTTTTTTTCAAAAAAAGAAGTCGGAAGGAAAATTAGAATTGGGGGGGGGGGGTTCACAAAACAACCTGCCTACTGAAAGTTACAAACGTCGTAGAATTCAAGCAATTGGATTGATTAATTAATATTGATTTCTTTACTGATTCATCTCCAAACTGCAAATATTCCTTCAAATTTGGATCCAATTTAACAGCTCCCTAGAAAATAGTTAAGCTAAATGCCCTCGTTATAAAAATAAAAAAAACCTTCAATTCATCAGCTTTTGGTCTCGTGTCAACTAAATTAAGCACTTTTGAAGAAAAATGGAAACTTGACATGATGAAGATATTTTGGGGTTGAAAATATTTTTTAGAATTAAATGTGAGAAATTTATATAAAATCGATAAACGGAAAAAATGAAATCCGTAATAAAATTAACAGATATTTTTAGCAGTTGCAAAAAGGCAAAAGAAAATTTATAAATAAAATATAAAAATAATCATTAATTAATATATTTAAGATCAATATACATAGAACCAAAAATTTAAACGCCAACAAATTTCTTCAAATACTTATCATCATCTTTAAAATAAAATTTTAAAAAATTAAAAAAAAATTTGTATGATAAAACCAAGTTTGATTCCAATTAGACCGTCTGGGGACCAAATACCAGCTCCTGAATCTGCATATGTTGTTGATAAATTGCCCAAATAGAAAGGACCAATAAAATCATCAGTGTCAACTAAAATTTATTAAATTTTTACTTTTAGAAATAATTTTTAATCAACCCGAGAAAGTTTTTTTCTTGTATATGCAATATTCCATCCCTATATGAGAGACATTTAAGATCGTGGTACTTTATGGATATGTCACCCCCCTAATGGTCAGAGATTATTTTCTTCTCCATGTCAATCATTTTTTTCTCCTTCAAGTATTTTGCTTGTTTATTTTGCCTTTACATGAATTTTGTACTTACATTTCACTCATTTCGTTTCCACATTTCACTTATTTGCTTGAAGAAAAAATGATTGACATGGAGAAGAAAATAATCTCTGACCATTTTCTACGTAAAAGGGAAACTCTGAGACTCAAAATAGGAGGGGGGGTGACATATCCATAAAGTACCAAGATCGTTGCCGTAATATTATAAAAGAATAACAAACTCCAAAGAGAATAACAAACATTTTTAATTGATTTTTAACATTTTTAATTGATTTTATAATAGAATAACAAACTCGAAACGTCTCGACAGATATTTTACATTTGTTTTGTAAAACGAAAAAAACAAAAAAAATTTGTGCCAATGAATCCATGGCCACAGCAACAATGGATCCCTGAGCACAGCAACAATGGTGTTGGCCGGGATTTGTGCCATTGCATCCCTGGGCACAGTAACACTTTGGTAAAACCAATTTTATGTTGCAGCAAAATTGGGCCCCTTCACATTGGGCAAAAACAATGATGGCCTCTGCGAAGAGTTGTTTCCCGGTTTTTGGGGCAAAGACATTCGGCCAAGTAACTCCACAGATATGAACGCTATGGACACACAGTTTGTTTATGATTGAAGCAGAAACTTTCACGGATATGATTTACATAAACCGAGGCAATTAAGGGGAATTGCAACTGAGCTGGAACTCAATTACTGTGGTTGATTGCGCGACCATAGTGAGCAACAGCAGTAAGCGTTTGGACGCGTGTATCTTGGTGGAGGGAGGACATTTCGAAGATTTGTTATAATTTTTCGTTTCTTTACATTTTCATGATCACCTTTTCATAGATTTTATAAAATTTAAGAAAATATTTGAAGTAAATTTTATGCTTAAGAAAAGTACGGGAACTTTTGCCGCACCCTGTAGAATGATCAGACTTTCCCCACCAGACATGCACGAAACTCCAAAATTTTTTCAGACGAAACGAAACGAAACAAAATTTTTTAAAAATCGTTTCGTTAACGAAACGAGACGAAACAGTAGAAATTTAGCGAAACGAAACGAAACAAAACGAAACATTGTAATTTTTAAAAAAATTTAAGAAAAACGGTTTTATTTTCTTATTTATTTGTTTTTAAACACGTTAATAGGCCAGATATGCCTATATATGATCTCATAGCTTTGTGTGACCTTAAATTTTGGTCCCAAGCTCCAAAATTTTCGCGTGTTCCCTCCTAATCCACTATATGTACCAGCCTTAGTTCCGCCAACTCGGCTCCAATCAAATTATATGTTGAGCAACTGTGTATATCGAGGACAGTGCTGTGTATGGCTCTTGCCGGAGTCGGGCTACGGCAGAGCTTAGATTTAGAAAACCTCAGAGCTGGAGCCGGAGCCAAGAAATTGAAATGCCCGGAGCCGGAGTCAATGTTTGAGAAAGGTCGGAGCCGGAGCTGAAGCCAACAAATGCCAAGACACAACACTGATCTCCCGCTGACCCGAATCCTGATTCCCTAAAACCGGGAATTCATTTTGTCGGAAATTACTATTCACAAAACCCGTTGCTAATTCTCGACATTTTTATTTAATTTTTTTAACTCTTCAAATTCACCGATATAGCGTTTACTCTCTCCTAATTTCATATACCACCATTGCAACCCTATTCATGATCATTGTCTCTTGCGCCCGCCCCGGATTGGCATTAAGAGGTAGACCGATTCTATATGCCTATCTCAATAGAATTCGAACTTTGCGTATTAAAAACATAAAATTAAACGAGAAAATCAAAAAAAGATAGTAAATTATGCGCCGTAGGCGCTTAAAATTCAGATTTCAGCGCCGCAGGCAAAATTTTTTTTAATTTTCATCACCAACGGGAAAATTTTTTCAGTTTTTGGGTAATATTTTGGCTTAAAAAATAGGTAATGTTTCGTTAACGAAACACAGGTGTTTCGTTAACAAAACGAAACGAAACAAATTAAAAACTGTTTCGTCACGAAACGAGACGAAACAGTAAAAAACATAACGAAACTAACGAAACAACGAAACGAAACGAAACGTTTCGTGCATGTCTGTTCCCCACTCCTCAATTTCACTTAATTTTACCTATTCAATGAGAAACATTAATAAAGAAATGATCCATTACCCATATAAATTTAGCAATTTTAGTGAAAATTAATCTTTTCTCTCATTGAACATGCCATAGGGAAACTTAAGCGAAATTGAGGAGAGGAGAAAGTCTGACCATTCTGTATATAAAAAGAAAAATATCTTGCGAATATATGGGGAGGGTGTGGCAAAAATGTAAAGTACCGTAGGTTCAAGTAATATTAAAAAATTTACTTGTCGAGACATTTTCTTTTTTTTAAGTTTATTTGACAATGTAAATATTCAAAACCAGACTAGGACACGGATTTTGATATCCGTATCCGGATATTTACGGCGGATACAGACGGATACAGGCGGATATCCGCAGGCATCTTGGTATTATCTGTATCCATATCCGTATCCATGACCATGTCTGTTCAAAACTAAAAAAATCGCAAAAATTAATCATAGTAAAGAATATGAAAAATAAAAATTGTTAAATTGACAATAAATTAAAGCTTGAATGATATTAAGTTTAATTTAAAAGAAAAAGAAATTATTAGAATTATTATTTAGAGATTTGAATTCCTTTAAATGTTGTTTACTACTCTATTTTTTAAATAACTGATTTGCAATGTTAATTTCAGCCAAATAGTTCACTTGTAATTGTGAAATGTCTAAAAATTTAAAAGAAATTACAAGGAAAAAAAAAGAAGCAGTGAAGGGGTTTCATTTACGAAAATTTTTCTAAATTTAGATAACCAACGCTCCGCTTTGTTGTTATTAATTCTCAATATTTTTAAGAAAATAATTATACTGTTCTATGTGGTCATCTTTAACCACTTTTGGTCATTTTATAAGAAAAGGAAGAGAGGAAAAAGGGGCGGGGCTTATGGGATGTAAACTACACTAGCCTGAAATTTTGGCTTTAAAAATTTTAAATACCTTCTCTTCAAGTTTCTCATTTAATTGAAAGTCAAAATTTTCAGCGTTGGGTATAATCAATTCCTGCGGGTCACTAGTAATTTGATCGGTACGTTCCTTAATAGAAAGATTTTTTAATTAATTAAAATAAGTTTTACGAGAGAAATCATATGAAATTTCCCCTTATCAAGTTCCCCTTCACATTTAAAAAATCGCGGCAATAAAGATTCGTTCGTTTGATTGAATGTAATTGTTGAAAGCTGAGACGTTTAAAAATCTTTGTTGACAGAGAATAAAACATTTTTCTTGAAGAAAATTTAAAACACTAGAAAATTAAAAAAACAAGTTTTCACATCATTTAAATAAGTAAAAATAAATTGGAGGGCTCCCTCATATCTTGCCAATAAGGCTATAAACCCATATCTTGCCAAAATCATATTTCGCCAATCAGGGCAAAATCTTTAAATTTGTCAAAAAAACAAAAGGGGTGGGGTCATTAGGGGGATCATTTGATTGAATATAACTTTTCTATGCTTTACCTAATCCAATTAAATCTTATTGTTATGTCCGAGGGTTGTACGAATGTCGACGTGCAATATTTTAACAATTTATCTAATATAGAAATAACAATGTGTAGGCGAAGGGATTGAGCTGGAACAGACGAAGGAGATCAGGGACTAGCCGGGCTAGTATGATCCAATTAGACTGACGCAAATAGTGGCTTTTATAGTAGTGTCACTACTACACAACACTTATATCATTCAAAAACTACAGCTCGGTAGCAGTTTTTTACTCTAAGGGTAAGGTACAATACGGAAAAGTCCAATCATGTTTGTAAAAACATTTAAAAAAGTTAAAAATAAATTGGCAATCTTTAATCAACCAAAATAAATAAATGAGAAAATAAATTATCAAAACAATTTAATTGCAATGAAAAAACCGGGGGTATAGCCCGAACGGGCGCGCAGCCATAACGGCGCAAAGCCCTAAAACTTGATTCAAGATTTGCGAATCTTAACAAATTTAGTATTAAACGATCTCTCTCATCGAGCTAAAGAGATTGGTACCAAAATTGATATGGGCCGAAAATTTTCCCGCAAGTTATGGCTTTGCGTCATTATGGCCGCGCGCCGTTTGGGCATGTCCCATGAAAAATTTGAAATATTTTTTAAAATTATATATTTATTTAATCCTCCAATAAATCTTAAAAATTTTTTATATTTTTCTTTTTATAAATCTTCATCATTTTGATTTTAACGCAATTATTCCCAAAATCAAAAAGTTTAGAGAAAATAATCCCACTGACAATCTTTTCAATACAAAATAGGAAATGGACATTTGGATCGTGAATATTGCCAATTTGATATGTAATTGTAATAAATTTTTTGTCATTTAATTTCAAAACTCTTTTGCAATAATCTTTTTGATTTATTATTTAAAATTTTTCCATTTAATAAAATAAAAATTTAAGCATGTCGGAAGATATATTCTTCGGTTAGGTTTCGAACAGCGGGTGAAGGGCAAAACGATGGAAAAAATATCTTGTAGCAAATGTCAATGGCTTTCAGATGAGTCCAAGATAAACATTCAATACTATCTATATGAGGTCGAAAATTTTTTGAATCTTAAAAACACCGTATTACGTGATTTTCAAGGTAGTGAGATCTTCACACTAAAAATCTTCTCTTAGTATCGATCAAGTATGTTTGCACGATTTTTTGTAGATTTTTTTGTCTTGATCTTAACAGATAGTGAAATAAAAAAATGTTCCAAACTTTTGTACATTACTGTATTTAAATATATACAATTTCTCCCATATTTTTTGTTTTATTCACTCCTTTTTATTCACGCCCCTTTTCTATAGGCAAAGAACATATATAGGTTAAACCCCTTTTTAATTATGCAAATAAGATGGG